TTGAACAAACTTGAAACTTTAAACGCGATTATCTCAGAATCTTTTTTTTGGGAAATTGCTTTTGCGGTGGACACGATTACTAAAAAACTACTAATCCGATCAACACCAAATTTTGACCACTTATTTATTATGATATTAGCTAGTCCGTGAACGAGGGATTTTCAATTTTTTTGACATCTCCTTTTTTAAAGCACAAAACACGAAAATCTTATACGTTGAAAAAGTACATTTTTGTTAAAAACGTCGCCATTTTTTTTTTAATCAAAATTTTTAAAAATCCCTCGTTCACGGACTAGACAATACAATATACTAACTAAACTTTTTTGAATTTTGGATTTCTGATGAACCGTTTTCGAGAAATCATGTCCACCGCAAGACACCATCGAAAAAAGACGATCCGGGAATTCGGCTATAACATTTTTGTTATGTAATATTTTTTTTATGAAAAAATTTAATTAGGTACCCAGAAACATGTACTAAACAACGTCGGTAAAACATTTTTCATAAATATTTTCTATGGTGTCAAAAACAAATCGATAAAAATCCATATTTTTGCGCGGTACAACTGCATATAACCCCTTAAGTGAACTCAGTCTTGCCTCATCTGAAAAGTAAACCTAATTTGCGTACAGCCCACTTCCTTTATTTGTTTTCTTTTATTTTTATAACGCTGTTGATTCGCCACCTCTGCAGCTCTATCCTATTTCACATTCGATTCAGTACGACCCGTACAAAATTTGGAGGCATCGTCGCCGTTTGCCTTTTCATTACGGACCTCATTGTCTGGGCGCGCGGTCAGTTTTGGATTGTTGTTAAGTAAGTGTACTTAACCCACATGACTTGCGGTTTTCTCATTTCTCACTGCTCACTTGCCACTGCTGCGTGCCGTTGCTGTGGGTTAAGACTCGGTCGAGACTCCGTTTTCTGACTTTAGCTGTCATCGGGTCCAAAAAAGCTGTCATTGCCTGGGATCTGGTATCTGGTGTCTCCGGTGCGCGGTACCACGGTGCGTATGTGTGATGTCAGTGTGCGTGCGCAAAGAGATTTCTTAACCTTGAGTGACTTTGAGAGCTTTTTTGTTTTTGTACCAGCCATCTAGCCATCCAGCAATCCAGCCATCCATATTTATTTATTTTTTCCCTTTTGGCTTTTGGCTTTACATTTATTAACCAATTTTTTGTTCGCCGATTGTATTTTTGGGTTTTATTAAATTACTGTTTGCACGTGTGCGTGTCTGCGTACTTGACTCTACGCTCATTTCCTTAATTAAACACTTGTTTCACGGTCCGTTGGGCAATCTCATAAGGCGAATAAGCAAAAAATAATAAAATATGCCGACATCGAAAAGGTATTATAAAATAATGGTATCTGCTGGCAGAAAATAAATGGCAGAGATTAGCAAAAAATCAAGTTGATGGGGCTCATTTGCAGAAATAATGATCATGCAGCAAAAAGTGGTCAAAAATTAAAGATTATGTAAAAATGATCGATGGCAACCACTTATCAAGATTACTAAAATGTTGCCAAGTCATTTAAAAAATTGTATATTTTATTGAAATACTAGATGGGGTGTACCTTTTGCATTATTTTGCACAAGTCAGTAGAAAACTTCCCTTTCCGTTCTTCATGTTGCGTGTAACTTTCAGTTGAACCTTCTGGTTTCAGACTTCAGGTTTTCCATTACCTTGGATATCTGACTGCTACCATCTATAACAAATAAATTCATGGCTGGACCCATTAAAAACTTATTATGGTTTTTTGTTTGCCACTCCAGTTTTATTGTCCATTGTCGAGTTAGGACCTGGTCTTGAGATTCCCAGACAGACAGAGGAAAGCCACCCACTAAGCATGGGAAAAGTAATTTTCATAATTTTGCAGTCCAACACCTTTGCCGCCTTCTGTTCGAAAAACAGAAGCTAGCCCTCGGGGGGGAAATCTGTCTCAGCTCGTTATTAGCCAAGATTTACATCCATAGGTCTTCCCGACTTCCCTGGGTTCTCGGCTGTGAGCTGTGAGCTGCGGAACCCCATATTAAAATGCCACTAATTATGGCAATTTGTTATATGCGAAACCGAACTGAGGCCAACGCCTATGATCCCAAGTGGTTTTTTAGCCTTTTAAAGACACACACAATGGCAACCATTAGCCAGATCAAGAGTTTATTAGCGAAAGGAGGAGAGAGGCAGGGTCTTGGGGGGCGGCACCACTCACGCATAGGTTGTTAAAAAAAAAACGAATATTAAAATTATAAATATAAAAGAATAAATACTCCGGGCTAAGTGCGTCGAATACATTCATCGCCGAAGGCCAAACAAGCTCTTACACACATATTGAAATAAATGTTTATTTATTTTTTTATATTATTTTTTATTTCTCCGCTCCTTTCCTTTTATTTTTCGTTTATTCCACTTCAAGTTGAGTTGGAACCAGGTGATGATTTGCTATTTGCTGGCCAGGAGACTCTCGCGAAGGGTTCAGAGCTGGCAGGGAGGTTGGAAAAGGTTAAGTCGCAGTATGTTATGTGTACATGTGCTACAAATTGAAGGCTTTTTTATGGGTGTACTCTTACGAGCTCATAGGCCCAGACAGTTGGTCATAAATTTTCAGATTATGGATCTTTGCAGGCTTTTTAATTAGCCACAAGGTTTAATCTTTGAATAAAAGGTGATATGTATTTATTAACCATATCGTTTATGGCTTATATCATATACTATAAATTCTACACAATAAAATCTTAATGAAAGAAAAAGAGCATTCCAAGTGCTGTCTTCCAATTTCGAGTCCAATATCATTCCATTATTTTTATTTGCTGCCCGCGAAGCTTTTCATTTGCTGTTCCCCTTGTTTTCTCAGGGTCCAATCGAAAAATACAAAAAAATATAAAAAGGGAGATTCACTCGCTGGGGTGACGAGGAGGCGGGCACTGGGGTATGGGGCAGTTGAGGGTTAAGTATTGGCATTTCCGACTGGGAGACCCGCCGAGACTCGTCTTCATTGAAATCGAGCTGAGACTCAAACTGAGCCCCAGTCTCGAGCCCAGTTCCAACTTGCACACGGCATGGCAATCAAAGCCAGCAAATCTACACCAAAAACGAGAATAGCAGCAGCAACCCAGCAACACAACAACTCGGCAACAGCAACAATGAGAGCAATATTTGTGCTCATTAAGCGTAACTGACACACGAAGTTTTTTGGAGGGTTTCTTCATTTCGCAAGTCCCCAAAAACTACGCCAACGGGACAGAGTCTCTTTTTTTTGTGTTGTTTCTGGCAGAGGCTGTGACTCAAGATTTCGCCCTCCAGTCTTCATTCTTCCTTCGTGTCTTCGGCGGCTTCTGTAGCTGTTATTGTTGCATTGCCGGTGCATTGCATTGTTTTCATACACTTTCAAAGGGTATTTGAGAATCTATCTGTAAAATATCCTGAAACTTTTTTTAAAATTTACTATAAGCTTTTAGCAGGTTCATCTTCATAAGAAGAATTTTTTTAAATTTTTGCAATAACCCTTAATGGCAGCGTATTTTGCATTATCCTCTGCCAACTTTGGCCTTCCCTTCGACCATTTTTTGTTCGTTTTTGCATTTTCGCTTCGCTTTTGGCCAATTTGAACGGGCCCCCCAAACGGGCAGAGGGCGATTGCTATTATTTTGAGGTAATTCGATGATTTACAACTGTTGCCGTGTTTTGTAAGTTTTCTTTTTGTAAGAGCCACAGAATGCCACAGATCCCACTCGCTGTCCAGCAGATCTTTATGTGAGTGTGGCAGTATCTCCTGCCCAGTGTGAGTTCAACAATGAAGGGCCCAACCTTAGCCACATTCTTTTGTTATTTTCGCAAATTTTTTCTTTTATTGTTTGTTTGCCCCTTTTTTTTTGTGTTGTTGTAATTTTTGTATCCCCCAAAGATCTGAATGAGCCTGATGGTTTGGTGGAAGTGGTTGGCTTTGTCTCTGGCCTGCTGCGTGTAAATTCTTTCGCGGGAAGCTTACATTTCACACCTGTTGTCATTTTTCTCCCCCAGATATTTATATTCAGGAGGAAATTGGCGGGATCTGAGCTGGCTGGCAAGTTGACAGCCTAAGTAGCTCAAAAGGGGGAGAGACCCCTAGGATCCTGTAACTGACATGCAGATGTTTCTTGCTAAGAATTTAAATTAAATTGATTAGCTTGAATTACCTTAAACTTAAGCTTCAAGGATATATAGGATAAAAACCTCCTAAAGTTTTCACACAATTGATGAATATCTGAGAGGGAGAAACCACTTTCCCAGATGGTTCTGATGCAACCCACTCATTACAAGCAATCAGAGTAAAACACCAACTCAAAATAACCACAATCATGTCAGGCTCTGAACTCTGCAACATTTCAATTTAGCCGCCCTCCGGAGGGCGACTGTCTGCATCCATCAATGCATGAACAATTTCACTTTCGAGATACAAATGTGGCGATATGGGATTCAGTGCATCGGGCTTGGCTTTCGGTTTCCAAACCAGAAGCGGAAGCCATCGTTTAAGCCATCGCATATGGAGTCGTCATCTGGTGATTAGACGCTTCAGCGCCAATCCAAACCACAAAGACCCGGCCATACACGGAAAATAAATATGAAGTAGGCATTTCTAAGTAATGAAAATATTAATAATACCAGGTCCCCAGGTAGGATAAAAAATTTTCCACTGTGGCACGGCGACATTTTGGCGACGCTTCGGTGCATTTTGTTGAGCGACTCCGTGGCAGATTGGCGTATGTGCCTCGTGTGGCATGTCAGGGCTTCAGTGGTGCGATAAATGCTCATTTCACTTTCTATCAGCGTCTCGCGGCAGTCTAATGGAGGTTTAATTATGCTACGCTGGCGGCGTGCCCTCGCCTGTCGCATAAATTACACCCAGCAATGCCTTGATTTATTGTTTGTTTATATAGCTATGTATTTTTTTATGGTTGGGCCTGTTTTTCCATTTTGTATTTTTGCTAATGCCTTGCCCATTTTTTACATGCTATCTTGCAGTGACTTGACATTATGGCGGTGAGGTCGTAGGCACCGCGAAATTAAGGCAACTGCTCGGTGTTCGGAGGGGGATGACAAAGAAAAACCGAAACCACACAAGGCAAACAAGGAACCGACTCAAAAATGTCCGGCAATCAACAGCAGCAACTACAACTACAACTACAGCAGAAGTCATTAACTAACACAGCAACATCAGCAACAGCAACAGCAGCAACTACAAACGGAGCAACAGGCACTTTAAACAATAATTTGATAAAAATAAACAGTGTTGACAAAATAATAGGCAAAGCCCAAACAGCGACGCAGGCAATTAACAAACATCAGCAGCAGCAGCAGCAACACCAACAGCAACATCAGCGACGCTCCTTGCTGCCAGCAACCTCAGCGGCAGCAACATCGACGCACCAGCAACACTCAACGCAACAACAAAGCGGAACGTCAGCAGCGCTGTCGCCAGGCGGCCAAAAGCAGCAGCAGCAGCAATCACACCAATTGCAGACTGTGGCCACAATACATCAGCAACACTCAACCCAGCAGCAACAGCAGCAGCAGCATCATCATCAGACATTGACTTCTCGGTTGCCTATTCAACAGCAATCTAGCAAGGAATTGCCCAATCTTTCTGCCCAGCAGCAACACCAGCCTGGCAACCAGCAGCAGCAACCGATACAGCGTCGCAGCTTCTACCAGTTGCAACAGCAACATCAGCAACACCAACAACAGCAGCAACATCAGCAGCAATCTCTGCGCAGTCCACAGCTCAAGGTACCGGCACCAGCCCACTCTATACCGCCGAGATACCAGCCACCCCCTCAGCCAAGCAACGGGATTCTCAAGCCGCACTTGCCACTTAAATATCCGCCGGATATCCCCCAGCTATCGAGCATTTACATACCCGATTCGATCAAACAGCAACAGCAGCAACACTCGCGTTACCTGCCACACCAGTCGACGGGGAAGGGCGGAGCGGCACAGGATATGCTGAAGTTTGTGCGGAAGCCCGATCAGGAGCACCCATCGCCCAATGCCTCGGTCACGTCCAGCGGCACGGGAATTCCCACGGCCAATGGCGGAGGTCGTTTGACGGCCGAGCAGAACCGCCAGCTCCAGTCGCTGGTGAACGAGCTGCGGGCCCTGAAGGAACAGAACCAGCGTCTGCTGGACGACAACCAAGAGCTGAGGGACCTCTGCTGTTTTTTGGATGACGACCGGCAGAAGGGGCGCAAGCTGGCCCGGGAGTGGCAAAGATTCGGTCGCTACACCGCCAGCGTCATGCGCCAGGAAGTGGCTGCCTACCAGGTGGGTCTCCAAAGCAATTCATAATTTCCATTCCTAATAATAAAATTATTGCTTTTTGTAGAACAAACTACGTCAACTGGATGATAAGCAGCAGGAGCTAATCACCGACAACCTGGAGCTGAAGGAGCTCTGCCTCTACTTGGATGAGGAGCGTGCTCATGTGGCGGCCAACGCGCTGTGCGCCGGATGCGGAGCAGCCACTCGAAACGCCCTGAGAGACGATGGCGACGGTTCCAGCTCCAGCACCAATGCCGATGAGACCATCACTGCGCTGAGAAACTACGCCGAACAGCGCCAGCTTCCACAGGTAAGCAGAAAATGCCTTCTTTCCAAGGATTAGAATCTAATTAGCATCGTTCTTTTCTCGCCAGGATCTACGTCATGCCCACTCGCTGAACGATCAGACGCTTCAGTATGTGCGATCGCTGGAACGGCGCATCCAGCAGCTGGAGGAGGAGCGAACCACACCCACGGGACATCAGCAGCAGACGACGACCACGCCGCAGCCAAGGACCACCCCCACGCCCACGCCCACATCCGCATCAGCCGTGGCAGCAGCAGTAGCAGCCGCAGCAGCCGCGGCAGCAGCCACCAAATCAGCGCCCTCGCCCCACCTCGCCAACCAACAGCAACAACAACCAACGGCACAGCAGCAACAGGACATTGTGGCCGCAGCAGCGGCGGCTGCTGCTGCGATCCAATTGCCGGAACCGATAGCTGGTCGCCCCGAGGCCGTGGTCCGTGCTCTCCAGGTTCTGGAGGTGCGGGAGCAGCTCGAGCGCGATCGACTGGGCAACCTGGCCGGGAGCGCCATCGACCAGATGGACGACGGCGAGAAGGCGCTGGTGCGGGAGATGTGCAACGTTGTGTGGCGCAAGCTGGAGGGCAGTCCACACGGCCCCCCGGCCCTGGAGCCACTCTAAGCCGACCCAGCAACCGAAAGACACCCTTAAGGGCTAACCCTAGACTCTATGTTTAATGCTAACTTATGCCGTAATATTTAACCCTAAACATTGTACAAAGTTCAAACCACAACCTAAGCTAAGCCACCACAAAAGCGAAAGAATACTCAAAAGATATATTGGAATTTATCCACCAACTGATCTGATATTAACCATGTATATTAACTATAAACATAGCTTACTAAATGTCTGTAAATTGTATTAAAAACTATATATTTTTGGCTTTAGTTTCCGATATTTGAGTTCGGCATCCAAATTGAGTTTTAACTGGTTTTAAAGCTCAAAGATTTGGATGCGAATCGATCGATTTCTCTGTTCGATGACTTTACAAAATCAAATAATCAATGGCATTGTTGCTTATTTTCGATTTTGGACAATATTTGATTGGATCACTCTATTTAATTAGTTTGTAACACAGCTGACCAGTTGGTGGAGAATGCTCATAATTATTTTTGTACTTATTGAAATCTTTGACTGTTATTTTTGATTGCCAAGAGACAGGAGGTGTATTCTATCTTTGACGAAAAATTTGCTAACTCAAAATATAATGCAACAAATATTTCCAAACTCACATAGTGTTTTTAATTAATTTTTTTTTTTTGTGTGGAGTGCTGAGTCACGGTTACAATGGTTCTACCAAATATCTTCATCTCATTAACTTGGCCTGTAATGCGAGCATCTAATCGCATTACATGGCTTTTCCTTAGCGCTTTCTACGCTTTGCTGGACTTTACTTGATGAAATACATGGTACAATATGTATGTATATAGGTAGCTTCTTCTTTTTGGAATACAAATTAAGTTACCCCAGAGGTGCTTAACCTGATTTTTGTTGGCCAATTGGTCTGTATCACGTTCATTCTGAAAAACAGCCGCTTCCAGGACAGGATGATGCAGCAACAAATGCTAAGAAATGCACCCAAAACAGATACCCTTTCAGAGGGTATAATCATTTTTTAGATATCGCCTTTTAAAAATAATCGAAGATGGCAATATCGAACTTTAAAATTTCTATATGGATGATCAAATCTCATAGAAAAACACCTTTAAAGAATTGGTGAACATTAAATATAGTACAAAATTAAAAAAAATTCCCATTTTAAATAAAAACCAGTTCAGTTATATGTGAGCTATAGGATATAGTCGACAGACCCTTACGAAATTTGGTAGGTCGGATCATATGGCCCACAGTGATGGCTATATCTTCCCTAACTCTCAACCGATTCTCAAGCCTTAGAGTAAAGTTTAAGAGTACCTTAAACGATTTCTGGATCGATTTTCTACCATTCTGCATCAAAATCCCGAGACAAAATATTTTTTAGATTTTTTGTCCATTTTTCATAATCCCAATAGGGTATTTCCCAATATGGCCCACAGTGATGGCTATATCTTTCCCAATTCTAACCAATAAACCAATGAACACCTATGGACAAAAACCTATGGATTACTAGATATAGTTATATATTTTATTGAAATTCCAATCTCTTTGTGGTCTCTTATTTGTGTGCTCTTAATACTTGACACACATTCTGTCCCCCATGTTAAAAGCCGTCTAAATGGAACATTACACCGCCGAAAATAGCAAATAATCAGAGATTAGAGGAGAGAAACGACGACCAGGTAGCGGGCTGAGAAAAGCTGTTTCCGACAACCGCAAAGTCACCAGATTCCAGCATCCAGCATCCGCACATCTTGGCGCACTTTTCATTCAACTTCGCAGCGAAACGCACGCGCGATATAACAATCGGAGTCCGCAAAAACCAAAGTGGAAGGAGTCGGCGCCGCGAACATATGGCATGGATATGGACATGGACATGGAGGCCATAAAAATGCTATCGCCGAACCGAACCGAAGCAGATCAAGCCAACCAGTCCCAGTTCAACTGCATATCCAAGTGCAGTTGCAAGATCAAACAGAAGAGGAGCACCAGCAACAGCAGCTTCGAAAGAAAAAAGAAAGTTATTGGAGCCGGTTGTTGTCGTTCTTCTGGCAACCTGGCGCAGCTGCCTTTCTTCGTCACCGCACTTTGCATGCTGATCTTCGAGCTCAGCCTGGTTCCTCCAATCCGCTCCATGTCGTCGCCAAACGAGACGGCCTGGCCACCCATGCGCCATTACGATATTTGGGGCGATGACACTGCCCAGCCGGACAACAGGCAGGAGGATATGCTGGCGGAAGAGGTGGACTTGCAGAGGCAACTGGAACTAAATATGGATGAAAATATGGAGATGGATGAGGGAAGTTTTCCCAAGGAAACAATTTCTCAGAATGAAACCAACAGCCGACAGGGAAAGGGTAAGTTTTAATTATAAAACTAAAACTTAAATATCAATAAACTTGCTTTCTAGTGATCCACCTGTTTCCTGTGCCCGTGGATGGGGATTGCTTGTCCAATGATGGTCGCCGCATGGGAAACTGCTTGAATGCCTACGAGTGCCGTCAGAAGGATGGCCAGGCCAGAGGAGAATGTGCCATGGGATTCGGAGTGTGCTGCGTTTTTGTGGCCAACTGCAACACCACCATTTCCAACAACATTACCTACATTGTGTCGCCGGGCTTCCCCAGCTTCATGCCCAGCAACTTTAGCGGCTGCAACTTGCGGGTAAAGATGATGACTGATGACATCAGTCAGGTGCGGATTGATTTTCATCATTTCACCTTGGGACAACCGAATCGAAGGACAGGAGTCTGTGATGGAGATGCCTTTCAAATCGGCGGTGGACCCGGGGGAAACATATCACTTTGTGGTCAAAACAGTGGGCAACATTGTAGGTATACATTTTTGTGATCTTTAATATTTAAAGTCTTTAAACTGGAAGTAGAAATCTGACTAAAACTAATCAACTATTTTAATCATTTAGTGTATTACGACGTCGGAGCACGAGCAACTCCCAGGCAGTCCACATTATATGGAAGTTTGCGTCCCCTGAATGGTAGCAGTAATAGCAGCAACAGTAATTCTACGGGAGATCGTTTCATTAACATTGATCTAAATCTTGCCAATCGATTCCTGCCACTTCGCATTTGGGAGATCAGCGTGGTCCAGATCCCGTTCAGCCAACGAGCTCCGGCTGGATGCCTGCAATATCACACAGGAACCGAGGGCCTCCTGCAGACTTTTAACTTTGCCGAAAACGGACGTCACTTGGCTAACCAAAACTATAGGATTTGCATGCGACAGGAACTGGATATGTGCTCCATTGTGTATCAGCCCTGCGATCAGCAATCCTTTCGAATTGGTGGTGGCGGACGGATGGCAACTCGGGGTGGTGATAGCGATCAGGGCGCAGGAAGCCCACCAGCCCAATCCGATATGGCAGGAGTAGCAGCAACAGCAGGTAATGTTGCCACGACTACGCCTGTCCCTACCTCCAGCACCCTCATGCAAATGCTGGCCAACATGGCCAACTCCACTACCACGACTTTAATGTCCATGATGTCTGGTAACTCCACCACAGCTTCCAATTCCAATTCGTCAGCAGCCACCAGTAGCACCGCAGCAATGAGTGCAGCTACAGCAACTGCTACAACTACCACAACGACAACCCCCACTCCCTTGCGGTCCAGCACCGTGGCATCCACGTCCACCTCTTCAGAAGCGCCAGCATCATCTCCAGCCAGCGACGATGTAGAAGGCTCGGGAGGTGAGGTTGGGGAAGGGAGTGATGACGATGACGATGGTGGGTTCCTGTTCTTCCGGAGCCCGCCCACCACAGAGGAACCAGGCTTTTCACGACGGCCCCGCCCGGTTGGTGGAGGATCCAGTGGCGGCTTCGACATACTCGGCTTTCTCCGCAACGCTTTCGATCTGCAACTAAGGAGGCGCCGCCAAGCACGACAGTTCTTTAGCACCTGCACGGACAGAATAACGATGCCCTGCATCATTGAGGATTTTATTGGGACCGGCCTGGGACCACTGCCAGGCTGCGAGCCCATTCATTGCGGCTCCCAGTTCTGCTCTTCAGGAACTTGGCCATGTCGCATTGAGAGCACTGTCACGCCATTTTATATTGGCGTCCATTTCGGTAATGGAATGGGAGCTGGGAAGGCCAATGCAGAGGATAATGTGGGAGCCTGCCTGCGTTATTCTCAGGTACAGTGTATGTAAATTTTATGATCCTGCACCCAAAATACTGTTCTTAAAAATATATGTGTAAAAAACGTAGTCAATAGGTTTTATAATAGGTTTCACAAATTCATTTTATTATATTATTTCAGTATCTTATACATACAGACTTTTTAGTAATGACCCTTTTACCTAAATATGTGCCTCACATACAATACTTTTTTGACTTTATTAAATATGTACACGGTCGGATATGAGATTTTTGATAAATTATTCGAGCGCATTTAAGTATACATTTGTAATAAATGATATAAGACATTTTTTTACATTCAAAATTTTAAACATAAAGGGACAAATAAGCCTATAAATACATTTAACCAATTTTTTTAGTTATTTGTTCGTTGGTTAGTAAATACTTTCGAAGTTTTCTATAATCTACATTTTTGATTTTTCTAAACTGCTGCAAAATGTAGCTGCAAAATTAGTGTGCTTTGTGATGTTTTTTCCTTGAAAATGATGTGCGTTTTATTGATATTTGTACGACTCTTGACTTCTTATCTGTTTGAATTCCAATGGCAAACAAGCAAAACATAAAACTTTAACACTCCCCCTATTTGGAGACTTCTTTGGTAGGCAGCGCTATATACACATACATATAAAAATACAAAAAAAATTTGAGAACCTTTCCATTTACCTAAAAAAATTCTCCTGCCGCCTTATACGCTCGAGGGCAGTTTTTCTCGGCATATTTGGCGTAGGCGTTATTAGATCCGTGCTTAATGGGCAGCTTACTAGAGTGCTTGTTCCACACGTGCACCACGTAAGAGTCTTTGGCGCGAGCCATAGTCTCTTCCATTTTCTCTGGCTCGAAGAAGTCTTTCCACTGCTTCCAAGGAATAGCGTAAAATGCAGCCCGACCGAATACGGTGAATCCTAGGCAGCGTTTACGGTCTTCCTGCATCAGGCGGATGTCATTGGTTTGGCAGATTTTCTGAGCCACTCGGGTAATTACACCCGGCCCGTTGTTGCCCCAATCCCTGCCATCAAAGTTATGCTGAAAATCACGCAGGCAAGACTCGGCGATCCCATGTCCAAAACCAGTGGGCTCCAGATTCATAACACCCGCTGCCAGGTGGGTATCAGACTCAGCTCCGGTATAATTGGGAGGAACTTCTTCCATGCTGCGCAGCACCACGACGTCCATGTCCAGATAAAGTCCACCATACCGGTACAGCGTTAAATACCGCAGAAAGTCCGATATATGTGAAAACAAATATCTAAAAATATATGACAGTCAAATAATTAGTCATTTTTTTTTTCAACGAGCTTATTACTCACTTTGAGCGAAATAAGCGGCCATCCTTAAGCCACTCCTCAATTGGCGTACCAGCTGCATAGCTCCAAAGGTTAAGACGCCGCAGATGTACATTACTGTAGCTAAGGATGGCTTCAATCAAGGTCTGCGGATGGCTGGCGTTATGTCCAGCTATAGGTATTTGATAGGTGGGGCCGGCAAATAAGACAAAAACTTGGAAATTCGGATTATGCAATGCTGCGGATTCGATTGCGCAGGCTTGGCGGGCAGTCAGCTCCAGCACCTTGTATCTATTTTTCCCGTTTTGATGGCAACTCGTCTCATGAAAGAAAATAGTCCTGCCGGGCGTCGGTTTTGGCTCCGCCTCCAGCACGTCATCCAAGAGCTCGAGACCAACAGAACCCGTGGACTGAGTCGCAGCCCGTCCTTCTCCGTCCATGAAGCAGAGCTGGTAGTCAGTCTGCCAGCCATAGGACAACAATAAGCCAATTATCAACAGAACGATGAGAGCCACAAATAACAGTCGCAGTCTTCCATTGTGCAGGAAGCGGGCCACCAACAAGGGCAAGCGCAGGAGCATGACGACTCTGGAAACGGAGGGTCTGCTTATATTTCAACCATAAAAAAAAGACTCTGGTACCTACTCAGTGACCGCTATTAAATAAGTGTAAATCAGTACATGGTTTCACGAACTTAAATGATAAAGTGACTCCCAGAGTCGACGGCGTCTTTTAACAACGAACCACAACACAACAGTATCTGTATGACCAGATGCCGTTATTGATACTATGTAAATTTGGGGCGTGTTAAGATTACCCGGTATCTAACTACTTCGGTTAGATATTTTTATAAATAAAGGTTTATTTTTTAATTTTTGGTGAATCAACCAAATAATTACTGTTAAATATTTTAAAAATTTAGTTTTTAAGAAACACTCATTAGTATTCTTTATATAGTAAGTCAATTATAAATATTAGATTAACCTAATAAGCATAGAAAAAAGAAAAAAATTACAAAAATTATTTAAAAATAATAGGAATTTAAAAAAATTTACCTATGTCGTTAATACACACCTTTCACGCAACCACCCCTAGAAATTAATCTAACAAATGCCCACCACTATGTAGCCAGGGAGGAGAAAATTATCGATAACAGCAAAATGTGTTGAAAGCGGCGTTTGCATTCGGAATTTGCGAGTTTATTAGTTATTTTGAAAAGCTGACGGTGTTTTGGCCGGCGCAGAGCACTTATAGATCGGTAGACGTAGTTTCGCTTCCCTCTACTCATATAGAAAAGTTGTGAAATGAATGTTCCTCCTAGCGCTGGAAATGGAGGAGTCGCTGTGGTGGCCGGGGGCGGCAGGGGCATGGGATTCACGCCGCCGGCTGGGATGGTGCCTCAGTTTCCACCACCGGGATTCGCGGCACCTCCACCTCCTGAGCTAGCAGTTGCATTTGGGGTAATGCCATCGAACACAGAATGGACCGAACACAAGGCTCCAGATGGACGACCATACTACTACAACCAGAGCACGAAGCAGAGTTCGTGGGAGAAACCAGAAGCCCTGATGACACCTGCTGAGCTGCTGCATAACCAGTGTCCCTGGAAGGAATACCGTTCAGACACTGGAAAGGTATACTATCACAATGTGGCTACCAAGGAGACCTGTTGGGAGCCCCCACCGGAGTACGTTGACATGAAGGCCAAGGCCAAGGCTGAGGAGTAAGTTAATCTTGGACTAATTTAATAAATCGTATACTCATATAGTGTTTTTTTTTGCAGAGCTGCTGCTGCCGCCAAAGCTGTGGCTGCCATGACATCCTCCAGTTTAGCGGGCATGGTACCCCATGCTGCTCTAGCTAGTATTCTTCCTGCTGCCTTGCCAGCGGCACCCCGGATACCCACACCTGAAATTCATTCTCCCTTGACGCCCAGCAGTAATGAGAACTCATCTTCTGCTCTAGATCAGGCTATGGCTGCCACTTTGGCGGCCATTGAGGTTCCCCAACCGAATGGTGAGTGCTTTTTCTAAGCTCCTGATTATTTCGCTAACGTGTTAACCTTTTATTGCAGCTAAAAAGGAGGACAAATCAGCAGAAAGTCCAATTGTATTTAAGGACAAGCGTGAGGCGATCGAGGCCTTTAAAGAGCTCCTGAGAGACCGCAACGTACCCTCCAACGCCAACTGGGATCAGTGTGTGAAGATTATATCGAAGGACCCGCGATATGCAGCCTTCAAAAATCTCAACGAACGCAAGCAGACCTTTAATGCCTACAAAACGCAAAAGCTAAAAGATGAACGCGAAGAGTCACGCTTAAAAGCCAAAAAGGCCAAAGAGGATCTTGAGCAGTTTCTCATGTCAAGCGACAAAATGAACTCACAAATGAAGTATTTCCGGTGCGAGGAAGTTTTCGCGGGGAATCGAACGTGGACGGTGGTGCCGGAACCAGATCGGAGGGATATATACGAAGATTGCATATTCAACCTTGCCAAGCGGGAGAAGGAAGAGGCGCGCGTGCTGAAGAAGCGAAACATGAAAGTGTTAGGCGAGCTTCTCGAGTCGATGACTTCGATTAATCATGCCACCACTTGGTCGGAGGCGCAGGTTATGCTGCTAGACAATTCTGCGTTCAAAAACGATGTAACCCTTCTTGGAATGGACAAAGAGGATGCTCTCATTGTGTTTGAGGAGCACATTCGCACCTTGGAGAAGGAAGAGGAAGAAGAGCGCGATCGTGAGAAAAAGCGTATGAAGCGGCAACAGCGGAAAAATAGAGACTCTTTCCTTGCGCTACTTGATTCGCTGCATGAAGAAGGTAAACTCACATCCATGTCGCTGTGGGTGGAACTGTACCCCATCATATCCGCTGACTTGCGCTTTTCTGCCATGCTTGGCCAGAGCGGCTCCACGCCGCTGGACCTCTTCAAGTTTTACGTTGAGAATCTGAAGGCCCGATTCCACGACGAAAAGAAGATCATTCGAGAGATCCTCAAAGAGAAGTCATTCGTGGTCCAGGCAAAAACATCTTTCGAGGACTTTGCAACTATTGTATGTGAAGACAAGCGATCCGCCAGTTTGGATGCCGGAAATGTGAAGCTCACTTACAATTCTTTGCTAGAAAAGGTATATTTATGGAGTAATTTTATACAAACTCATCTACATAAATCTTATTTACTTGTATTTTTTAGGCAGAAGCTATCGAGAAGGAACGTTTGAAAGAGGAAGTCCGAAGGCTTCGGAAATTGGAGAACGAAATTAAGAACGAATGGCTTGAGGCAAATGTGTCGGTGGCTGAACCGTATGAAAGTGCCAAGAAGCTAGTGGAGCATCTGGAAGCATTTGCAGTATATGAAAAGGAAATCGGTGTAGAAAAGATTTGGGAGGACTTTATAAAGGAGAGCGAGGACGCATGCAGCCATCACCACTCCCGATCGCGAAAGTCGAAGAAAAACAAGAAGCACAAAAAGCGAGTGCGTTCCACATCGAGATCGGACATAGAAAACGAGCTTGAGGTTGAGAAGTCAAAGCGACGGCGATCCAAATCGCGATCGGTTAGTAATGCTATCTACACTAAACTAATATGATATTAATGTATTTCTTAAAAACAGCATTCCCTGAGTTCCATTGGCAGCATCGAAAGCGAAAAGCTTTTGAAGAAAAAGAAGAAGCGAAAAAACAAACAGCGTAGCGTAAGTATTATCTAAACTTCTTAGAGACGGAAAGTAGTAGTATGATACATTATTTATTTTAGTCCTCCTGTGAGTCCGAGCTAGTAGGCAATCAATCCCCCGGCACACAAGCTCTCCTGCAAAACGATTCCAACTCACGTTCGCCGGCTAAAAAGAAGAAAAAGGAAAAGAGAGCTAAGAAGGATAAAGATGGCAAGCGGCACAACCGACATAATCGCTCCACCACGCCTCTTAGCCCTACCCAGTCATTAGATTCGGCGGGATCACGGAACGAGGATTTGGCGCTAAGTGATGGGGAGCTAGAATCAAAGAGGGCGGCACTTCTGGCGCAACTAAGCGAGCAACTGGACGAATGACCGGCAGTCGGTCACTGAACCTTAGCCAACATAGACAACGTGTGGTAGCTCCAGCTCCCGATTAACGAGGTTCAGGAGCATCAGTTGATCTGGGATCCAGGTTGCTGGACAAGCTTAGCCTGGTCCGTATCTGCTGTAGTTCCTTTGCTTTGTTAAGATCCAATTATTGTAATTTTTAGGCACGATAAGTTTGAATGTATAAATGAGAATTAAAGCAAACAAGTCAAGTTTTAAATTACACACAAACTATTTTGAGTCTCTACAGCAGAATAAATAAATTTAATTAAACGAAAATAGTATTTGATTTGAAATTATTGTATTAAAAAATATTTACCGGCCAATCTATAAATCTTAAAAATATGCTGATGTCAATTAAATGAAACTCCAATTTATCTTACTATTTTTAATGACATTCCAACTTATATCTGTCCGACAATCGCACAAATGGAAAAGTTTTTCTTGTAATACAACTAGAACTTGAACTCCTTGTACTTCTTAGTTGTCTTGGCTGGATCAGTTTGTTGACGTTTGCGCTTCGATTTCTGTCGCGCCACATGCTCTGCCAGCATATCTGACAGATCCTCCTTCTGCAGATGATTCTGCTGTTCCCGCATCTGTTGCTCATACCGCTGAGCCATGGCGTCATTATCCATGTCCAATTCGCTGGGATCCAGAGCCAACTCCACGATGCCCTCGCGATCAGTAGTCGTCCTAACTGGCGGCTGCTTGTTGGCTCCGCTGCCAGTGACGTCGTACACATGAGTCGATCCCATCATGGATGCCCCTATACGGTCCGTGCGTTTTTCCGGAAGTACTTGGTAAAGAACAGGGGTCTCATTGCTGCAAAAAAAGGAGTTATTAATTGTAATGGTAATTCTTTTGCTCAAAAAGTTATCCACTCACTCCTCCATCTCTGCTTCAATCTTCTTTTTACGGAGCTCAATATTTTCAGGTGTTTCCATTCCAGCTGGTACACTGGTAAGTCCGGATGGAGTGACAAGTCCCTCAACTGGAGTGACTAAACCAGTCTCATCCTGCTGGTCTCCAAGGTCCTCGCCGTCCTCCTCTTCTTCTTCCGAAGACTCCTCGGATTCTGATTCAAGCTCACCCCATTGATTTCGCTCAATGTCGGCCTCGTCGATGCCGTTCTGAAATTAGATTTTAATAGATTAATATTTGAAAAATCGAGCAAGATTAGTAGTTTTTACATCCAAGTCCAATATATTTGTTCCGAACACATCTCCGTACAGCGGTTTACCGTTTTCGTCAACTGGCGGCTTGCCCCAGCCACCGGCGTGGTAACCAAAGGAAGTACCTTCCGGGATCGGGGCATTGAGACCAGGAATCTTCAGGTTTGGATATGAGGGGGGCGGCCCATAACGCTGCTGAGCAATCAACCATGGAGGCGGAATCTTATGGGAATTTGGGCCCACAGGCATGCCCAAAGCAATGCGCAATTCTTCGGACAGATCTCCGGGTTTTTTCTCCTTCAGGCGTGTTTCGAACTCCTTTCCCTCGTAGTAGAGATCGCCATGAATAGTCATACGCGGTTTGGTCTGCCACTTGAAGAAGGCATCATGAAGTTTCTGGTAGTCGATATCGATCTTGCCCATTTTGGGGCGGACGCGCTCACGCATTTTGGCCTTTAGAGTTTTGGCATCTTCACGTTCCTGCAGTGATTCACGCATCTCCATGATACCAGTTTTCTTGATAAATGCCGGCAGATCAAATGGTGGCTTTTCAATGCCTCGTTTGCCTTGCAGATACTTCCGCTTGAAGCACCAATGTCGCGGCACCTGTACAGTGTTTCTGTAGGCCTTCAGTTGTACCAAAAGCTTTGGATCTCTGGCGGTCACATCATGCATCTCAACGACATCAGGCCTAGAGACTAACTGCTTCAGCTCCGCTACACTTAGACGGGTTAGTTTCTTAAGCTTTCGCTTAGATAACTTTTCTTTATCCTCCTTGTGTTCATCATCATCGTCGGCGTCATCGTCTTCATCATCAAGCTTTGAATTGGCCTTTTTGTCTTTGGCAAGAGTATCCAAATCGTTAGATGTTTTGTCCTTTTCGGCAGGTTTCGGCTTGTTCTCAAGTTTAAATATTTCAAAGACGCGATAGAACTGGCGATACATTGGTGCTAGATCAGCAATGGTAATCTTCTCGGGCACATATCTGTAGATAGATTATAGAATGATGGGTAATAATCAAAAAACCTCAGTTATATTAACTTACTCTATTGTTACATTTTCGTCGGTAGCTTCCGCTGCCTTTTTATCTTTATCTTTGTCGTCACTACGATCCTTCTTTTTCTTGCTGCGGCTTTCTCTGTGCTTTTCCTTCTTATCTTTTTCAGATGGTTCTTCATCAGCACTTCCTGGGGCCTTAACTTCCTCTACTGCCTGTTCCGTGGTCTCATTCTCATCCAATTGAGCCAACTGCTGTTGACGCTCGTGCTCCAACTGCTGCCGAATCCTCTTATTCTGCTTCTTACGTTTCTTTTTCTTTTTGTTTTTCTCCGCCTTGCTCTGTTTGCCAGGCTTGGCACCTCCGCTGCCGTTGACTTGGTTCTCGGCGTCATCGTCGCTGTCCTCACCCACATCAGCATCCTCGCCGTCAACACCTCCCCCACCGCCACTGCCGCCTTGCGAATCGCCGTCTACATTGTACTCGGCCACGCGTTGATCCTTCAAAGCCAGAACATCCTCCAGGGCTTTGGGCAGCACCAGCTCCTCAGGTGTTTTATTACCATCGCCGCTTTCCTCTGTAACTTCGCCGGCATCACCGTTGCCGTTGCCATTTTCATTCCCATTAGCGGCAGCATTTTCGTTCTGCTGTTGATCGAAGCGGATGGACATCAGCGGCGTAGGCTGGCCGCCCTGCAAAAATAAGCTTTCTAACATGAAGAAGCCACTTCATTACCTGAAAAACTCACCTCATTGTTAGCTTGGTCCGCCATAAATAAAAATAATGTTAAACAGCCTTAGATCCACCAGCGAAAAAACAATTTTAGCGATGGGAATAGAAGATAAAATACTAGCAATCGAAAATATACTAGAAATATCGATAGCAAATTGAATATCGATTGGTCCCAGCGATAAGCAAAACAAACGTGGTTTCATCTGAAAAGTTTATTTATTCAATTAAATAAAAGTAAGGTATAAACAAATTGATTAAAAACAGAAAATTAAAACAATGATTATAAGAAAATTAGGTTTTTGAATTCCAGCGCCAAAAACCGATCACCCCTTTGAATCATGTTTAAATTCAATTTCGATGTGGAAGCGGAACCCTCAGAAGATGCAGTAGCCGTTAAAAGTCCTTTTGACGACCAAAAGAAGGATTCTGGAGTTCAGGATGAATTAAAAGATGGTCAGGAAATAGTTTGGTACAAATCAGTTGAAGTAAAGGCCTCGGAAAACGTGATATCCACACTTGATTTCTACGAACTTAACGCCAAGGATATAGATGTGGGACGAACAAAGTTGCGGCATTTAGTAGCCGGCTTCTTGCTCGAGAATTTAAAAACCCAATCTGGTCTCGAAAACCTGGATATAAAGAAATCCGAAGACAGCCACTCAGACCTATTAGCGGGCGTGTATGAAGGCGGTGCTAAAATATGGGAAGGAACATCTGACTTGCTGCAATACCTTTCCGAACAGATTGAGGATTCTTTTTGGCAGGACAAAAGAGTTCTTGACTTGGGCTGTGGTTCAGGACTACTTGGTATATATGCCATGAAACTAGGAGCACGATCGGATTTCCAAGACTATGTACGAATCTGTCGGGAATCGGGAACCAGTGCTTAAATTTTAATATTTAATATTTACAGAACAAAGACGTTTTGGAGTATATTACATGTGCCAACGTTTTGCTAAATTTGGATGAATCCCTTACGGAAGCAGAGAAATTAGAATACTTGGACAAGAAGACAAGCTTCTACTCCGGGGACTGGAGCCATTTTACGGATCTGACAAAGGAATCTGAGAAGTACGATGTTATACTGACATCAGAGACTATCTACAACATAGATAACCAGCAGAAGCTGTTGGACACTTTCGCTAGTCGCCTGAAACCGGGAGGCATCGTGTTAGTTGCCGCAAAATCGTACTATTTTGGAGTGGGCGGTGGACTGGATCAGTTTGAGGACAAGATCAGAGAAGGGAATGTCTTCGTAAGCGAAAGTGTCTGGCAGGCTGATGAGAATTTGAAACGTGGAATTCTGCAATTGAAATTTAAATAAATATATTTTTTATTATAAAGTATAAGATTTGTTATTTAGATTCTAAAATTTTGAATAAAACTAAAAACTAATCTAAGGAGCACTTCGAATATTTTTTCAAGTGTAAATGTCATTATTATTTCAAGCCATTTTTAGCTTGAAAATGTTTCCACATCCGCGCAGGCTGGCAACCCTACTCAAACCAACAACAAGTTTTTTTTCTGCCAAAGAGTCGGCGAAACCCGGTAATAAAACGAACATAACTTTTTTAATCCAGTCACTCCGTCGAGAGCCAAGCATCACGTCGCTCCAAACTATATTCGGTCGGCTGTTCAGACGCCTATATTCGGTGAATCCTAATCCCGGCAACACAATGGTGGTCACACACAACGTAAAGGGCTACGATGAGTTCTCCAAGAAGATGGAGGAACTGGAGAACGGCAATGGGTCCGTCCACGTCCTCTTCAGCGGAGGCAAGGATGAGAACGGGCTCAGCTGGTGCCCTTACTGCGTCAAAGGTGAGTCGAGGTGGTCCCAATGTGGTTAGCCGATTGGGTATCAGATTGCCCAACTTTATCGCAATAATACTTACATACATATAACGTATACGTATTGGTGCTCGATTGCAGCGGAGCCGGTGATACACGATGCCCTGAAGAAGGCCCCCGACAACTCCCACTTTGTGCATGTTGATGTAGGCGAGCGCGCTTAGTAAGTTCAACCATTTTAAAAAAAACTTGTGGTCATTGTGGGAGCTGATTTATACTTTACTTTGATATACTAATACATTTTGGCTAAGCATAACACAATTACAATGTCATTGCTGACGTCATTAATTGATACCAAGTTTAATTGGCAATAATTTGGAACTAGTATCTCAGCCGCAGTTGTGTGTGATGAAATAAACACTCTAGTGCCGGTTAAAACACCCAGAACATTCAAGATAAAAAAAAAACGATTAAATAGTGATAACTGACCGTGCTTTACAATGCTCTTGAGTGTTGAACCCGATGCTGCCTCTTATCAGAAACCACTGTAAACATTAAATTGTACTTTTTTCTCTTTGGTACAGCTGGAAGGACTTGAACTGTCCGTTCCGCAAGGACCCAAACACTCATTTGGTATTTCTGCCCACTCTTCTGCGTTGGAAGCAACCTCAGCGCCTGGATGGCGAGCGCTGCTCCAACAAGGATCTCGTTGAAATGATGTTCGAGGATGAGGATTAGGCATTGGTGCCCGGTGTCTTTACTTAAATATACATTTATTTTGGAATATTACTCAATTTGGAATACACAGAAGTCTAAACACACATCTAATTAAAGCGCCGCTCAATAATTGCTCTTGTACTTTTTAATCTCCACCATCACCACATGGATGTTAGTCAGCTGGGCGCGAGCATTGGGCGTGAGAAGTTTATGGAACCGATGGTAATATTGCACAAGACTGGCCAAAGCCAGCTGGAGAAGCTGAGAACCCGTTAGCAGAGAGGGAAAAGAAAGAAGGACCTCTCTGTTTAGCTCCTCCAGAGATTTTTTCCAATTAGCCGAGAAGCTGGCCACCAAGGCGAGGCTCCTTCGCTCTTGTTTTCTGAGCTCGTCCATCTGCTCCTTTTCGAAAAAGTGTTCACACTCCTTTACAAACTGAATAATGCCGCCAAAGTGGGGGGCCAAAATTTCCTCCACGTATTCTGCACTTCGTGCATTTAGCTGCTCTCGGAACGCTTCCGCCTCCTTTGAGTTGTCTCTGGTGTGCTCCATCAGTACACCCAGCACTAAATCGTAGTTATTAATCAGATAAATTAGCTGATCTTTGCGGGTGGGAAAGATAGCGGCCATGCGGAGTATAAAGCACTCAACTTCATTTTGGAGCTCCAAAAGTAAGCGGCTTACTAGCTCGTTGGGAAAATGTTCCGAGATTCCTACAATGGCTGCACTAAATTCAGCATATCGTCGAGTTATCTTGAAAATAATTATCATTAGATTTATTTTAGTAGTTATCGGCTGTAAAAATCTTACATAGTGTGGACCCATTTCCTTGTTGAATTTTGTGGGGTCGCAGTCATGAATGCTCTGTATGTTTAGCCGAAAAACATGCTCCAAACGGGGCCAAATAACCGATTGAAGGGAGTCCCAATACCTAATAACAAAGTTGGTAAAACCTTGTTCCTACAAATTATGCAGCAAAAACCTACTTATCCAATGCAGGAACACAGCGCTTGTGGCACATCAATTGATACCGGAATATGAGATGAATACACAGAAACATGGCAATAGTATCATAGCAGTCGTGAATGGAAGTCTCTAGATTTTTCTAAGTACAAAAAGAAATATTCTTTTAATGTTAAACAAAAAAAAACTATTTACCTACAATCATTAACGTTAAGGTCTTTCCCAAAATTTGGTTAAACAAATCCTGTGCTTGGGTGCCGCGAACCATAAAGAATTCTGTGACAAAAAGGTACTCTCGGCAGGCATTATCCACAAGAGCGTACTGCTCCGATCTGAATAGAGCTTCAACAGTGTACTGCAAAGAGTAATGTATAATTTATAAACAATTTTATATACAAATTTTACTCGTACTCTATTTTTTAGCTGGGCATGAGGCACTATTATTGGTGCCTCCAATTGCTGGTTAAGAATGTCTCCCCTCTTTCCAATTGTGAAAATGGTGCTCTTGTGCTTAAGGCTTGTGGTCTTGGAAAATAAGCCTTTTGAAGCGTTATCCTCAATGCCCATCAAGTCGTCTTTTGTGCAGGATTCCTCGAACTTGAGACTTGTCAATCGCGTGGAATAGCTCTGTAAAGTAAAGACTAGCTTTAGTCTACCATAAATTATATATCCAGTTACGCACCTTAAAGTAACTATAATAAATCTTGCTCATCGTATCGATATATTCGCTGCATATCTCCTGGGCCACGTGGCGCTCATTGGACAGTATGAACTCGAAGAAAAACTTATGCTTTAGCATGGCATTTTGGGGTATTTGGTAGTTCGTCATGGGTTTCCGAAACTTGTAGATCTGTTCCAATAGGTACGAACGAATCTTAGTCATGGCCTTTAGTCTCAGCTTTTGGAGTACGTCGCTCACATCGCTGGTGGACTTGGACTCCTTGAAGCTTAGCTCTTTAACGAGAGACAGTTTGTGGTTTAAAACATTTAGCTGGGTGCTAAAATCACGTTCCGTGACTGGTGTTTCCATGATTATGTTGATCATTTCCTCGGACACAGCCATGTCTTCGATAAATTGCGACAACTGAGCCTTGACCGATTGCCTGTTAGTTAGTTGAAGAGACATGGATACGGACTTTCTCTGCAGCTGGGTGATTTCCGTACTAATGTTATTTAAAACGCTCTGAAAGCTCATAAGCATGTTCTCCATTCGCTCCAAGACATCGTCACAATCGTTTATTTGATTGTGGAGATTCGCTATGTTCTGGGACTCGGCGATATAGTCTGGCAATGGAAAAATAGTATTACAAGCACATTATAACGAGGAAGTTGTTTTTTTACCCTCAATAGATTTGTTTTCCACCTCCTTGAACTCTTTTTCAATCTGTCTCGAGTACTGTCGCAAATCCGTCGTGTTTTTTAGGATCTCCCTTACCTCCTCGTTGTCAAGTTGTTCGGTCATCTGCGGAGACGACACCTCAGAGTGAGAAGCCATCCCAGACTTTTGATATTTTAATTTTTCTTGCAATTTTCCTAATTTTCCAAAATTAACTGGTAGGATTGGGGACAGCAGCTGTTCACGTTGGCGTTTTGCAACTCTTATTTGGGCTTTGTAAGCACTGACTCAACAGCTGTTGTGTTATCGATACTTACCCGGAATGCCATCACTGGTGATGCCTATTGGCAGCTTTTCGGAAAGGATTTTGCCCTGTCTAAACTGAAGAGTTTCAGAAAAGTAAAATAAAAAGCATAAAGGGTAAAAAAAAAGGTTAGTCCGAGACGAAAAAAAGAACATGACCAGTTTTCGCAAGCGCACCGTGCAGAAGCCCATCCGGGGCACCCGCACCAGTCCGCACACGGCACAGGTTATTACCTCTAGCGGGAACCCCTACTTGGATGTGGTCATTGGCGGCGGATTGCCAATGGGGTCTATCTGCCTGATCGAGGAGGATCGATTCATGACGCACGCCAAAGTGCTGGCCAAGTACTTTCTCGCTGAAGGCGTGCTGTCCAAGCAGGAGATCTTTCTGGGGAGCTTAGACGACATCCCCGCGGAGATGCTCCGTCGTCTTCCAAAGCCCCTCACCGATTTGGAGTCGGAAGTAGAGCAACGTGAGGAGGAACAGGCAGCGGCCGGTGCCGGGGCCGAGAACGGTTTACGGATCGCTTGGAGGTACAACGACTTGCCATTAGTTCACTCGGAGCACGCCACTGCCAAGATCGGGCACCACTTCAATTTAATGGAGCAAATGGACTCGATTATGCTGTACTACGCCAACACCACTATGTGGGACGATAGCCACAAGGAGGCCGACATTGTTATTGCCTTCGGCGATGAATTTTCAAAAAGCAGCTCCCCCACCTCCTGCTCCTTGGAGCAGCAGCCCGTGGAGAACGCTCCAGCCATTCCGGGAGCCGTAGAAGAGATCACCCAGGAAGTAAAGGCCAAGGAGGAGACAAACGCCAATAACAATAACAATAGTAGCACAACTGTCACCAGCAGCACAAAAACTGGCAGCCAAGAGTCCCAGGTCTTTCATAACGCCCGTTACGGGGGACTGCTAAACAATATACAGCAACTGCTTCGGGACGAGAGTTTTGTGGCCGGGACCAAGCAGAACTTGTGTCGTGTGTGCTTGACGTCTTTAGGATCGCCTTTGTGGTACGACGAGCACTTTGGGGAGGACTTGATCAAGTTCCTTACCCTTCTGATGGCGAGTGTTCGGAACTGCAACTCGGTGTGCCTCATCACCATGCCAATGCATCTGATTGCCAAGTACGATGCCAGCCTGGTGCCTAAGATCCGTCAGTTGGTGGACTACGCTATCGAGCTGGAATCTTTTGCTGGATCCGAAAAGGAAACACATCCAGCTTTCAAGGAGTACAGTGGACTACTCCACTTGCACAAGATGTCAGCCTTAAACACGCTGGCAGTCCACATGCCGGATACCACGGACTTGGCCTTCAAACTGCGCCGCAAGAAGTTCGTTATCGAGAAGTTCCACCTGCCACCGGAGCTGCAAGAGTCCCCCAAACCGGATAGCTGCAGTACCAGTATCTTGAGCAATTCCAATGCCACGGCCTCGCTGGATTTCTAGCTATCAGCGAAATTAGAAATTAAGTGCGCGTATGTAACCACGAAAAAACAACAAAATTGCATAATAATAAGCCAAGTAAATGCATTAATATATCAGCCCTGATTTTGTACCATTTTGAAAAACCCGCTGTTTTTTTTCTATCGCTTATCGAAACAATGTTTGGATATCGTTTTGTTTGTTTTTGTTATCGGAATGTGAGGACGCCAAAAATGTGACAATGTCCGAGTTAAATCGTATTTTCGGTGATTTAAAAACGAACTACGTGCCTGGTCTGCAATGGGTGGACGTGGAAGAGATGCTATATGGCGAGGACGCTGGCGAAGAGGTGCTCCTGGAGCGCGCTAAAAAGTTCTGGTCCCTGACCATGTGCAAGCAAGAGATTCAGACACAGGAGGCACAGCTCCAGGTTCTGAGAGATTTGTCGGGAGTCCTCCGTTCGATGCGAGATGAGAATCAAGCCAACTATAGCAACACCCATGACAACTGGGCCAATTTAGTAACCATATCCCCCGCCAGTTCCTACCTTTCTTACATCTACGCATTGATTGGTCTAGCCGTTCCTCCGGAACACGTCGTAAAGGCGGCTCCCACTGTTTTAAACGAGAATATAAATCTTCAGCTGTCCCTGAATGCTGTGAGCACCTATTTGCTCACCTTAACCATTCCTGGATCCAAGAGCTACGGAGTCTTTGATGAGGACGTCATGGAGCAGGTTTTGAGGATTTTTCGGCTTTTGGAGCAGAATGCCAACAAAAGTGTTCGGGCTAACACCATCTGGATGTTCTTTTTAACGATCTGTGATGATTTAAAACTGGTGTTCCGCTATGTGCATTTTAAGGAACATCTGAAGTCGAGGGATAGGATCATTCGAAGTCTCATGGAAATTCTCTACATGAACTTTAAAAAGGGCTACCAGAATTCATGTAAGTTTTTAAAAAAGATGCTCATTTTTAATTTAAAATTTAGAATAAATTTAACGCTAAAACCATTGGCCGCCGATCCCTGTTGTGTATCGAATATATTTTCAAGACACTCGATTGTTTTGGGGTTTTCAAAACACAGCTGATAGAACTTGGTGTGTACACACTTTAGCACACACTTTATTACCAAAAGATTATACAAACAACGTTTATTTAATGAAATTGAAAAATAAATATCTCTGCAATTCGCAAAATAACTAATTACGCATGTTACGCACCTTCAACGCCCTGCGTGGGCAATGTCAGCAGCTTCTGAGAAGCTCCATACCACGCCAGAAAACAAATCAAATTTGGCGGATGAAGTCCACTGATTCTCCGGAGGAAGCTGCACGAAAACTGCGACTAAAATCTACACTCTACTACATTACTGCCGGAGGAGTGCTAATTGTGGGATTGAGCTACGCTGCGGTGCCACTATACAGCATTTTCTGCCAGGCATACAGCTATGGTGGCACAACTTCTCAGGGCCACGATACCGAGAAGGTGGAGCACATGCAAAAAGTCAAGGATCGGATACTAAAGATTCGTTTCAATGCCGACATTGGGTCCTCTATGCGCTGGAACTTTAAGCCGCAGCAGTATGAGATCAAAGTTGCGCCCGGCGAAACCGCTCTGGCCTTTTACACAGCCCGCAATCCTACGGACAAACCCGTCATAGGCATCAGCACCTATAATGTGATTCCCTTCGAAGCGGGTGCCTATTTTAATAAGATTCAATGCTTTTGCTTTGAGGAGCAGCAATTGAACCCCCACGAAGAGGTTGACATGCCGGTTTTCTTTTACATTGATCCAGAAATCACGGGAGATCCCGCCCTGGAACACTGCGACACCATCACCCTCTCCTACACATTTTTTGAGGCAAGAGAGGGCTTGAAATTAAATTTCCCCAACTACGCAAAACCTCATGCAGCTGCATAAAAATGATGACATGTTGAAAACTTTATTACTTAGAAATAAATGTTTGTTATTAAAATGTTTAACGAGAATTGTTGTGAAGGATAGGATGAAGGATTAAAAAGAAGCCCATAAGCTCTTGGAGATATATTTTATATATCTATACCTTTATAGTTAATTTCAAATTAAGAGGAAGTTGTATAAAATAAACTGTATAGACAGGGTTTTGATTTTTAAAAAATTGAAACAACCGCCAGATTTCAGCTGCACTCGATTTTTGTTATCGATAGTTACATCGATGGTTCTCCAGCTCTACCACCGGCATCCCCGTCGGACGCCGTTCCGGACTATTAATAGATAAGACTCATTCTCCGGCAATCTTAGAAGCAGAGACGAGCGCTTCCGCCGCTCCAGATAGCGTCCTAGTGACCCCTTTGAACCCATGACGTGGAAATGAACAAGCAAGTGCTTTTCAGCCTTTTTCTGGCCAGTGCATTGGTTTGCATTTTGGGAAACGATGCGGAGGATGACCGGGAACCACCAACTATACTGGTGGCCTTGTTGGTCCGAAACAAAGCCCACACGCTACCAATGTTTCTAAGCTATCTTGACCAGCAGGAGTATCCCAAGCAGAGAATCGCCTTTTGGTGGGTATTTGCTCTTACACAGGAAGTTCTATGGTATAATGTTTCAAAATCCTAGGCTGCGTTCCGATCACAACGCGGATGACAGCGTAAATCTTCTTCAGAAGTGGCTGAAGCACTCGGCCGAATCGTACCACAGTGTCAACTTTAGTTTCGAAACGGATGAGCAGAGCTATCCCAATGAAAGCTCTCCTTACGAATGGTCCTCATCGCGTTTCAAGAATCTAATCAGTCTGAAAGAAGAGGCTTTCGGTTACGCGCGTGATATTTGGGCCGACTATGTTTTCTTTCTGGACGCGGATGTCATGTTAACCTCCAAAGATGCCCTCACTAGGCTTACACAACTTCGTTTGCCCATTGTGGCACCCATGTTGCTATCAGAGAGCTTGTACTCTAACTACTGGTGCGGCATGACCGAGGAATACTACTACCAGCGCACGGATGAATACAAGGAGATTTACCACCTGAAAAAGGTGGGCAGTTTTCCGGTGCCCATGGTCCACACAGCTGTCTTGGTGGACATGAACTACAAGGGCGTGAAAAATCTGACCTTCGACAAGAGCAAGTTGCAGGAAATGCAGAAAACCCGAAACCAAGAACCACTGTTCGACGGTCCATCTGATGACATTATAGTATTTGCTATATCAGCAAATAGCTCAGGAATTCCAATGCACGTCTGCAATGAGATTACATTCGGTTATATACTGCAACCATTGGAGCCTGGCGATTCATTGGATCAAGATCTCCAGCAGCTGGTGCATATCAGGGCCAGCATGATCACTGATCTGGGCGACGTGCCTCCATTTCATGACTATTTCCAACACTTGGTAACCAAGCCGGAGAAGTCCAAGCTAACACTGGACCATATTTTCATGATCAACCTGGAAAGACGGCCTGAGAGACGACAGAAAATGGAGAAGCTGTTCGACGAAATCGGCTTGGATGTGGAACACTTCCCCGCTGTAGATGGCAAGGAACTGAATATCGGGGTTGTGAAACAAATGGGTATTACGTTCATGCCCGGCTACGAGGACCCTTACCACCATAGAGCCATGACCATGGGCGAAATTGGATGCTTCCTAAGTCACTATCGCATTTGGGTTAAGATGGTGCAGCAGAAGTTAAAGGAGGTTCTCATCCTGGAAGACGACATACGGTTCGAGCCCTATTTCCGGAACAACGCCGTTCGAGTTTTGAATCAGGCCAGGAGTGTGGTGGAATATGACCTTATCTACTTTGGGCGCAAACGCTTGAAAGAAGAGAGTGAGCCCTGGGTGGCTGATACAGACAGCTTAGTCCACGCTGGCTACTCCTATTGGACACTTGGCTATGTCCTCTCCTACGAAGGTGCCCTTAAGCTGCTGGCGGCCAAACCACTGGAGAAACTTATACCTGTTGATGAATTTCTGCCGGTGATGTTCGACCGCCATCCCAACAAAACCTGGAGCCAGGCCTACAAGAAACGTGATCTTGTGGCTTTCAGTGCTGCTCCACTTTTGTTGTATCCCGTTTACTACACTGGAGATTTCGGCTATATTTCGGATACGGAAGATTCCCAGCAAATAAATGTGGAGGCCAATGAAGGGGAAGCCAGGTTGAAAAGTGACAGGGAGCAGGTCTTTCTCAAAGAGGATGAGAACAGCTCGGATCAGCAATTAAAGCTTGGCGAAAGCAAGAGCCACCAAGAACTTTGAAACATGAAAACTTTTAAAACACGATGCCAAATTTAATTAGACTAAGATAGCCTAATTCTTCCAAATGCCAATGCCAAATGTGCCTTCATATCCAAATCCAAAACTATTGACAACGAATGATCAAATTAGAATTAAGTTTTTACCGTAGTTAAATGTTTTTACTATTTTTTCTTAAGTTTTTTAATCTTTTCAAGATTCTATGAGCTTGCTCGAATATTTTTTTATTGTTTTTGACAAATCTGTTCCTAACATTAGGGTTTGGAAAACTACTAAAGAACCAAAATTGATACAAACTGAGATAAAAGTTCATTATCAGCCAATAGCACAACTTATCTGTCTACCTTGAACTTTAGATGTAAGATAAGCGTTAGCAATGAGCTAACTAAAACAATATTTTAAACTTGATACAAAATCTCACTTTATTCCATTCACCAGTAATGTGAAAAACTATAAACACTTACGATTTATAAACCCCCTTGTTTTAACATTTTATTGTCCCATTGCGCCTCGCATGAATAAATTCTTTATGGGCGGTAAGTTCTGGGTGAGCTGCAGTCCCAGACTTCTGAACAAAACCACCGGACTGAACTGCGTCGAGTAGAGGGTGTGGAGTCCATGGACGCCCAGCATGATAGGTACATTTTTCGTGAGGCATTTACGCTCGTACTGGATGAGGTGCTGCTTGTCGCCCAGCTTGAATCCAGCATAGGCACCGGCTGCCATGCATTCCACAAGGTACCTCACATCGCTGAAGCCCAGATTGACTCCTTGACCAGCCAGTGGATGGACTCGATGGGCCGCATCACCTACGAGAGCTGCTCCACTGCAAACATAGGAAGATGCGTGAAGAAATCCAAGAGGAAATGTGGCTCGCGATTTCTCCTTGACGCCACAAACCTTCGGCGGATACTGAACTTGGTGCTGCGTGGCGTTATGACCGAAAAAGGTGTTTAGTGCCTGGACTGCCTTATCAGCCAGCTCCACTCTTGGATACTGCCGGCAGAAGGACTCGTTCAAGGCGTCCACAAACTCATTCGGAGGAAGACAGAGCAGTTGCTTAGCCTGCTCATTGGTGGTGCTCCAAACCAGAGAGCTTAATCTGTCGGTCAATGGCAACAAGGCCACAGGACCATTAGGCAGGAACCTCTGCCAGGCCACCGAGTTATCACAAGCATCCTCTCCCAGCTCCAACGTGGCCACCAGGCCCATTCTCTCATAGTTAAGGGCGAAAACATCTACACCCATCTCCTTTCGCACCACAGAATTGGCACCGTCAGCTCCGATCAGTAAATCACAGGAAAAGGAACGACCGTCCTGCAGTTCCAGTTCAGAGACATGAGATTGAGAGTCCTTCGGCAGGCGGACGCACTGGATCCTGGCCTTGTTTTGAATCTCCACATTAGGAGCATTCTTTACCTTTGCATAGACTGCGTCCAGAATCAAATCATTTTCTATAATGCAAGCCACATCGCTGGCGAAGTTGTCGTGCTGGAATTGAATGAGGGCATCTGTGTTGGACTCCCACACTTGCATCTGCTTTACAGGCTTGTACCTGGCGGCTTCAATGTGTGACCAAGCATCTATGGATTTGAACAACTCGATAGAGTTCCTGTTGATGGCGGAAACTCTATTTTGGTACGGGCCAGCTGGATCAAAGCCTTTAAATTCGGGAGCTCCTTCAAGGAGCAGGACCTTCTTATCTGCGAGAGTGGGATTGCTGGACAGAGCTGCTGCCAAAGTGGTACCAACTAGTCCTCCACCACCAATGATAATATCATAATGTGATTTTGTGGATTCCGACCGGCTTGCAATGAAATCTGTGCCGGTTTTGTTGGACAATAGATTGGACGACAATACACGAAGGTTTCCGGCGGGAACAGCCACACTGCGTATCCTCAAAAAGGCAAGCATTTCTGCTGGAAATGCAAAGTTTTCGTTCGTTAAACAATTATTTAATTCTTTTCGTCGTGCGGTGAGAGATGACACCTGTGTAGCATCGATACTTATGGAGGAGAAATCGAAAGCTTTGTATCGGAAATCGATTAATTATCGACTTACAACGTATTTTTGAATAAATTGCATTTTTAAAATATTATTTGTTTATTTTTTAGGTGCCCCTGCGTTGCATGCAAAATGTTATGAGCTTTTCGACGAAATCGCTAATGAACACAATGGAGACGTATATGACACTCTTCATCTCATAATGCGTCAGACTTTTCCTATGCATGTCTACACAGATAGTCCTCATAACATCGGCGCTGGTCGTCGCGGAGGGGCTATGCAGGCAGGAGAGCACATATCTGACTGGTTCATCCAGTTAATAGAAAAATACCCAGACATCCTTACCCGTATTCTCCATTTCTACATTGAGTGTGTGGTGTCCAACCCAATTAACGCAGTAAGTAAACTTTATAAACTATATATATTAAAGTAATGATTTAATTTACCTTTCTTTTAGTGGAAGAGCCCGGATGAAAAAGTGGCTATTACTTATGCTGCCAAATATGATAGTATTCTATTTGCCAAGTGCAACAAGTCCTGTGCAGATTTCGTCCTAGAGGCTGTTAAGGCTGACGATGCTGTCGGAATTCAAACTAGAGCGCTGGATCTTATTGAAAAGATTCTTCTTCATCAGAGCGAAGTGGAATGGTCTATCTTCCGGTACGATGTGTCCAAGGTGCCGCGAGAAGTGCCACTCCTTCGTGAAGTGATTCGTTGCCTTAATGATAGGACTTTCACTGTTCGTCGTAAAGCTTGCCAAGTACTCGTCTTAGCTCTAAAACAGGGATCGCCAATGACTACTAAGATTCTGGACGAAAGCATACGGTTTGTTCAATTCGAGGATGAAAATGAAGAGACACTTCAAGAGCCTGTAGTGGAGCAGCATGAACTGCGATTCGAGAAACCTGGAATTGTCCAGTACGCTTTCAGTTTCGAGGGCCATGAACTGTTGGAAGAAGAAGTCAAGAACATTCCACATATAATCTACCAGCGATTTCTGGGTGCGGATAACGGCCTCGCACGAACAGCAGGAATCGCCCTGCTCGAAAGATTGGTTCTAGTCAATCCTCTAATTATTTACAACACGAATTTTGTGAGGGAAACCTCTTTGCTGGCTGTGGATAGGTTGGCCTCTGTAAGAAAATCTGGACTTGAAACAATGGAAACTCTTCTGGAAGCATATCCCAATTGTTTTGCGTTGATATGTGTATACTGCAGGATTTGGGCTTGCCTAATGAGCGATGAGGACATCGCTTTGCAAAAGCTGGCATTACAGGTATTATGAAATTCATAAACGTTGCTTTCCATATCGTTGCTGATAAACCTTCACATTTTCAGAGTTTCAATCGAATGGTTTTAAAAAATATTCAACCCCTGGAGTATTCCAATACCGCTAAACAATTTATGCCTTGGCGCATCATTAGTACTCTGCTAATGACACAACCAAGAGCCTATCTGCAGGAACGATTTTCTATTCTAATGGAAAACGAATCCATAGTTACGTAAGTTTAAGAACTCTATCCCATTAAATATATTTTTTTCAAATTATTTCCTTGTAGGCCACAACTTGTGAATGTTATAATCTCACATTTGTCCACATCCATGGCTACAGATGCCTGGGGATTACTCCTACTCCTTTCTAGCCGCATCACCAACAACATGGATGCCTTGATTGGCATTTTTAACAGCCTTTCTTCATACAACATGAAGTCAAACCAATTCCTAGCTTTGCAGCTGATAATTGGTTGCTTAAAGAACTTTTCCAAATCGGCTTTAAATCAGCTATTTCAAAAACTTCTGACCGCCCTCAGAACGGGAAGCATTTGGCTGGGTCTTATTTCGAGTGCGGTTAATCTACTGAACCAAATCTTCCACTTGTCCATGAGTCAAGCTCCGTCGACGGGTTCCGAGGTTCCCGAATGGCAGCTGAGTCTATTGGAGGATGTTACCATTGAAATTTTAAACTGCGCGGAGGATTTCCAGAATGAACACACCCGATTGCAGTGCCTTTTGGGCACCTATACAGAGATAATTGTGATGCTGCCGGACGAGGTGGACAAACGGATTGTGAAGATTGTGTTCACGTATCTTAAGGAGTGCACCAGACTTAGTGAGTCTCAGTTCGATACGGACAACGAGCGCATGACAAACTGGATGATTGTGATAGCTGGGCGTTTGTGTCTCAGGGAAAACAGTTTGGCCTATAGAGTGTCCAAGTTGTATAAAACTATTCTAACCAAAAACGATCGGCCCCAGATAATCAATACTACTTTGATTGCTTTAAACGATCTGGGAAAGAAAAACCCTTCTATTCTAGAGAGTAATTTTCAATGTATTCTGACCAAGCTGCACTCCAGTTTCGCCATGACTAGGGTTAGAACCTTTCGCTGCGTTAAGGATGTTATACTCTCCGGCACTATCAAGCTGAAGGGTTCAATTCTAATCTCCATGCTGTCTGCTCTGGTGGATGAAAGTGCCGAAGTAGCACGGGAGGCGGATGCCTTCTTTATTCGCTACCAAAGATTGTACAACAAATTGTTATTCAACCACTGTCTTAAAGAATGTCCTTTTGATTTAAATGGCCTGGGCCATTTGCGAGGCTTGATAACGGATTCCAACTTTGAATCGCCGCTAAAGGGTCCTGACAAGGAGAAAAGTCGGCGCCTACTTTATAATCACATTATGTCCTCTATGGATGAGAACTCGTTGTTACTTTACTTTGGCCAGCTAAAGTTGCTAGCGGGTGAGTTTTTATATGGACCATAAAATATTTAATTTATTGAAACGACTATCTTATTCTAGAAAAAACCAAGGATGATGAATTTGTTGGTTTGCCGGGCGCCCTAACTATAGTACAGGATATGCTCTTTATCATGCGACGGATTTGTTTTCTAACAAAGGGAAAAGGCAATGAGAAAAGCAGTCGCGGCGAAGGTGAAGAGGAGGATGAACCGGCAATACCCAAGCCACCTGAAACCGCCTCAGTTAGCCAGGAAGGATCCAGAGGGAGAGGGCGAGGGCGAAAGACGGATTCCTCTGAGGAACCCGTAAGCGATTAAATCCTTTAATGTTGAACGAATAAATAGTTACTAACATATTCTTTTCTTTGTAGCTTAAACAGCTGGAGCGATGCCTCCGCTATGTGGAAGAAACCCATCGCAACTTAAAAGACGTTATGACTTCGGAACTTCAGCATTCTTTTGACAGCTTTTGTCGGTCTTTGGCCATGCGATTCCCCAGTTTCATTGAGTTTGCTCAGCCAGCAGAGTTTTGGAAAAAGTACCGCCATGCCAAGACGCCAAAGGGAGGCAGAAGGAAGAAGAGGCGAGTGGATGATGATACGGAGGCGGAAAGTGATCGAGAAAGATCTCCTCATTCGGCGACTGGAGAAAGCGACAGCGACAATGAGATGCCGCTGGATCGGCACAAATCAAAACACACGAGCTCCCGTTTAACCAAAAGGACGACGAGCTGCGATATGCTTGTTACAGAGCTCATTTTCCAGCCACCAGATTGGTGATGTGTTCATAATGGTAAAAAGAAACCCAACTCAAATATTTTGACCACCGAAAATAGTACTTGTTATAGAAATTGTTAAATTTAACTAATAAATTATGTTACAACCATTTTCTAGATGCTTAACCAAAAGCAGCTAACCATTTATTTCCCCATTATTATGTTGTTGGTTATGTTCACAGGTAGCTTCGTAGATTGCTTTCAGGCCGCGCATAAACTCCATGAGAATCAACTGTCCCACTTGGACGTCGTTAAATCCCATCTGCTCTGCCTCGGTAGCCTGGACCAGCACACACTCCAACAGAGCGACATTGACAGGTTGCGAGAAGAAATTTGGAGACTCCCGTTCGATCTTGGCGGGATTGACCATAGCCACGGACTGAGGCTGCACTGAGGCCTTAATCGCTCTAACCGAAGCAGGCCCATTGAAATGAAGACGCGTAACAGGAATGGCATCACGACCACCGGTTGCCAACTGCACTTGCTGTGGTTTTTTGTTTAAAGTAACTGGGATTGCAGCTGGAATTTGACCAGGGGGAAGGCCAAAAGGTTTTCCGGATATTCCCGGACCGGGACCAGCAATTTGCTTGACCGGTACATGGATACCGGCTTTAGCCGCTGCAGCTGCAGCCTTGGCACTCATGGCGGCCGCCTTCTCTCGCTTGGAGTTCTTGGCCGGTGCGCTGGAGTCCACGGCCTTGCGCACCTCTGTGTTTCTACAACCTGATTTAACATTATTATAGTTCATAGTTTTCTAGAACTTATATACTTACCGAGACAGCGGCAAAACTGGGAGCAAATCACCATTGATTGATAGCAATCGCAGTAGTTTTTGATGCACTGGGAACGCTTGCAGCAGCAACCTTTAACGGTCGTCTGGGCTTGGACTGGATGCTGGGCCAGATGGTTAAAGCTATGGTTTATTCCATGGCTTCCGCCTTGGTTTATGGCGTGATTAATGGTAAGGTTGGTAAGATTATGGTTCAGAGCATTGTTATGGGCGCGAGTCTGACTTCGGTTTTGGCCGCGGCCGCGATTCTGGCTTTGTCCTTGGTCTTTGGAACTCTTCGCAGGGCGACCCGTATCGCAGTTATTAGTTTTTGGCGTTTTTGGATTCTTCGGCATTTTTGTAAAATAATTTATAAAATTTTCTAGGGATTTCTATAGATTTCTCCTTTGACTCCTTAAATTCTTCTGTCAAAGTTAACATGAAAAGGGTTAAATGTTACCATTTTTTCCTTTTAGCCTACTGGTAAATGTTACCTTTTAACATAGCCCAAATCAACACTTATTTTTTGGCACTAAACTATTAAAGCTTAGATAAATTGTTCATATATTGTATCGATAATAAATTTAAAATTTGTTAAGTACCAATTGTTTAACAAGTGTTTAGTTTATATATGTTATAACATAGATAATATCTTTGGTGTCTACATAATATGGCATGGCATTAAGTTATGATATTGTTCTCGTCTATATACTACGTAATTGAAAGCTAGTATAGATTTAGTCAAAAATTACTTCTGGCTCTATAACTATTTATAATTGATATAATTTCTAATTGCTTTTATTTGTTATATACTCTTTTATATACTGAAGTATTTTTCTATGAAAAATAAGGGAAGTTTTCATTAATTGATTGACATAATTTGGAAAACTTCATATCTTTCTTTAGAAAAATGTTGTGTTTTCACGTATTTTTAAGATTTTTCAATTAAACGAAAGTGGTAAAAATATCACTATCAAAACGATATATGTATGTATGTATGTGAGTGTATAAATATGTAGCAGAAGACTCGTTAACAGTTAGAAAGTAATTTTGTGGCCTGCAATTGTTGCTATTGCTTCTAAAGTAACTAGGATTATCTCCTCGCGGAAGGCGCGCCCTGTGCGTTTAGCAAATGGTTCCATTTAGGAGCTCGTAGCAGTTCTGGGGTGATGCCGGAGCTGCTGCAGCCGCCGCCTCTTGGCGTGTTTTCAGAAAATTGCCCACCCAGTGGGCTGTGAGATCCAGGTATTTGGTCCTTGAGCCAGGGTTGTAGTCCAGGAATCCAGCGCGTGGCATTACCTCCTCGATTTGGCTGCCGTCGGGCCAGTTGTTGTAGCTGGCAATGTTTATAAATCCCACATGATTTAAGATAGCTGTTCTCCAGGCCACTCCATAATACTAAAATATTTTTTTAAAAATTAAATCTTAAGGAATATAATCAGGAACAGTTTTTCAGAGCATACCCTCCCATTGCTCCGATGCCTCTGGATGTCTCCGTGCCGTGGAAACTTGTTTCTTTCGGCAAATCCTGGTCCCACAGTGGGTACAAAAAGCATTTTGTAGGATAGTGCAAACGACTTGAGATAGGACCAGTTCTTCCAGGTGCTGGAAAAGACAGCCCCATTGCTGGGCAGTTTACTGTAAAAGCCATCAAAGCACAACCGCCGCAGGACATCAGCATGACTTTTAAGCCTGTAAAAATAATCATGATCTTTATCAAGTAAGCCCATAATGATATTTCCTTACCTTAAGTGTCCTATGAAGAAGGCATCTTGGATCCTTCTTAATCCATCTGGTTCCACCAGGGAAGGCGTCCGACACAGCAGCCTTCCAAGGCTATCACTCAATTTGTAGGCATTACTCACATATAACACCGGTAAGGAGGCACCCCTCGACTGACTCCACACCCTGTAGAATCCTGGGAGCTTGGCGTACGTTGCAATCTCCTGCAGCTGCTGACGCACATACTCGACACTTTGGTTTCCAGCTACGCTGAGTTCAAAAGTCACGCTCAGATTATGCTGCGGGGCCACGTCCAGGATCTGATGGATTAAGGCTGCCTCCGCCGGCTTTCCACCTGTAAAGCTCAAAATGAGCACTCCAACGCCACAGCTTTTAATGTTCTCAAAGTGCTGAGACAGGAGCGTGTTGCTGGGCTTGTACAATCCCAATGCTGGATAGAAGGCGGTGTTGAGGATTCTGACAGGCCTCGGAGTTGTCAGAGGCACATCGTTTGGATGCTCCGCTGGCGGAGGAGGAGGTTTCTTGGACTTGTACCACGGAACCGGAGCAGTGTAGAAAATATGCACAGCCGTGGTAATAACATCCAAGGTAGTCCTGGACTATAAGGTTCAAATCATTGAGATTGTCATATTTGTATAGAATTTGGATGTAATAGAACATTACCGACTGTTCCGCCTCGTGGTCGCGTTGCTGCTGTAGCTTCATGAGATCCATTTTGCTTTGGATGATGCGCTCCTTAATCTTCTGTTCGTCATATTTCTCCGGCACTATCACACCATTTTCCCGTTGGGGCTGAAGCACGGACATAGCAGCTGCCGGTTGTGGGGACTTCTCCGGCTGATCCCCTGGCCTGTAGGCCCGAGCGATGAAGCGCTCGTCCAGGAGCAATTCGATGGCTGCATTGCGTCCTGTAGAGCCTAGGACTATGATGGTGATCACCAAGAGCCCCACGATGGCCAGCAACAGAAGAATCTTCACCTTACGCCGTGTTTTTACGTATTTTTTTAGCAACATTTTCGCGTGCATGCATTTTCTCACATTGTTTGGTTGTTGGCTTTGCTTTTCACTTCTGTTTTTCCTTCCTCTTAGGACAACCCCTACATCATCCCCTTCCCTCGACAGTGCTGCTGCCGGAAGCTCCCAGCTATTGCGCATGTCCTGAAACGGACACACTAAACTATCCAAGGGTTCCGGCTTTCCATTATATTCAACCAAATAGTCAATCCCTTAAATATTAAAGATTTTTCTTCTCAAAACAACTCTTTGTTTTAAATTTTACCAATAATGTCAAGTGTAAGAAATGGCAATTAATAATTAATAGTAATAAAAAATCCATTGTTTTTAGTAGGTCATGACATTGTCTGGATGTTTTGTTTATTTAGTTTAAAGGTAGGGGATTATAAAAAGATTTATTTATATTCTATTTGAAGTGCAATTCTCCTTCCATCTGACATCTATCGTCCTTCGACTGAAAATTAGTTCAAAAAAGAAAGATATTAGTTTAAGGTAAGATTTAAAGAGAAGAATAAACGTACTATATGTGGACAGATCGATTTCCTCCGGCAACTCGCTAATATTGACATCAAAACGATCCTGAACTTCGTTAAGTATCTTAGCGTCATTGTCATCAGAGACGAAGGTGATGGCCAATCCCTTGGTTCCGAAACGTCCGGCACGGGCCACGCGATGCAAGTAGGTGTCAGAGTCCTCCGGCATGTCGTAGTTGAACACAATATTGACACGTTCAATGTCCATACCACGGCCAAAGAGATTTGTAGCAACCAAAATACGCTTCTGGAAATCCTTGAACTGCTGGTAGCGGTTCAAACGCTCCTCCTGGGTCATACCACGATGAATTCCAATGGCGGGGAAGTTCTGCTCAGTCAGAAGCTGGGACAAAGCCACACAGCGTTGCACAGACTTCACGAAAATAACCACCTTTAAAATGTAAATAACTGCGTTAGAATGGAACATTTTCGAATATAGGAGATATATTTTCTAGGCACCTGATTAAATTCGAGCACATCCAGCAATTCGAAGAGCTTCTTGTTCTTCTCGTTCTCCTTGAGGTTGACGTAGTGCTGCTGCAGTCCGTGAAGGGTCAGCTTGGCTTCATCGTCCACGTAGACCTCCATAGGCTAGATTTCGGAAAAAGAATTATGCGCATTTTAAAGGGGACAATTATGAGGGGAAAACAGGACAGACTTATACTAGGCTCGCCTCAGAACATACAACATATGTTTATAATTTTTTACATACGGCCACGCTACCACCACATCTCATCAACTAGACTCTGAACAGCTCCCGAGGATCGACAATCGCTCTAAGAAGTGTGCGGCTTACAGATGAACATCATCATATTCGCTTAACCTCATCGGCCAGTCGTCTTGATTTGCTGAGTTTCGCTTTTTTTTATTTGGTTGTGGATTGTTGGTAATTTTTTTAAATCATTGAGATTTTAATTGATTTGTGCAGCGGTTTTGGATGTAGTTTATGTTTTTTTAACGATTGACTTCACACGTTTAACCATTTAGAAAATGGTTTCTGGTAGTTATCAACTAAGGTTTCGGTTTAAGTTATGCCCACAGAGCGCTTGACGGTTGTGTTTACGCGTTTAACCATTTGTAAGATGGTTGTTGGCTTATATAGCAATTAAAATTGAAAAATGTATATCGGGTGGCGTTTACAAAATAATAACTAATTGTCGTGATGGCGGTGGATGCGAGGTGGAGAAGTACGAGCATTTTGGATATGAACACGTTGATATTTACATCTTGCATAAACTTTTTGCAAACGGGACGAATGTCCTTGCTCAGAGTGGCAGAGAACATCATCACTTGTTTGCCGTGCGGCGTGCTTCGGAAAATTTCTTGTACGTCACGACGCATGTCTGCAAAGTAATTAATTCTCAATAAGTATTTCAGTAAAATACAAATTTTTAATAATGCACACTTACCCAGTTGCTCCAACATCTTGTCGCACTCATCTAAAACAAAGTGTTTCAAGTGCTTAAGATTCAATTTCTTGTTGCGTATCAAAGCTAGGATACGTCCGGGAGTTCCCACCACAATGTGCGGGGTACCGCTCTTCAAAGTCTCTTCGTCTTTTTGAATTGCCATTCCGCCAAAGAAGACTGCAACCTGCAAAAACAAAGACCCATTGTGAGACATGTTTCGAGTTTTTGCAGAATGTACATCAAACAAAGATGTGAATGAGAATTGTACGAACCTTAACAGTGGGCATGTATTTTGAGAAGCGCTCATACTCCTTGCTGATCTGGAAGGCCAGCTCGCGAGTGTGGCACATGACTAGGACATGGCAAGTGTTGTTGTCCGACGGCTCCAATTGCTGCAGGGTGGCCAACACGAACACGGCTGTCTTACCCATACCCGACTTAGCCTGGCACAGAATGTCCATGCCCAAGACGGCCTGCGGAATGCACTCGTGCTGAACTGAAAGGGAAATATACGCAAACTGTACCTAGGAATTTGTAAACCCGATGTAATGAGTACTTACCCTCAGACGGATGCTCGAAACCGCAGTCTACAATGGCGCGAAGGATCTCCGGCTTCAGGAGGAAATCACGGAAGCCAGAGCTGTGAATGGAGACGTAGGTTCCCTTCACGTCCTTCTTTGGTGCCTCCTGGTTTTCAACGGCAGTGGTCTCAGTCTGCTCCTCATCCTCGTAGTCGAGAAGGTCGTCGTTGTCTGCCATTGTTTCGGGTACGTGCTTATACCTGGACTATAAAAAAAAGAAAATGCTACGGGATAGCGGAAACGAAAAGAAGAGAAAAAATACGTGAAAATTACATGTGGAAAATGCCGCTTTTGCGGAACCGGCGTACCCTCCGCCATCTTGTTTTTCACCATATCTTGTAATTCGAAATTTTATGTCTCGATTCACATGACCGGGTAATTTTATTAGGTTCTGGGTACTGAAAAATGTTTGACCTACCTTTAGCTCACGTTTTGCGCGTTAATCTTTTATTTTTATCGCGATTTTGCCGAGTAGAAAAATTTAACGTGACGCACAGCAGTTTTCAGAAAATAGTGAGACCAGTTGCCATGAGTATGTTTTTACGAAGCCATCAACAAAAGGCCTAATAAATCCTGTATCTTTGCGCTAGTAACATTTTTTTGGCCCTATCTGGCAGCACTGCAATCACAATTTTTCAAGATTGGCGTCTGCCGCGTTTTATTGCAGCGAATTAATTAATTTTCCAATTTGTGAATCTTCCGTTCATTACCAAAACACAGGTAAGTTGTGCCGCTATCGTAAGAAATTGAAAGTACGCGAAATTTTTTCCAAAGTCTTGAAAGAGCTCTTCCGGAAAATGTCGCTGTTGATTCACTCAAACGAGAAATGCCCCCTCTGTGAGAAAATGCCGGAAATATTGAATGAAAATCGCCATATTGTGCAATTTCCAAACTTTCAACTAGTTACTGTAATTAAGATACTTGTTTCAATTAAGTAATCCATTTGATTAGATTCATATTAAGCGACCGCACCCGCGCCTTTTTGCCCCACGCCCATAAACAAACGCCGCCAAACTCACTCACCCCGCTTTTTGCTTCGTCCGCTTTAGTACAGTCGCTTGAGTGGAAAGATGTGTGGAAGTGTGCGTGAGAACTCGTTTGCTGGGGTCTGTTTTTGAGCAGTTTTCTTATTTCTGTTTCGGTTTTTCTGTTCTGTTTGGAATTTTATCAGGCAGGGTCAGCTAACGCGCGCAAAAATAACGTATTCTATAAAAAAAAAGAGTTAAACGAGGTCACAACCGCCTGCTCACGTGTTATTACCTATTCTCTTCTCTTCTCCAACTGAAGCGTGAAAATGTCGAGCAAATCCCGACGAGCTGGCACCGCCACACCGCAGCCCACCGGCACGTCCACCCCACGGGCACCGTCGGCGGGTCCCCAGCAGCACCACCACCAGCCGCCTCCATCGCAGTCCCAGCAAGCTGCCAGCCCCCTCAGTCCCACCCGCCATTCGCGCGTGGCCGAAAAGGTGGAGCTGCAAAACCTAAATGATCGTCTGGCCACTTACATTGACCGGGTGCGTAACCTGGAGACGGAGAACTCTCGTCTTAGCATCGAGGTTCAAACCACCAGGGACACCGTCACCCGGGAGACAACCAACATGAAGAGTATGTTCGAGAACGAGCTGGCGGAGACCCGTCGTCTTCTGGACGAGCAGGCACGGGACCGCGCTCGTGCTGAGATCGAGAACAAACGTCTGTGGGAGCAAAACGAGGAGTTGAAGTCCAAGCTGGAGAAGAAGACCAAGGAGTGCAACACCGCAGAGGGTAAGTAATCATGGTATAAGATATAAGGTATAAGATAAGATATGACATGGTATCTCAAAGCATATTTCGGAGTGGGTATCATGATCATTTTCAAAAACACCCCCGGCGCTCTAATCTTACAATCTTCTGGCAAACTGATCATCCCACCCTGGGTAGAAAGCAATTTCATCCGAAAACTACAATTGATTGATTTTTTCACCCCTTAGGCAATGCCCGCATGTACGAGTCGCGTGCCAATGAGCTGGGAAACAAATACAAGGATGCAAACGCTGAACGGAAGAAGATTAATGATGAGCTGAACGAGACCATCAAAGAGCTGGAGCGACTCCGTAAGCTGTACGAGGATACGCGCAAGGGTCTCGAACAGGAGACGTTGACACGTGTCGACTTGGAGAATACCATTCAGAGTCTGCGGGAGGAGTTGTCCTTCAAAGATCAGATCCATACCCAGGAGATCAATGAATCGCGCCGCATTCGTCAGACCGAGTACAGTGAGATCGACGGTCGCCTTAGCTCTGAGTATGATGCCAAATTGAAGCAGTCCCTTCAGGAGCTCCGAGCTCAGTATGAGGAGCAGATGCGCATCAATCGCGATGACATCGAATCGCTCTATGAGGACAAGATTCGTCGCCTGCAGGAAGCTGCCAATCGCACCCACAACACTACACACAAGTCGATTGAGGAGTTGCGTAGCACTCGTGTGCGTATCGACGGTCTCAATGCTAAGATCAACGATCTGGAGCAGACCAATGCCGTGCTCAACGGGCGTATCCGCGAGCTGGAGCAGCAGCTGGACAACGATCGCGAGCGTCATAACCAGGAGGTGGCTCTGCTCGAGAAGGAGCTCATCCGTTTGCGCGACGAGATGACACAGCAGCTTCAAGAGTACCAGGATCTTATGGACATCAAGGTATTTATGCGGTAAACAGTTTTCCAACTTGGATACTAAATGATTTTCTTCCTCTTAGGTGTCGTTGGATTTGGAAATCGCTGCCTACGACAAGCTGCTGGTCGGCGAGGAGGCACGCCTGAATATCACCCCGGCCAACTCGGCCACCGTACAGTCGTTCAGCCAGTCGTTGCGCAGCAGCACCCGTGCCACGCCCTCGCGCCGCACTCCCTCTGGCGCTCAGAAGCGCAAGCGTGCCATGGTGGATGAGAGCGAGGATCGCAGCGTCTCGGACTACTATGTGTCGGCCAGTGCCAAGGGCAACGTGGAGATCAAGGAGATTGATCCCGAGGGAAAGTTCGTGAAGCTGTTCAACAAGGGCACCGATGAAGTGGCCATTGGCGGGTGGCAATTGCAGCGACTGATCAACGAGAGTGGCCCGTCAACCACCTACAAGTTCCATCGGTCCGTGAAGATCGAACCTGGAGCAACGGTGACCGTCTGGTCGGCAGACACTAAGGCATCGCATGAGCCGCCATCGAACATCGTGATGAAGTCGCAGAAGTGGGTAGCCGGCGACAATACAAGGACGGTGCTGCTGAATGCCGACGGCGAGGCTGTAGCTAATCTGGATCGCGTCAAGAGAGTGGTGTCCACACACGTCTCCTCCTCGCGCCTGAGTCGTCGCCGCAGCGTGAGTGTCGTTGATGGCAGTGAGCAGCTGTATCACCAGCAAGGTGATCCCCAACAAACCGGCGAAAAGTGCGCCATTATGTAATCCCACGTTTCTTTTCTGACCCAGACAACAACAAAAAAAAAAAACGAAAAAAAAAAAGAAAAAAATCAACAAAACTCAACTCACACAAACACAGATACACATACAGATACAGTAGTAATCAGTTAAGATATTTTTTGTGGCCCACAACGGCATTAATTTAATCAAAACCGAAATATTTGTGTGGATCTGCTCAAGCAGCTAAGCGATAATCCTCGTTTCGTGAAGTTCTCGACCACTTCGTCTACAATACTTTTGTTTGCCCCCTTAAAACCGAAACCACTTTCATTAACACTTGTAATTTACTGTTTCAATGACAAACTTTTTCCACGTTTTATGTTAAGCTATCATTTTGTAAACTTTATATGGCATACGAAGGCGACGATTGTCCCGTAGATGCCACATACAGTTTACACGACCTAACACACATGTAGATTTGCCGCCAAGAACTTTGAAAATATTGCACAAGAACAATATTTTTGATGGACTTGCGGATCACACTTAAAAACAAATTAGAATTGTAAGAAATATCCAAGATACCCCAGATACAAAAACAACGAGCAGAACAATGAGAAATCGCTAAGATTATCCAAAATAACAAAACAAAAAGATGCTCCTAACAACAGACAGACAGACATATTTATTTAAGTATTTTTGTACAATCAGCATAAAATACAATATACATTATATATATAATAGAAACTTGCCTACGAAAATAATTCAGAAAGCCAGCAATATACAATGTATGATTCTTAACCATGGCCATAGGGTTTTGGACTCCCAGCCCCTCCTTGAATGCTTTCACCCGGTCCAAACCGGTTTCGGGCTTCCTGCAGCCGCTTTTTCATACCGGACAAGAAACTGAAACTAACACTGTAACAGGAAAACATGTACAACAATTACAATTAAAAAAAAAGTAATAATAACTATACGGCTCAGCGATGCGTCGCATTTTTATGAGTGGGCGTGGTCGCGTTTTACGCCGGCCAAAACAAATTCTTCGCCCCCGAACTATTTTACACAAGATGTTGAAAAGAAGGGAGACTAAATTTTAAGTACACCTATGTTTATGTAATGCTATTTGATAATAAAAACTAATAAAAACCATGTTTAAAATAAGAGATTTTAAGATGCTTGTGGGATACAATTCTGGAAACCCTATATGCCCTAAAGAATTCTGGGCACGTAGGGTATCCATCACTTTCGCCGTCTGGCCCTCGGCACTCGGCCCTTTTGACTTGTTTGTTTTGGGGTTTCTTTACTTTGACGGGTTATTTTTGGATTTTAAAATTTTATTTTGTGTATGTATGCGATGCGGGCTATGTTGTAATAGTATTTAGCTCAAAAGTTTTATTTTTGAGTGAATTATCAATGATGAAATACAGTGAGTGCCTCCATCCCAGCCGGCTTTTGACATTGGGGTGTCCTAAATGGGTGCCCAACATGACTCGAACGATGTGGCAACTTTGGTCGATAAATCACTCAAGCAAAGTCACTCAAAACGCGGGTTCATTCAACTGCAATTGCAGAAGAGAACGCATCCAAGAGATACACAGGGGGAGAACCTGTAAAGTAAAGTATCTCTCAGATGCAAACCCTGACCAAAGACCTGCGATAAGAGCAAAGTATCTCAAGGTTGCTTCTGCTGCCTGATTGTCGAATGCAGTTGGCCGGCTTGCGATTATTCTCTTTATCAGTGAGAGCGTCCACATTCGACCACAGAACCGCAAAACAAACTCAAACCCGAGATAATCGCCGCATAAATTGCCAGCCCAAATGAACAATTGAACAGTTTCAGCTCGGAGCTCAAATTGAAAATAAGCGAGAAGCAGCTCAGCGATTGCAAAAGTATCTGGAAGAGTAACCCATTCGCCTGGGTTTTTGGAGGTGAGTAACCAAAGTAGCCGTGAGGTTCAAGTACACATTCGTGTTGCCAAGTGAGAACGAAAGTGTTATTTCGGTGGGGACAACGCCATAAATGGGTTAATTGTCAATAATGGGTGAATGGGAGCGGCTTATCAGTCGAGTACAACAATAAACAAAAACGCACTCGTTTTTAAATAAACCGAAAACAATGCAGATTGAAATGTATCTTATCCGGCACATCAAAGATCTAATCTAAATCCTTGGCAGTTTGGCCACACGCTGGTTTTGTAGAATTTCGCGATAAGGTCTTTGTTCTACGCTTAAAAAAAGGTATAGTCCCGTAGTCAATAGCAGGCATTTATTTTCAGTAACAAAAACTTATCTTTTTGTAAACAAAATTAGCTGTTTATAAATTATGAATCTTTAAATTAAAACCTTTGCAGCCGCAAGATGAGATTGGTGATATTGGAGACGAGCGATTCGGTGGGCAAGTGGGCGGCCAAATATGTGATGAAGCGGATCAATGACTTCCAACCGGGTCCAGATAGGTAATATAAACATTGTTACTTCTTCCCCTTGACGGATAACTCAAGGTTACATTGATATTTCAGATACTTCGTGCTGGGATTGCCCACAGGATCCACACCCCTGGGTATGTACAGGGAGCTAATTGAGTTCCACAAACACGGAAAGGTATCCTTCCAATATGTCAAGACATTCAACATGGACGAGTATGTGGGTAAGTTTCTTCTTCGTTTTTTTTAGTCTTTCATTTAATTGGATTTGTTTTAGGGCTTCCGAGGGATCACCAGGAGAGCTACCACTACTTCATGTGGAACAACTTCTTCAAGCACATTGACATCGAGCCCAAAAACGTCCACATTCTAGACGGAAATGCCCCGGATCTCGTGGCCGAGTGCAATAAGTTTGAGGATCAGATCCGAGAAGCAGGCGGAGTGGAGCTCTTCATCGGTGGCATCGGACCCGACGGCCACATCGCGTTCAACGAGCCCGGATCATCGCTGGTTTCGAGGACCCGAGTGAAAACCCTGGCGCAGGACACGCTTGAGGCTAACGCCCGCTTCTTCGACAATGACATGAGCAAGGTGCCCAAGCAGGCGCTGACCGTGGGCGTGGGCACTGTGATGGATTCCAAGGAGGTAATGATCTTGATCACCGGGGCGCACAAGGCCTTCGCCCTTTACAAGGCTATCGAGGAGGGGGTGAACCACATGTGGACCGTAAGTGCCTTCCAGCAGCACGCCAATACCCTGATGATCTGCGACGAGGACGCCACTTTGGAGCTGCGCGTCAAGACTGTCAAGTACTTTAAGGTATGCCCGCCTTCGCTTCAGGATCTCTAACTATACTAAACACTGGGTGCTTAAGTAGTTCCCGAAGGTTTCGGTGCTCCAGTTCTAACCCATGCGACACATATCCCCAAAATAGCTTCCACTTCAATGGTTGTTGAATATTTTTAAGGTCTAACTGGTAGAGTTACTTATTGGCTTGTTAACTTACAAGGGGCTTGGATGGTTTTTAGCTAGAAAATAAGGCTTGGTTAAAAGAAAGTCTGTTAATGATTGGCTGATGGCCGCTCCCCTAATTTCGCAGGGCATTCTAAGAGACCTAGACGAGGGCGCTCTTCAGGAGGGCTACACAAACTGATTTTCGAGTAATGTATATTCAATATTGTTTTGAATTACCCCCTCTGCACATTATGAAATATTTCTTATATATTTAAGTATATGTTTTGACTAATAATAACGATTTATAGATGGTTAAGCAAAATGAAATGTAAGACTCGAGCAAAATCAAAAGGTCTCCCAAAGAAATGGATGTTGGATCACACCCTGAAACCCAATTTGCGGATTTATATCGGATTTTTAATAACCGCCTTATTCAAAGAAATATAAACTGAGATATTTTTAAATAAAAATGAAACAAAAAGTTTATTTTTTAAATATAAAAGAAGTAAATATTTTGTTTTTGAAAGAAAGATATGGGATGATTTTGAACTATGAAAAATGTGCCTTAAACTCTTGAGTGTAGTATTACATTTATTTATATACCAAAAAGGTTTTAATTAGTAATTTTTGTTACATTTTTCAGAGCCTTATGGATGTCCACTCCAAGCTGATAGAGCAACAAAAGACAACGTAACCTAGAGACCCTAAAGGATCTACCATCGAAACTCGCCTCATAATTTTATACCTGCTGCTTCAGTAAAATTTTTACGAACAAAATCAAAACTTTTTAAACGTTAGTTTATACGAATTTTGAAAAACATTTTATTTTAAAATATTAAATAATGTTATAAAAATAAATGGTGTGCCTTCACCGAATAATTTTAAAATGTTTGTGAGTTGTTTTTTGGTTTTGAAAAATGAAGAATTTTTAAAATGATAAGAATATATTTTAAAATGTTTGTTTTATTTAGTAAAATGTTTGTAACATTCTATTTGAAAAATAATTAAAGTTAGTAAAATAAAAGTAATATTAAAAGTAATTTCAAGGATATGCCAGGCTATGCCTTTCCCAGGATCTTGTTGTCCGAGTAGACAAACTCCTCGTGATCCTCGATAAGGCGGAACAGTTCCTTGGCATAGTAGATGGATCGCACCGACTCCTCGAGTATGAGCTGGTGGTTCTGGACGGCTCGTCGCACTTGCTCGTGGATGAACATGGCCTCCAGTCGCTTGGCCCGTTGAGTGAGTCGGCAGGCCTCGTTGTTCCGCAGACGGGCCTCTCCGGCCGTAAGGCGGCACTCTACGGCGGGCTGATGACGGGCGGCGTTGTCGTGGTAGCTGCAGATGTCGCCAATTACGCCGGCATTTGTGTTGTAAATACCATCGTTGGCACTGATCACGGTGTTGCCAATGGTGATCGGAGTGGTGATCATTTCACGTCTCAGATGCTCGCGGACCATCTCATGGAGGGCGTTCTTGCGGGCGATCCTCAGATAGCCGCGGCGAATGTGCTTCCTGCCCAGCTTCTCTCGCATCGCCTTGAAGCTGAAGACCTGGGTGCCCCATACCTTGCCCTTCACCGGCTTTGGGTTCTTACGGTCTGCTCGAGGATCCCGGAAGAGCTGCCTCTTGACCCGCTTCAGGCTTTCGGTCCTCGGCGAGAGTCTCTCCGGGCGAAGGCAGCTGTTCACTTGGTGCCAGATCTCATTCTGGGTGCACAGGGCTGTGGCGGTGGAGGTGCACCAGTACATCTTGTGGCCCATTCCATTCATCAGATACAGTTGGCGGATGCACTCGCTCAGGAAGCTGCGCTTAGTAGGGCTCTGGAAGTTGGGCGGATTGTTCAGGACGTAGTGATCCCTCTTGTACACCACGCAGTAGCTGTAGCCCTGATCGCCGGTTGCCATGTTTGCGGGTTTCTGGTAAACCACTAGCTGCTGATCCTTGTAGTCGATCGGCGAGTTGAATATGAAGATCTGGTTGCGGGACGCTTCTTCGTTGGGAGTACGGAACATCAGTAGCTTCTGAGAGTTTGCAGGCTTGTCCATGTCCGACGAGAATTGAAAACCGAATGATACCGTTCTAGTCACTTCGATGAGTTTATATATTGATTCAGGTAGTTTCCTCAGGAGGACTAGGACGAGTGTTACCTGTGAAATTCTAACCTGTGTCCAGTTGGCATCCTTCTTTCGTACCTTCTGGCAGGCTTTTCTGGCGGGTCAGATGGGATGACCTGGGATTTTAGGAGCTTATAAATTCTTATAGTTAGTTCCAGGTATACGACAAATGGACCATCTGTCACATTGCTAATTTCCATATTGTCTACCAATTTGTATTTTATTTTTAGGTAAAGTTGATCTTACGGTTACCTATACTTATAGGTCTATAGTTTTTACCAAGATTTAAAGAGTATAGTAATCTCCACAGTTTTTACAATCCAGAAGCTTAAATATTTGTATGTTACCAGTTTATTTCTTGATTTAAGAGGCAATACAACCAACGAGCCATAGTTCGAATCGATGTAACTTTTAACAGTTTTTCCATAGCATACTTAGTATCTAATTTCCTATGATAGTTTGGTTTACAGGTTAGGTTAAGGTTAAAAACCCCAACGAAGTTTAAATTTTTATCCACAACCTCGTCCAGATCACTAATTAATGACGAAATCACCTTTTCTCCTTTTTAGATACAGTATACTATCCTATCCCATGATACAATTATAATAATGTCATGTCCTATTCTATCCTATATCCAAGTAAGCTTTTTGAGTGACCTTTTGCTGAATTCGACTTAATCTTGAAACTTTAATATATACGTTTTTAAAAGTAATTTACAAAATACTTTTTTAAATAAAACAGAGAAACGTAGTAGCTTTTTAAATGAGGAATATCATAAATTTCTCAGTTGGCCGAGTAATAATTTGTCAGTCTGACAGTCTTGGAACTAAAATCAAGAAACAAAACCCTTCTGACATAAGAGCAGGAAAAAATTATATTTGTCCAGGCAATTTCGAAATTGTAAGTGCTTCTTGGCTATAAGAAATTCCGAAAGGGATTCAAATTGTTATATGGACCTGAGCAGGCTTGTGTAATCCAAAATTTTGCTAATCCATACCAGGTGCGCGGCCATAAAGCAGCGACAAGTTTAAGCCAGCGTGAGGACCTGTCCTAATTGTTTTCCTGCGTCCTGCAAGAGCGCCCAGGTAAAGCTCGTGGTCAGGTAACCAGATCTGGATCTCTGTAAACCCTTTCTGCCATATCCTATAAGTTTCAGAAGCAAGCAATTGCAGCTGTCAGAAAGAATCGAACCATCCGATCAGTAACAACATGGGCAATGTCATGGATCGCAAGGTGTCCTGCGCGGAGGCAAGGAGCATGACTCTACCCCCCGCCGCCCCTCCTGCCGCCTTGCAGGAGAAAAAGCTGATCTTAAGGAAAGAAACTAAGCCCTCCGCGAACTTGTCATTCCACCTGTTCACCTACAGGCAGCAAATGGGCTGCAAGAAACACCAGCTTCTAAAGTGGGCCAGCTCGAAGCTCCTGCTTACCGAGGAGCTCTTGAAGCTGCAGTCAAAGCCAGGAATGCCCTCTACAAGCTCCTGGACCAATTTCGATACCATTCAGGTGTCGGATGACGACGAAGATGAGGAGAACCGGGAACCTGCCGTGGACGCCGAGTATGTTTTGGAGCAGGAGCTGTGCCACCTAAAGAACTATCGCTTGTCGCTCAGGGGCACCATTCTGGAGATGGCCCAGGATAAGATGAAAAAGCGCGATAAAAAGATGAAGATAAAGCGTTTGAAACGCCGGACCCTAATCTCCTCCAAAAAGCCCAGCAACAAGGAAAAGTACAAACAGTGGCAGATGCCCAATAATGAACACCACCATTCCCAGGATAACCAGCCTATGGATGTCATTGTCATCGATTAGTAGATCTTAAGTCAAATCCTAGTCCCCAAAGCTAATTAAGTCGTTGTCCTCGTTGTAATTGTAAATTAATTTAGCATTTAGTTTGTTTTAGTTGGTAGAATCATCCATTAAAATAGTTTACACGAAAAATTACAATTCCAATGACCTTTTGATTGACTCCACTGAGTTCCGAATTCAAAGTTCAATGAGCCCTGTTGGCCATCCTTTGACCCCTATCCTGCGCCCCAGATGCTTAAACCTTAATGCATATTTAATCGGACTCGATTGCGGAGAGTAATTGAGTGCCAATATTCCAGGATTTCAGGATTCAGTGCCTATCCTGTTTCTGTATCCGATTTAATTTTTGGTCCTGTCTCTCTGAATTGGAGTTGAAATGCTAAATCCTTTTCACAATTGTTTAACCCAGTTACCATCCAAAATGACCCAAAAATCCCCTCAGCTCGTTTATCTCTTTCATAATATTTTTCGGAAGTGATAAACTGTTATTCTCTTACCCCATTTTAGGGCCCTGTTAGCCCTTTCCCCCACTTGGCCTAATCTAATCATGCAACTAATTAAATTTATACACAAAAACCCACCCGAGTGCAGTCGGGAGAGCCAAATAAATTATTGTGGGTCATGCAATTGCGTTTTGCAATTACGGGAAAGTTTGAAGGATATTAATGTGGCCCCAAAGGAGCGACTCTTTGAACTTGTCCCAGAAACGTGCCGAAAACAGGACCCCATTTTCAGCAATTAAAAATGTGCGAAAACGGAAAGCAATTATAGAATATTTGAAGCGACTAATATGCCGCAAATATGCGTTATTTTAATAAAATAATTATAACCTTCTTAGGTGGATGGAAGAAGGATGTGGATTTAGGATGCGGTTGGTGGCTAGGAATTGGGAACGCACTTCGCATTCGCAGACAGTCGCCATCGCTGGCTGACACAAATTCCCTTTCAACTTACACAACAAGCTCTCCAGCTCTCGAAAGGGGCTGCAATTTCGAATTCCTTGCAACGCATCAAAGCTCAAACCGAATTGTGACATGTCCTGTTCTAGTATCACCCCAATACCCATCCCAAATCCACTTCCGCCAGGACACACCCGCACCCACGACTCACCACCCACTGCGCTGGCGACCTTAAACAATGCTGCAATGCCCCACCAAGCGACCATTGCGATGTGAGAAAAGGCAGTGGCACTTGCACTGAAAAATATTTGGATATATTGAAACTTATGTAATATTAATTAAGTGATAAAAACAACTATGGAGAATTGAAATACAAATCATTCGTGGTATTCCGTTTAAAAATAGGATAAATATTGACAAAGATACAGTCATAGTTTGGGGGCATATGTACAAAAACAAGGATTTTTATAGGGGTCCCATCAGAAAAATAGGAAAAATATCTATCGAAAATTGTGATCTTAGGTTTTGATATAGATTCTAGCATAATGTAGAATCCAAAGTTTTCGCTAAAGAATATGATAATAATTACAGATACAGGTTTGTTCTGGGGCCCTATTATGCTTTTCACGGTTCCTCAATATTTAATTATGAGTCCATTAAAGAAAAACAATTTAAGCCCCATCGGAATTAAATGTATAAATAAGCCGAGACCATAATAAGTTGTTCTCAGTGCAATGGGTAGGTCCTTTGAAGAAGCTAACATCCCCTTCCAGGCCTTCGCCTTTTCCTGCCACCTAAACGCATGTGTAGCGATTGTTAATTGCCGGCGAGGCGGAAGCTTCTAAGAATTTTTGCTTTAATTAAATTTTTTAATAAATACGAAACATTTTTTATTAATGGCAAGCATTTTTAGCAAACGCCTTAAAGAAATGTGATGCGTTTGCCACCCTTAGAAGTTGTTTCTTTCCCATCCTTGAGGCAGTTTGCGAATGCCTTCCGGTGTGACTAATCCTAAAGACGGAATTTCAAAGAAAAAGTTGTAATAGATGATCTATTAGATAGTAAGAGAGAAACCAACCACCAAAACCAGGGAATATATTTCTTAATCATTGAGAAAGAATTTCTAGCAAATAACTTTTATGAAGTGTAATATTTTCACATCGTAGTAGCATTGATTTTCGAATTTGGAAATTGTCAAAACTGTAACCCGACTGTGTACGTGGGATCTCTCATTTAGTATTTGAGTCTTGCAAAATTCGTACGTTTTCATTCGTTTCGTTTATTTGAAAAATCATCAAAATTTTATAAAAAAATAGTAGTAAATTTTCGTCTGATTTCATCGGCTCCCTTTATTTTCTGTCAATTCATTTTGTGTGTTCGGTCTAAAAATAAATCTAAAGTGCAAAAAACACTAAAGCACCTCAAGACGAAGCGGACACCATTTCATCTGGAAGTTGCAGAAACACTAAGGAGCAAGCAATCCAAGAACTAAATTAAGGATCCTAGAAGGTATTTATTTTAATATTTTATGGGTTTTGGCTTGACCTTTTATCCTTTGTATGGCCACCAAAAATGTTATATGGCGCCTATATAAATTATTTCAATTTTCAAAAATTTAATAATTCGGATGAATTTTAATATTCCTCTTCCTTATTGAAAAAAAAATTTTTTTTAAATATTTATGTAGGCAAATTTCTAAAATTTCAAATATTGTTGTATTGTTAAAAATATTGTTCAAAAATGCTTTCAAATAGTTGCCCTTGAAAGTAATGTTAAGATGGATTAACCCAGTCTCCCATCTACTCACATTAGTCTACTTTCACAATTTATACTAATAAGGTTTGATTTTTCGTTAGCACAGCTGTAGAAAAATCACATTTCAAGATGTCTGAGAATATTGTGTGCCACAAGTGCAATGAGGCCATCACCAAGAAGATGATCACCGCCCTCGGCAAGACCTGGCATCCGGAACACTTCCTCTGCCGCCACTGCGAGGAGCAGATCGAGGATGCCACCTTCAACATCCAGGACGGGGAGCCGGTGTGCGCCAAGTGCTTCGTGGAGCGCTACACGCACACCTGTGCCGGATGCAAGAAGCCGATCCTCGAACGGACCATCTGCGCCATGGGCGAGAGCTGGCACGAGGGATGCTTCTGCTGCGGCGGAGCCTGCAAGAAGCCCCTGGCCGATCAGCCTTTCTACGAGCGCGATGGAAAGGCCTACTGCAAGCAGGACTACGAGGACATGTTCGCTGCCAGGTGCGCCAAGTGTGAGAAGCCGATCACCGACAGCGCCGTCATTGCCATGAATGTCAAGTGGCACCGCGACTGCTTCCGTTGCAACAAGTGCGAGAATCCCATCACCACCCAGACCTTCACCATCGAAGGGGATAAGCCGGTGTGCCCGGCCTGCAATTGCTGAATCGTCCATCACGATTTAGATCCTTTCAACAAAAACACTTGCTTGGCAATTTCCATTGAAAATTCGACACCACTCCTTGAGGTGTTCAGCACTAGTTCGTTTAATGCGTATGAAATATTTTAGTTAAAACTCGGCAGATATGTATGTTAATGGCAAAATTTCGGAACGATTCAATCAGATAAATTAATTTTGATCAGAGACTTGAAATACTTATAATGTAAAGCACACACGAATTCCACCCAGAACTCACTACGAACCAACCAAATAATTAAAACGACACAACCAAAAAAAGTAAAAGAAATGGTTTTTTTAATGGGTTTATTTTTTGGGTTTTAAATAATATAATGTGGAGTTTCTTCCTTGATATTACCTACTTAAGATGCGACTATATATTTGGCTTGAGAGGTGCATTAGATTCTGGAGTTTACTCTTAATATACTCTACTACTTTGAATTTTCCATGGCATCCCCACAATCTGCTTTTTCAGCAAACAAATGCTAATCTTAATTAAAATGCAGCCACTGAGCCTTCTTGGATGTTAGCAAACATCTATGTTTACACGCTACCAACATTTCCCACAGCCTCCCTGGAGATACCTTATCGAAACCCTTTCCCAATTTTGGTCAAATATTTGCCGGGCCTGTCAGGGAAAGTGCCCGACATGAGATCATATTTCCAAAGGTAACCCCGATGTGAGGAAAATGAAATCATCAGTAGGGAAACGAAGCTTAGAGCCATCCCAACCAGACATATCTGTGCTATTATCTCACAATTTCATTTGGTCATATCCAGATCCTCTATCAGTTAGCAGATAATAAAGGGAAGTTAGGGCGAAAAAAATTCAAATAATAACCAAGCAGCTCTTTTGCTGCGTTGGGAAATGGAAAACCTCGTGAGGGTGTCATCGCGAGGAAAACTCTTCGTCGGTTGAAAATACGAAGTGCGGTCGGTTCTGTGGTTTTGAGGCTTTGGAGTCCCCGGCTGGTGGTTTCAGTTTCATTTTTCGAACGGAGCCCGAGCAAAGCGGTTCGTTCGGTGGCTCAGCCGGTTCCTTCATATCGTTCCCAAAAAACAGTCGGTTTCCGCGACAAAAAAGGTGGCTAATTAATTGCCAAGCTAAACTGTCACATAAATAATTGTCACCCGGGCAAAAATTAAGACTAAGGAGACTGCGATTTTTGGCCAGCTTGGCGGCATTGCCTGGCATCCATAAATTGCAGTCGGGAAAATCAAGATCGTGTCTACGAGCGTTGCGAGACTTGCAATTTATTACTCAATTACGGTCGGGCTTACCAGATTTGGTCGGAAATCCATGTTTGGAAAATATCCTCACTTCACCTGGCTTTCGGACAACTCAATATAATCGTGTAGATTTTTTGCCCAGATTGTCGGCAGATAATTGTGGTTCAGGTGTGCGTGTTTACGCTAATTTTTTAGATGCCCAATACCTGTAATTATACAAATGCTCCAAAGTTTTTAACAATTTTCAAAGTGTAGTTAGCCCACTTGAAATATCTTAATGCTTCTCTAATGACAACTTTGCAACAACTAATTAAAATATCATAAACATTTAGTAGCCAACTACTTATTAGAAAATACCAAAGTTGACGGCTTTATGGACTTTTAATAAATTTATTGTAAAATGCTAGACAAGTCGTAAAATATAATTGTAATTTTAATATATTTCTTTATAATTGCCTCGCTGACACAAGATTAATTGTGAACATATGTAAATGATAATTAAAAGATTAATTTGCATATTCGAAATGACTTTGCAAGTGTTCAGGTCTAGAAACTCAAACAATGAGATCAATTAGAGTTGGTTTGTTTTTGTCAGTTTGTTCTGGTCCAACAGAACATCACGTATACGCCACCTTGACAGCGGCTGGCAGACCCTTTTTCGTGGAAACCAAACAAGAATTCTAAGCTCTCGGGCCAAAAAGGTATTGATGCTCCAGTCGCATTCTTTTCCAATTTGCCAATGACTGTGAAGGAAAAAAATAATAAAACCGAAACAACTAACGAGGGGCCAAACACTGACAAAAATGGTCAACTTTACAAATCTTTTTAAAGAAAATAAACTATTTTTCGAGTGTTTTATTTTTTGACTTGCAAGCTGAGAAAATTCCGCATTTTCCTGTAAAGTGACAACCCATCATCTAAATTTAGAAATACATTTTTGTCGCAGTGCAGCAAAAAACAGTCGGGGGCAGTCACTGACACTGAAGAACCTCCACAGTCGTACTTTGACTTCTGCGGTCGTCGGTTGTTTGCTGCTGCTTGTTTCTTGGTTGTTAGTTGCCGGTTCTGAATTGCCTTTTTAGGCGCAACAGGACGCACCTTAAATGCCAATCCCGATCCCGGCCTGGCTCGCTTAACCTTTAATTGGAAAATATACATATAAGCCCAGACACTACCGCTGCCGTCGAGGCCTTTCAAACTCTCTCTAAAATTGGCAACCGGTTGCCTACCTCCCATGAGTGTGTTCCGGCGTGGATAGTGTGTAGTTTGGAGTATTTGGTGTAGTACGAGCAATGCTTTAAGCCTCTTTATGTCAGTCGTGTGTCATTAGCATCCGCCGGCGGAGTTCCCAGTGTGTCAAATAATTTGAACTTTAAAGTGCTCAGGTGGCGAGGAGCTCTTGCAGACGAAAAGTAGACAGCAGACACTTTGACGGGCTCTGTTTTTTGTGCACACTGAGGGAAAAATGGGGCTATTAACATATAGAATTCCACAATACCCAGAATAGTCTTATTTTCCTTTAAAAGTCTCTAGGATCTGTAAGACTTTACGATCTGCCTCTGAGTTCTGTGCCCTAAATTCTTGAAAAAAAACCGCATAACTATGTTTCTAATTACTAAAAAAAAATACAATTTTTCCTTGAGTGTTTGTGAATTACTTATCACGTTGTTTGACTTTGGGGTTCGTTTGAATTATGCGTGCTATCTTCCATTGCCATTCCTATTCCCCGGGCCGGCGAGCAATTGTCTCTTTCGGGCTCTTTTTATCACACCTGCCGTGCACCGTTGGATACCGCACACCTCACACACGCCACACACACACTATTCCTACCGACAAGTAGAGTGGAGCAGAGTGGAGTACTCCATGGAGTACACGTACTTCCACTTTGTTTGGCTCTTTTCATGGCACGTCCTCCTCGAGTGTTTGGCTGGTACTTGCTTGGAATTCGTTAGTTTTGGGTTTGCCGCATGTCAGTCTTTGATTTTTATTCTCCTTCAAGTGGCAAATTAACTATCATGTTAAGTAATTTTAATTAAACTGCGTTAGCTCAGAGTTGGCAGAGATACACATATGTAGAATAATGTGCCAATTTTAAAGTATTTCAAGTCTAAACCCACGAAACAATGAAGTAATCCCTCAAATACAAAATTAATTACTTGCCCAAATAACTTAATTAAATTATACCATTTAAAAACCAATTGAAACAAGACAGATGATTCGCCTCTAAATGAATTGGCAAAAAAACAGATAAAAACTCCACTCCCCAAAAACTTGAAAAGTAAACTAATCAGAACCATAAGCTTTCAGACCCGGCGGTACCCAAAAATAGAAACCAAACACCATTTAATAACAATATCGATAAATTTGTAATTCCATAAAAAGAAAACAAATTCGAAGCTCACTTTGAATTGCAACAATCGCAAAATTCGTAGACCCCGAGGCATTTTAGAATTTGTTGGGGGACTTAACCGAATGATAAATTAAATAACAGCCGGGAGTGTGGGCGCCGCTATCAATAAAAAGAATTTTTATTAATAATGCTTCAGTGGCCCTCAAAAACGAAAAAAATAAAGATCACGACGACTTTTGGGGCACTCGATGTCTGCTGGTTTTTGTACTCATTGTACTTTATTTCTATTATTATTTTTTTTTCATATTTCCTGCTCTGCTTGGCTCACACATTTCGCACATTAATTGATAAATGTAGCTTATCAATTTGTGATCAAAGTAATTAACTTGGCTGACGACCCGAACGTGGCTAATTGCCGACATCATTGAAAAAGAAGACCAGCCCAGATAAAAACTGAAAACAAATGCAACACACCATAAAAAACTATCAAAATGAATAACAATATAATGTGTAAGGATTGGCAGAAAAAACTAATAAACTATTTTTATAATTGTGAAAACAATTAACAATTAAACAAGTGAAAAAAAAAGCCAAAAATTGGCCAAGTGATAAAAGACTTTTAACCAGAAAATACCAAACAGATCTGAGATGGCTTCCAAGTACACTACTATCATTGTGACACTTTTCACAATTGTCATACAACAAAGGCAGCACTATTGTTTGGGTAAGTAAGACAAATATGTAGTAATAAAAAATATATTAAGACAAACCCCCAAAAAAACACACAAACAACAGACAATGGATTGAGTAATTCCTGAAAAATTCTTTCAAACCGAGACAGTTATACTTTTTATTGAATAATAAAATAAGTTAGAGACATACGTTCAACAAGTGCCATAATTTAAATTCTACTATGGTGTTACTTTTAGAATAAAAATATTTCATTTGCATAAACACTTAAGACTTGTGAAAGATTTACGACCTACAGAGACAACAAACTATTGCAAAAACTATTAAAGAAAATAAAGTTAAAAAAAAAACTTAAGCCTTATACCTTTAGACATAGTCATATTGAATCAAAAAGTATTTAAGTTAAGCTATTTTTGGCTTAAAAACTCCTTTCCAAAACCAGTTTTTCGCATTTTGAGTTAGGGTAATAAAATTTCCAACACCCTGCTCCCCTTTTTATTTACCTAATCCAATTAATACCCGATTGTTTGGTAATTAAAATCGACTTATCTGGGGTATATGGTCCACCCATTAGGCCCCTTCTCTACCCCTCCCCAGGTATTCGGGCAAATAAAAACCCCATAAACTGCAATTACACTTATTTGCATCGAGTGGCAGCCAACAAACTCCACAGATAACTTTTATTCAAACAGTCGCGGGACGTGGGAATCCAGACGCAGATATCAGGCCCCTTTATGACCCTTCTCCAAGGGGAGTAACTCCGGAGTTCAGATCGGTGTTCTTTTATCTGGTTTATGATGCACTGCTGAGCTCATAATTACAACTCCAGTGCGTTCAAAGCAGCCCACAAGGTTTATTCGATTGGCACAGGTGTGAACTGACGCTTTATTCAACAGACAGCTTTGACAAGTTGGTAAGCGATATGTGGGCCTGGCTTTTTGCCTGTCTAGGTTGCTGACTATCTGACTGACTGACTGACGGATGGTGATGGACGGAACTACTACCGAGAAGGCCCCAGGGACAATACCGCAGAAAAATGAGCTTGATAACTAGAGTTTAATTTAGAAAAAAGTTATTTTTGTAGGTGGAGTACCGGATATTATATTGTATATTATGTATATGTTTATGCTTATTATTAAAAAAATATACTTTTTCTCTTAGTGTATGACGTGCAGAATAAACACCACACACACCCAGTACCATATTTTATCACGCTGTGAAGACGCCAGATATGATGTATATTTTTGGGGGATGACTTACTATATTCCTCTTCAGCTGACCCTCACGGTCCTTTTATGCCTTGTATTTTTAGTTATTTTTTGCCCGTCAAGTTGAATGCACTGTACTCTGCCCAACGATGCCTTCATCGGTCAATCAGTCACCCGGGTTAAAGGTGTCGAAATGCCTGCCAGCTGTCGCTTGCCCCGTCCCTGCGGACTTCATGAATTTATGTGCAATCAATTAAGTCAATAGGTGTGTGCCTCCGTTCCGAGTTTATTTCCAGTATTTTTTACGAACATTGAGTGGTTCGCAAGTCCGCCTCCGGCTGTTCCATGACTTCAATTAAAGTATTTTGTTAAGTAACTGGTACTTTCAGATATTTGCCAAAAAGATAAAAGGTTCTCTGTCAAAATTCTTAAAAAATATACACCTACAACTATTGTATGCCCCCCAATTGAAAAACTATTCTTTTAGTTTTTTATCGATATCACTTATAGTGCCACAAACAATCTACAAATTATTGTTTTTGCAACAAAAGTCCCAGCTAGTTATTTCATATTTTCCTCACACATGAATAGATTTATGAGCGAGCTTGGCACATTTATCAGACACCAAGGTTGTTGTCTTGTCTTGGGACAAGAGAACTTTAAATTTGCATAACAAAATATTATAACAAAAAAACTGAAATCCACTTATGAGATCTGTCTCTGCCACTGTCTGTAGGATTGTCGCACCCAGGCTGGGATCCCAGATATGCCACGATTCAGATCCAGAAATCGAGTTTATAATGCACTCCCATTCAGTACCAGTTCCAGTCCTTCTAGTCTGCAATCTGCATTAATTTTGATTACTCTCGTTTTTTATACGTTTTCCGGCTCAAGATACAGTCTTCCCCATTCGAATAATGGTTTACAATTTAATGATTTCTTTTTAAATATTTTCCAAATACTAGTACTCTATATAGTCCTTTGCAATTTGACTAATTATAGACCCTATTAATTAGCATTAATTAGCATATACTTTAAGGTCTGACTTTGACTAATGCTCTCGCGACCGGCAAATGCTTTTTGTGGTGATGACAGGGGGCAATTAGAGGAGCAGCCCATCGATCACCCCCGAGGGTCACTTACTTTTTCGTGGACGTGCTCTTGGCTTTTTGGACACGGGTGTGTCTGCCTCATATCACCCTGAATCCCCCGCCATGGACAGATACTTTGAAGTCCGCTTGGTGACTTCTAGTCTGCGGTTATTCTGCAATTTCCTTTTTTTAGTTTTTCTTTTTTTTAAATCCCATCCACTGACTGTGCATTTCTTTGTGCTAGACTGTAATGAAAATTGCATTTAAATCAATAACAACAATTTGTTTATGGTTAGTGGAGATACTCTCACAAAGATGGGGTTTAGTTCTACACATATTCTATAGATTTAAGTATAAAACCTTAGTACAAAGAGCATACACTATCCTACCACTAAAAGTCTGGAACAAAACAAGTATTTTAAATTGAATTTTCTTTGGCACCGGCAAAGACAAATTTTCAGGGCCAGCCAGGAGAGGAAATGGGAAAGCATTCAAGACACTTTCCTCGCCACACACTTCAATGGAGTGAAAGTAGAAAGCCAAGCGAAATAAATTTAATATTGCCAATCCACTGCAGCTAAGGAAATCCAAAGTGCCTGAGTGCCTGGGTCGAAGATTGGCTTGGAACAGGAACAGGAAGGAGCAGAACAATGCCAGTCAGTGCCAAGGCAAATAGAAAACAATGTCTGGCACACGAGACGTATGAGTAATGAAGAAAATAAAACAAAACAAAATGCAACAAACCCACAAGAAAGAAAATTGTCGGAAAATTTCAAGAAAAAAACCAGTAAGCCCCAACAAAGACAAAGTTTTCATTACACAGCGGTGACAGACAAATGGGTCTAGGATGCTGGGAAACACCAAATGAGTCATCCAATGACCTCCGAACTAAACACTAAAAAACAAGGACAATAAACCCAGTTCAGGAAACTGCAGAGGGGTAACAGGATAATCAACCAGGCAAACAACTGTCGACCTAATTCGATGCAAAGTCAATTAATTCGAGCAGATTAATTAGTTTATGGGGAACTAGTTGACATTTCATCCGCCGCAACGGCCGCACCTCATTTTGAAGTCTCAGTTACCTTTTGTGTCCTGTTGCCTATCCTGGCCAGTATCCACCAAGTTCAGAGGGCAAAGGCCCAACTAATGGCCAAATGCCAGGGCCCAGGTCGCCGCCCATCAATTGTTGACAGTGCTGTCATTAACGTGTTGGCTACATGGAGAAAAAAGGGGATATTCTTTGGTATTTTTTAAATAATTAAAATATTGTAATTTGGGAAGCTTTAGTTCTAGTTCTTTTTATATTTTTCAAGTGTAGTCTAGTCTAGTCTACTTCGCAAAGTATGTCCTGGGTTATCCTGTTAAGGCCATGTTTTATCAACTGTCGGTGGGAGTTTTTAATGCGCCATTTGCTCGTTTTTTAATTGTCAACCTAATAGATAACCTAATAGTCTTAGTCCATCCCTGTTTACGCTTTTATTCGTCCTGTCCGTTGTGGCTTTTTTGGTTTTACGGCTGTTGACTTTCGACCTGGGTTTGGTGGGTTGGATTGGGGGAAGGGTAAGTGGAATTTTTTATTGGTTTTATAGGACTTTGGGCCTTGGGGAGTAGACGGGGTCAAGTTGAGTTTAAATCGAGTACAGATTGGTAGTTGATACTTTAAATACCGTTTATCTGAGGTACTTAACGGATATTTAAACGGATTTTTATTTATTTTATTTATTTTTATTTATTAAGTAAAAAATCCTGTAGAGTATTTATTTTCTGTGACCAAACTCCTCCAAATAGCTGTTGTAGTCTCTCAAAAAATAAAGTCCTCACACCTTGCGGCAAGGAAATGTAAACACGAATAAATGAAGAATAAATGAATAAAAAAGCCGCTAATTGGGCGCCCCAAAAGGTAGGCTAGCCTCCAGCCGACTCAACTAAATGCCTGTCATAATTATGACCAAGCTTTTCAAGAGTTAACCAAATAGAGACACCCCTCAACAACAAACACTCCATAGAGTGGGTTCCATGGGTCTCCCCAACAAAAAACTATGGTGGGAAAATGGGTCCTTGATATGGCCTCTGGCCTGGCAAACATGATAAATAATAAAAATTGTTCATTACAATTGCTGACGCTCAGGCATGCGAAAAATGCTGATAAAATATGTAGATGAGGCATGTGGTTTCTGGTGTCTCCATATACGCGGAGTGCGCATTTATAATGACATTTTAAATGCTGCCATCGCGACTGGAAAGGAGCGTGTCCTTGGCGCCCATCGAGGGATTTCTCCCAGAAACGCAAGGACTCACCCACAAAAAACCGAGTATATTAATGCTGTCAGCGTTCCTAATGAAATATATACATACCGGAAGGGGGAGTTACTATGTGTGGCTCTCGCAGGATTAAGCCATCCTGCCAAATGGTGGCGCCAGTCCTGTTTATGTGAGAAACGCTTGCTTGAGATTTAGTGCCAAGTCCTTCAGCTCACAAGACATTCAAGGAAGGAAATATGGAAAGGAGGAAGGAAACGATCCTTGTGCACACTAATCAACTTTATTTTAAAAAGATTTTTAAAAGGAAATTAAGTTGGAAGGGGGAGCTAGAAACTATTTCATAAAATGAGCATATATAGTGCCCATTAAAACTTTATAGGGACACTCAATAGCTGCGATAAGAATAATAAAACAAAACTCATCCCTAATTAAACAGCATAAATAATTTTGGTAAAGTTATATTTATACAAATCAGAAAAGGTTCTATCCGTTTAATTTCTGTTTACTCACTCACCCCAACAAAAAAACGTGAAACCTATTCACACCATAACATTACAAGAGTTGTTCCGATACCCCTCCGGAAATATTTGTTCTACATTTTGTGGCATAAAATTGGGCCCAGGATCTGAAGAGGAAAATTTGTAACCAATTATGCTTGGGGTTGTATTTTTTCCGCACCACAAAGAGTTTATCGCTATCACAAAATAAATACGCAACTTGATGACGCCGACACTCGAACTGATAGGGGGAGCAAAGGACCCTTCCCCCAGAGGGTGATGGGGCGGACAGGCGTCATTTTTATAACCCATATGCTAATAACTAATATCTATATTATATTTATTTATCGCCTGTATTGGACTATGACTCGCATGCAAACAGGCACGACAACAATCGTGGCTCGTTAGGAGGGAAATCTTATCACATTACGCATACGCCGTGTAGACTGAATAGTGGAGAGGGTCGGATTTGGGGGGTTCTATTAAGGTCATCGCGGGCTTATTAAACTAAATCATTTGATTGGATTTGATGGCAACTGTCAGCACACACCCCCTGATGTTACACAAAAAATATATTTCCTTTCTTGAGAGCACACTTCAGAGGGAATATTAATCTGTAAATGGAAATGAATCCCTTTTGAAGTGAGAGGCCAGCAACCACTTGTGGCAGCATTAGGAAACACACCACTGACCCACACAATGACCACCCGCACTCCTGGCCAATACCACATGACGCCATTCCTATTGACTGACTTTCCACCCTTTATTATCTTTTTTTGCAGCCGACAATGTTTACTTTCCCAGCAAGGATGTGAAATTCAATCTACCCATAAACGAGGAATCGGAGAGCCTCTTCTCGAAGATGCCACTGGCCCAGTTCCAAGTGCTGGAGATGGAGACCAACCAACTGGCCAGGGACTACATCTACAGCCTGGAGGACAACTCCCTTTTGCGAATCAATATCACCTCCGGGGAGATATTCATGCGAACGGACTACAAACCTCTGAATCAAAGTGTCAAATATGTGGTCACCGCATTTCCCAAAGAGCAGCCGGAGAACGAACTGCTGCCCGTTACCCATCTCACCCTGGAGGTCGTTCCACAACCACTGGAGGACTATTGCGCCGAGCTGGAGAACGTTTGCTTTTGGAGCAGTGCCCAGTACAGTATAGCGGAATCGCACGGGGAGTACAGGAACCGAGAGTCCTTCGAGCCGGTGCTCATTGGAGCTTTAAGTTCCAGAGCAGCCAGGTATCTTTGCCACGTGACTCTGGATTACTCTATCACGGCGGGCAGTGCCCATTTCATTCTCAAGCAAAACCGGCTTTACTCGAGGAAGCCTATGGATCACGATGAACTCAATGGTCTAAACGCCAAGGCGGGTGAGCTGCACACCAGGATTACCTGCACCGCTAAACTGTTCAGCAAGGAGCTCAAGAAATTTTCCCGCTCCTTCGACATCAAGCTCCTCGATCGCAACGACAATGGACCAAAGTTGCAGGAAAGCGATTCCAAGTTCGATTTCTATCTGGATCATCCTTATTTCCAGGCGGTGAGTTCGGGAGTTACAGGTTTCCTAAAGGGGGGATGGAGTCGGACTGTACCGACTAGACCCTGCCCAGACGATTGTCTGGCAGCTGTCTGGGAAACCACTGGGTGCGGGCTTATTGAATCTTGGCATGATGAACGCCCCTAAGGCACGCAACCAAGACCCATGCACTGAGAGAAAATTTAAAAGCAGTGTTGAGCTTATGCTAACAATAAAGATTATCAATTTTTATGATTTAACGGTTTTTCAGTTGTAAAAAGTAATATATTTTTTATTTTAAAAAAGATTTTTAATATTTCCGAGTGCATTGAAAGACACCGTCAGAATGAAGTCTCTGCTTCGGTCACCCTGTCATTATTTGGCCATTACCGCGTCTGGGTCCTTCCGAGTTTGTTTTGGGGGTTGAGACTCAGTGCCTAATAGATAAACTTTGCCACATCCGCGACTCCTTGCCACACCCCCCTCGTCTCCTATGTTGCCATTAAAAACGCGTAACGTTTATGGGCTTTTATGATTGGAGCATGACAGACAGGATAGAGGGGCAGGAGGAGCTCGGATGGCACTAGTTGAAGTCCGACAAAGTCCCTTAAAGTTGCCACAATAGAGTAAATTATGTTGTCGTGTTCGAAACAAGCCAAGCCTATCCCCAAGGATCTGCGAACTGTGTCAGTTTGGCAGCAGATAGTGGGATCTCCTCCTCCTTCCAGGTGGAGTAATTGGTTTTGCACTAAAGTCCTTCCATTACAAATTGCTCTATATGGTGGTACATTTAAATAAGTGTAATGGACATTTTATTTTGTTTGAAAGAAAATTACAGGCGACATGTTAAGACATAAAAAGAACAAAGGTTTTGAAAAGGACACACCTCAGATTCCTCAAAAAACATAGATAATAAGGACTTGGAAGATCTGGGTAATAAAACTACTTAATAATAGGACACTTCAATCTTTAGACTGTAAGCCAAACTATTACATAAAATGTAGTCGGTTTAAGAATTTATTTAATTAAATAATTAAAACTGTGTCCCAATGGGTTTTCTTCCAAAACTTAACCCACTTGTTATTCAAATTTCATGTCCTTCCTACCTTAACAAGACTAACTATGGTTTTCCAACTAAAGCCTAAGTCCTAACTAGAAAACACCTGGCTAATGTCCTTGCCCCTGGGATACATTAAAAGGGAAAGGTGTTCTAGGATACCCTGCCCATGGAGGAGGGAAATGTCAGGTCCCCGAGGATGCAAAGCCCCAACCTGACCTTGCGCTCAAATGAAGTAACGCATCCTTGGAGGGCAGGCAGCCCTGCAATTTTCCATGGGGGTGCCAAGTGGAATTTAATTAGCACTGGTCAGTAAATGCTAATGAAGCAACCACTAATTCAAAACCCCTGTCCCTTAATTCTAATCCCAGAACGAGGAGGTGGGCGAGAAAATCATCTACGTAGACAGGGACACGCTGGCGGCGAACGCTCAGCTGGTCTACGCCATCCATAATGACACCAAAGAGCTCCTTCGTCCGGACTGCCACGCCTACGAGGCTGATCACACAGGCCGCCCGCACACTATTGTCAGTTGTCGTGAGTATAGAACACATAACCCCACATCCTGTCCAGAACTAGATTTCCCTTTTCCTTTCAGAACTTCGGTTTTCCCGCAGTGGAGTGTTCCATGACACACCTTACTGCGTCTCCTTGGAGTCCCGGGATAACACCATCGTGGGCCACAACGTGGAAATGTCAGCCACTGCCGACATTTGCATCCACATCGACTTGAGAAACCTTCATGGAACGATTCACGAGCTACCTCAGGCACTTCCGCTGCGATCACCTGTGCGCCGGATATTCGACGATAATGAATTCCACGGGGATTCGGGGTCTCGGGCCCGGGGTCCCATTACAGTGGACTACGAGAAGGACGTGTCTGTGTACCGGACAGCGTCTGCCTATAACAGGGTGGCCCAGCCGGATAGCTTCCTGGACCTGATGCGGATGCGCTTCATCCGATTCAACATCGTCGAGGATCGGAGCGGAGCCTTTGACATAACCCCGACCTCGGGGATTGTCTATGTCAGGAATCCCCAGGCCTTGGCGGAGGCGCCTGAGACTATATACTTTCTAAACGTAACCTGGATGGACAAGGAGCATGTCGCCCACGTCCGGGTTATAAATGTGCATCTGGTTCAGGGACGGCCCGAGAACACCAGCTGCGAGCTGCAGATCAAGTCCCGTTCGCAGACCTGCGCCCAAGTGAAGTACAGGAGTCAGTGCAGCCAGTTCTGTGGCCTGGCCACCGGAGGAGGAGCCTGTCAGTGGCGAGGTTCCCATACGGCAATGTTTAGCATCCGCTATGGTTCTTGCGTGCCCGATGCGCGATACTGTCCGGATCGTGTGTGCGATCCTCTGGAGGAACTCAACCCGATGGCCTGCCCACAAGACTGTACGCCGTCGAACAAAATAGTCGGCCCCCACACGTCTAATGAAAACAAAAGAGGAATATCCAGCGGATCGGGGACCTGTATCTGCGAGGACAACGGTCGGTGTTCCTGTGCTCCACTGGACGAGGAGCCTAAGGTTAAGAAGTCTCGCAAGCGGAAGAACGAAACCGATGCGGAAACACTTTTGGCGAGAAAGAGTGCCACTGGGGATCAATCCATGCAGGATCCTCTGGTCCTGGGAGTCCTTAACGTAGCTGGCTTTGAATGCAACAGATCCTGCATGTTTTTCCTAATCAGCTGTCCATTGGTTGTGGTTTTCCTGCTCCTTTGCTTGCTCCTGACCCAACGGAAGATGCTCCAGCGTCGTCTGGGCAAACAGTCATTGACTCCATCCAACAAACAAGCACCCGCAGAGCCTGGAGAGGGTGATCTTCCCCTGATGCCGCTGCAGAGTGGATTCAAGTTTGAGAGCTCCGATGGCAAATGGGAGTTTCCCCGTGAGAAACTGACTCTGGACGTGGTGCTGGGTGAGGGGGAATTTGGTCAGGTCCTTAAAGGATATGCCACGGAGATAGCAGGACTACCGGATATAACAACAGTGGCTGTCAAGATGCTAAAGAAGGGCGCCAACTCCGTGGAGTACATGGCTCTGCTGTCCGAGTTCCAGCTGCTCCAGGAGGTCTCCCATCCGAATGTGATCAAACTATTGGGAGCCTGCACTACATCCTCGGAAGCACCGCTTCTAATTATCGAATATGCCCGATATGGTTCCCTGAGAAGCTATCTTCGACTGAGCCGGAAGATAGAGTTTTCTGGTGTGGATTTTGCTGATGGAGTGGAGCCCGTCAGCGCCAAGATGATGCTAACCTTTGCCTGGCAAATTTGCAAGGGAATGGCCTATCTCACGGAACTCAAGGTGGGTTAGCTAGACACTTAGCTTTGACTAGAGTCACTATTATTAACAATTTCTATTTAATAGCTGGTCCATCGGGATTTGGCAGCCCGGAATGTCCTTTTGGCGGATGGCAAGATTTGTAAAATATCCGATTTCGGTTTGACCCGAGATGTCTACGAGGATGATGCATATTTGAAACGCTCTAGAGATCGGGTTCCAGTCAAGGTAGGTTTCTAGAAACCCCCAAATACTCCCAATTATTCTATAAATTTCTTCCATTTCCAGTGGATGGCTCCAGAGTCTCTGGCAGATCATGTGTACACCAGCAAATCGGATGTTTGGGCTTTCGGCGTTCTCTGTTGGGAACTGATAACCCTCGGAGCTTCTCCGTATCCTGGCATAGCGCCTCAAAACTTGTGGTCCCTTTTGAAGACAGGATACAGAATGGACAAACCGGAGAATTGCTCGGAGTCAGTGTACTCCATTGTGCGAACCTGCTGGGCAGACGAACCAAATGCAAGACCATCTTTCAAGTTCCTGGCCTCGGAATTCGAGAAGCTGCTCGGAAACAATGCCAAGTATATCGACCTAGAGACGAATGCCGTTTCAAATCCCCTATATTGCGGCGACGATGCCGCGCTAATGACCTCCAGCGATTTGGGTGAACCCGAATCCCTGCAGCACTTGTGGTGGCCACCCAAGGTAGCCTACGATATTCATGACCAGGGAACCAGCTACGACCAGTCCGAGGCAGAGATGCCAACTATTTCCATGGCACCTCCTGGCTACGACTTACCACGCCCCTTAATCGATACCACCTCGAAGGAGCAGGTGTTGAGGTACGAGAACGATTTGAGGTTTCCTCTGAATATCCGAAAGTCCAGCTGCACTCCCAGCTACAGCAACATGACCAGTGGCTCTCCCGCGGCCACAGCTCTGCCCGAATATGCCGTTCCTGTTAAGAGGAATCACTCCTATCTGGACATGACCAACAAGAGTCTCATTCCGGACAATCTGGACAGCAGGGATTTCGAAAAACATCTTTCGAAAACGATTTCATTCCGATTCTCAAGTTTGCTAAATCTCAAGGAGTCAGCAGAAACATCTCCGGAGCAGCACCAGGACGAAAATGCTGTCTAGAGCAAGATCCTTTTTCCATAATTTAATGTGTATAGTTTCTCCCACCTACCAAGTACCATAGTCTCTCAATGGCGCCTGTTTTTCAGTTCAAACTGTTTGTTGATTAGTTTTAGTTTTATATTTAATCTTATAGCTTTATTCCAATGCCAAAAATAGATTTTAAACGAAGCGAATTCGATTTCGAATACTCCAAAGCATTTATAAGAAAGTAAATAATACTTACTCCAATTCAGTCATAAAAGTTTGACCATCAATTACCATACAAGCATTTAAAAACAATTTATTTTATGCCACTTTTTATAAAAATCGTACAAGTCTTAATGCAGCAAACAAATGTTTTAAGGTTTTAAGATAATAAATAATACGTTTTGTACAAACTATACAAATCTATATATATAGGATTATAGGATTTTATATTGTGTTCTTCAAAAAGCTTAAGAGTGTGCCTCATTTTATTTTATAACATTTTAATAGATCGTGAAGTGTTCCTCTTAGTTCATCTTTTATAGAATATGATTAAGAACTTTTTTTAAATAAGCTTTAAATTTTATTTTATTTTTCAGTCATAGGGTAAGAGATTAGTCATTCACATAAATTAAAAGCTAAAATACACATTCATAAAAGGTTTGTTTGGTACACCTGGTACTTTTCCAAAGTTATAAGCAACCTGCACCAACAATCTCACAGGCACTTTAGATTTTTAGGCTTTTGGGCGCATTTACTTATTTATCTAAGATTAATTTTTATATGCCAAATAGCGATCAACCAATGGACTGTAAATATTTGTACGTATTGCATATGCTATAATACTTTAAACCTTAAATTATATAAATAAAATATAAACAATCCACATAACGCAAAATAAAGAAACAAATTTTCGTCTATTCTTCGTCGGGTACCAAGAGATTAAGGCTGGCACTATTTGCCACACTTCCCAAAAAGACCTCCTCATCGCCTCGAATGGATAAGGACTCCCTGCCGGTGAGGACCTTCTTTTCCCGGATCATGCCCGACCTTACCCAGCGCGAACCCTTACAGTTCTTACAGCTCTGCTTGGGTAACTTGAACACCGTGGTTGTGCGATTACCGCAGTCCTTGCACTGGAAGAAACGCTTTTCGGCATCCACAACCTTAAGTGGATGTCTCTCCTCCTTGCAGCGATCGGCGGCGGAAAAGGCGGTGTACTTGCAGACTTGACAGATGACGGCTTTGCAAGGCATCTTGTAGGTTCCCAGCATCTTCTCCTCCATGGCCTCCTTACGCTCCAACTTATTGAAGTACTCCTCCTGAGCCTCCCGCTCTCGCATCTCCACTAGATTCGTGTGTGACGAGGTGGCGGCCATGATTTTCTCAATGCGGGACTTGCGCATCAGCTCACGCTCCTCTTCCTCTATTTTCTGACGCTTAGCGCTGCTGGAGAACTTGTCATTGAGCTCATCGATGGCTCTCCTTTTGCCCGTTTCAGTGCCTCTGGTTGAGTTGGGATTGACCTTTTCCAGAGGTTTCTTCTTCAGCAATGCTGCTGCCCTCATTTTGGCACTTTGGGCTTGTCGTGCTCCGACATTGACCTCAAAAGAGAAGTTTTCGCTGCCTGATAGTTTAGGAGTCAAACTGGCGTCAAAAGAAAATCCTCGATTCTTGAACTTGTCCGGCACAGCAACCGGCGTTGTGGGTGTACTAGGCGTGACCGTGGCTTCCGCTTTACTAGCTTCCCCTAGTACATGACCCTTGGCTTCGGTTGACTTTTCAAACCGTTCATTTTCAGCCTTTAACAAACGCAACCGCTCGAGATCCTTGTTTCTCTGTTTAGAAGAGGCTTCTACGCCACCTGCTGACCGGGAAATCGGTCCCGTTCGTTCGGCATAGGGCACCGACTGAGGCGTGGCTGATTTTGGTTTTGAGGCGTGGTCCGCTGTATGAGAAAACGGCGACACATCGTATCCAGCTAGGCTACTGAGACGATCACGTTCTTTGTTGATTAGTTTTGCGCTCTTTTTCGCCGGAACAGCTGTAAAAGATTGTCCGCCGTAGAATACCTCCGTTTTGCCTGTAGAATAAAAAAATAAAAGAAAATTAGCCGATTTTGTGGATATTGAATTCTAGGACTACATACCTAATACTTTGTTTCTCAGCTCATTCAGACCTCGCCCAGCCGTGGCCGACTGAAGTTCTGATCGCCTGGACATCTTGCCATACTCCTGCTTTACATGAAACAGGCAATAGTCACAATCGGTGATATTAACAACTGAGGTACATTTTTCACCATTCTTTTTGGTGGCCCGACAAGTTCCCAGATCTTTGGACTGTCCCAAGATCATAACCTTTTGAGAGGTGTCGATTGACAAGCATGCCACATCGGAGCTTCCTGCTCGGCGCTCGAAAATGGTTGGATTCAGGACCGCCAGGCACATGCCTTCAGCTGTCTTCCACAGCGCTTTGTGAGCCTCCTTGAAGAGGAAAAGCGATATGGTTTTGATCTCCCCTTTCAAATCCGAAAGCTTCCACGTCGAGTAAGGATCGCCCTTTTTCGTGTTCTTCACTGGATTCTTGGAAACCAGAGCGCCGGCAATGACCCAATCTTTGGCCAGGTCGCCACGCTCAATGTGAAACGCCACTCCGGAAAAGGGCACAGCCTTTCGTTCTCCCATACGCTCCTGAAGGAGTGAACTGGAGATCAATGGGTTGATCATGCGAAGCCCGAAAACCGGATCCGTGTAAACTGCAGACACAGGAGCACTCGGCTTAGAAGAGGCGGCCACTGCTGCTGCAGCAGGGGGAGGCCTTTGAAAGGAGCTGCTAACCGTAGACTGCCGCTTGATGGGATTGTGAGGATTTTTGAGAGGAGGCTGTGGAGTGGATGTCACCATCTTGCTAGTCTTCAGGGCATTATCCACCTCCCTTGCCACCTTACCCTCATGAGCCGATTCTCGCTGCTGCTTCAGCGTTTTATTTATATCGCTTCCGTACTCATTATACTTGCGTTCCAGGAAGTTCTTGACCTCCTCATCGTCGGATGAGTCTAGTTCCGGTTCCTTACTAGCCAGTGGTTTCTCCTTCTTGGCCGGCTTCACGGTCTTTTCATAACTGAAGGCATCTGCAAAACTGCTGTCTTCGCGGAGTTTTGGAACAGCATTGGCCAAAGTGGGTGTGGGTTTGGATTTCTCCGGTTTTGCTGATTCTGCACCGTCGTTTTCCGCTGCACCCAGCAGTTTCTCCAGAGCCATAATCTCGTCTTCATCTTCAATACTTATATCTGTCTGGGACACATTTGCAGGAGCCATTTGATCTATTTTATATCTAAAACTGTATGCAATCAAAAAAGATTTATCTGCGATTTTTCACAACGAGCGCACAACAAATCACTTTTGGCGGGCTAGGTGTGACCGTTGAAGTAATTGTTGTTTTTTAAACTGCATTATTTAGGGATGGAACTTTTGAATTGAATTTTAATTATAAATATTGAATTTTAATTATAAATGCAGTAAGAAAATAGTTTTTTATTTTCCTTTAATAGTTTTAAATTTAACTGTGGAACTGGAGATAATTTAATCACTTTTAGTTCAGATTTCTGAGATGTGCCAAATTCAAACGTTCTTCAAAAAATTTAAACAGTCTTACTGATGTTTTAAATAAATGAATAAATAAAGATTATAAATAAGACATAATCTAATAAAAAGTAAAATAAATATTATTTTTAGTAGCACCTTTTAAAAATGCGAAATTTTGCGCGTTTAGTATTTTCCCAGTAACGCCACTTTTCCCAGTTGCAAGTTATGGTCACACTGCTCGTCAATAAGTCATCTTTCGGCTTTAATTCACGAAAAAATTGCAATATAGAAGAAAATAGATAATTGTGCCTAAAATCGGTCAATATAACGCCCCAATTAGCAGCCGTCAAAGGGCCGAACGAAAATCGTTGCGGAAATTGTGGCTAATACGCGTAACTGCGGTGCGAAGCAGCTGAAGAAAGAGAAGAGATAAAGTGGCGAAAGAGAAGAGAAGAGAACGGGGACCGCTAACAAAACGGATCGCGAGCTAGTGTTTAAGCATAAAGTTTTCCACTGTTTTCCCCAGAGGCTTTCCACGGACTTCCCGTCCCAACTTTTGAGCCTCACTCGGCCAAAACAACGACGACACACAGCAGGTAAGAGAGTGCGAACGAAGGATTCGCACACAGGAATCGCACTTTGCCATGCGGCTCAGCACTTTTTGGCTTTGGCCCACCCACACACGCCGCTCCCCGCCGCAGCCCCACCACTGCCTAGCCTAGGTGCATGTGCAATCTGCTTCGACCACATTTCGCCCTTTTTTTTTTTGCCACTTTTTGCCCATTGCGAGCTGATTTATTTTGCAAACATCTCGTGGCCATTTTGTGGTTATAAGCGCCGCTTGCGGGCCGCTGTTTCCACGTGTGTTGGTAGTAGTTGTGTTGGTGTTTGTGCCCACATATTGGGTTACATCCCACCACGAGGGCTCAAGTTGTTGCTTTTGTTGTTTTTGATAACCTTTTGCATCTTGAACGGCGGCCTTATCAACATATTTATGGAGCGGCGGTGGGGTGAGAGGCGGGAAGGAGAGCAATGCTCCAGCTTACATCACAGGGTTCGCATCGCATCAGTGACCTAATGCAACTTTAACCCTTGGCATGGCCTTGATGTTCCACTGCATCTCAGATACCTTTGCTGTTTGCCATTTTTTGCTTGAAAAATATTATTTTGAAAAAAAAATAATTAGGGAACTTGTTTGGTTTTCATAAAATTAATAATTATTTGCTATTATATTTGGCACACTGTTGTTTTTGTTATTTATTTTCGTGCAATTTTCCTTGCGCATTTTCCTTTCCATCTTGCTTTCTCATCTCTGTTTTCCTCAACCCAGTTCCTCTCTTCTACTTTCGCTCTCTTTCTCTATTCTGCTCATTCTGCATTTACGTTTTCGCCTGTCATCTGTGGCGGTCAGTAGCCGGCGCCCCCGACCAGCCCCTCCCCCCAGGTTCTTGGTCAAATTTTAATTTTATAAAAAAAATATTTAAAATCAGAATAAAAATCACACCACCCCACCCCATCCGACGAAACAACACACATTTGGTAGGCGTCTCCGCCTGTTGTTGGCCTTGTTATTCTCGCTTGTTTTTTCGCATCGGAGTTCGCCCTCTTGCACTTTTCACCTCTGTGACGTGACGAATATGTTTGCCAATGTTTGTTGTCTACCGTAGAGCGTCCTGGCCGGCTGCATGTTGAATGTTTCATGTTTCTGCGAGTGCTGCACAAGATACTGCCGGTATGGTGAGCCTCTCTATTCCCCTAGATAAGAAAACGAAAAACCAATATACCCAGCCTTTTAGCCAGCTCACAGCCTTGCATATCCAGCTCCGATTGCAGCCACAATTGGAGCATAAATACGCCACACAATCGATCCCTCGACCAGTCGAGATTCTGTGCTTCCATCGGCTTGACTGATTACTTGACTGACATTTGACTTTCTTCTGTTCTTTTTGCAGTGCTGCAACGATAAAGAAATGAATTCAAATATATTTCTGGGCACAGCAGAGAATGGCCTGCGGCACGATAAGATTGTTATACTGGACGCCGGAGCACAATACGGCAAGGTGAGTACATATCTTCAAAAATCCATGTAGATGTCGTATAAAAAGAAAAATGCTAATTCATTCCATATTTTCCAAAGGTTATCGATAGGAAAGTACGCGAACTGCTCGTAGAGTCAGACATTCTGCCATTGGACACGCCAGCGGCTACGATACGGAACAATGGTTATCGTGGCATCATTATTTCCGGCGGACCCAACTCGGTGTATGCTGAGGATGCGCCCAGCTACGATCCCGATCTGTTCAAGCTAAAGATTCCCATGTTGGGCATCTGCTACGGCATGCAGTTGATCAACAAAGAGTTCGGAGGAACAGTGCTCAAAAAGGATGTGCGGGAGGATGGTCAGCAGAACATCGAGATCGAGACTTCCTGCCCGCTTTTTAGGTGAGCATGGGTTGTGGCAGTGGCAGAGAAACCTCAGACCAAGCAGCAACTAGAAAGCACTTCAGTTGGTTCAGTTTAATCCTGTGCTGATACAATGCTGCCAGAGCAAAGTCGGACCAAGAACATTTCAGTTTATTTTAGCTCGTAGACTGAACTACACGTGGTCTTACATTACCAAGATATTCTATAAAATATGTAACCTAGCATTAAGTTGAACTTCCCAGACTTATACCAATTTTTTTTGTACCTCAACAGTCGCCTCAGTCGCACACAATCCGTGCTCTTAACACACGGAGACAGCGTGGAAAGGGTAGGCGACACTCTGAAGGTGGGCGGCTGGTCCACGAACCGAATAGTAACGGCCGTCTATAACGAGGTTCTGAGAATCTACGGAGTCCAGTTTCATCCTGAGGTCGACCTAACCATTAACGGCAAACAGATGCTGTCAAACTTCCTGTACGAGATCTGCGAACTGACCCCCAACTTCACCATGGGCAGCAGGAAAGAGGAGTGCATAAGATACATCCGAGAGAAAGTGGGGAGCAATAAGGTGTTGGTGAGTGGGAAAAGCAATACCTTCCTATGATCAGATATTTTAAAGTATTTTATTTTTCAGCTGCTGGTCAGCGGTGGAGTGGATTCAAGTGTCTGTGCAGCTTTGCTCCGACGAGCCCTATATCCAAATCAGATAATTGCCGTGCATGTGGATAATGGTAAGACCCAAGTATATATTAAAAGGAAGAATGGTTAAAAATATTTTTCTATCCAGGTTTCATGCGCAAGAACGAAAGTGAAAAGGTGGAACGTTCGCTGCGCGAGATCGGCATTGAATTAATCGTCCGGAAGGAAGGCTACACGTTCCTCAAGGGCACCACGCAAGTTAAGCGGCCCGGCCAGTACTCCGTAGTGGAAACGCCCATGCTCTGCCAGACCTATAACCCAGAGGAGAAGCGCAAGATAATAGGTGATATATTCGTCAAGGTGACAAACGATGTGGTTGCTGAGCTGAAATTGAAGCCAGAGGAAGTACTACTAGCCCAAGGAACCCTCAGGCCAGACCTAATCGAGTCCGCCTCCAACATGGTCAGTACGAATGCAGAAACAATCAAAACCCATCACAACGATACGGATCTGATCAGGTATAATAAACTAATTGAATTTTTCGGATGAAATTGCTAATCTTCGAATCATTTTGTAGGGAACTTCGAAATGCAGGACGTGTTGTTGAGCCTTTGTGCGACTTCCACAAGGATGAGGTGCGGGATTTGGGAAATGATCTTGGACTGCCACCAGAATTGGTAGAGCGGCAACCATTCCCCGGGCCCGGCCTCGCCATCCGCGTGCTCTGCGCCGATGAAGCTTACATGGAGAAGGACTATTCTGAAACTCAGGCAAGTAAAGTAATATATCCTTAGTGGCTTCCATTGCTGACGTAAATACATTTTTTCAGGTCATTGCTCGAGTCATAGTGGACTACAAAAACAAGCTGCAAAAGAATCATGCTCTGATCAACAGGGTAACAGGTGCCACTAGTGAAGCTGAGCAAAAGGATCTGCTACGCATCTCGGCCAACTCGCAAATTCAGGCCACTCTACTGCCCATTCGTTCCGTAGGCGTCCAGGGCGACAAGCGCTCCTACAGCTATGTTGTAGGCCTGTCGACCAGTCAGGAGCCCAACTGGCAGGACCTGCTCTTCCTTGCAAAGATTATACCCAGAATTCTGCACAACGTTAACAGGGTATGCTACATCTTTGGGGAGCCAGTGCAGTATCTAGTGAATGATATCACGCACACCACATTGAACAATGTTGTTTTGTCGCAGTTGAGGCAAGCGGATGCCATAGCCAATGAGGTAGGAATGAATATAAATAATATTTCATTTTAAATATTAATTGTTTGTGGGTATTTTTAGATCATAATGCAAGCTGGTCTATACCGGAAAATTTCACAGATGCCTGTTGTTCTTATACCCGTGCACTTTGACCGAGATCCAATTAATCGCACGCCCTCCTGCAGAAGGTCTGTGGTGCTGCGACCGTTCATAACGAATGACTTCATGACTGGTGTTCCGGCTGAGCCTGGCTCCGTTCAACTCCCCATACAGGTCTGTTTTAATAAACTTACATTTTCGAAAAATACTAAATGGAGTTCTCGCACAGGTTTTAAATCAAATTGTACGCGACATATCCAAGTTAGATGGAATCTCGAGGGTGCTGTACGACTTGACGGCCAAGCCACCTGGCACCACCGAGTGGGAATGATGCGTTCAAACCAAATCTTTCAAGAGCCATTTCATAGAAGTAGATGAGATAAACAATAACCAATCAACCATTGCATGCGGCGGGCGCTCGAGACGAGGACAATAGTTAATCGATCACATCGTGAGATGCGGATCGATTAGCGGACGGGTCGATCCTAGCCGTCGGGGGCGTTGTAGCTGCTCCAGCCTTTTAGAGAGAAACGTAAAACGAGCAATTGAAGAGGCGCAAAATACAACCGGAGTGCCGCTTCGAAATGGAAAACAATTCAGGTTCATAATATCGATAATACATGTATGTGTAATTAATGCGGAATTAAGCGAATCGATTTGTAACACAGACGGCAAACTATTTGCCACCTAATACTTATGTACATTTTCATGTTTTGTTCCTTTTGTGAAAAGGAATGTGCCCACAAACCACGTAACAAACAAAAACAATTAATTTACGCATTTTTAGTTATATACATAAAATATATATTATATATACATACAGATATTAAATAATTGCAAAAACAAAAAAGTTCGAAAGTTGTATATTTGCAGGTGAGTGCGAAAGTGTTTTCGTGGCAAAAGGCATACAAAATTTGTAAGAATACGAAACAAAAATATTGTAAGCTAAAATTATGAATTGTTATATAACGTCTATATTTAAAAAAAAAATGGCAAACCCAGAAGCAAAAACAAGAGCGATTATGATGATACAAGAAATGTAATAAAACGAAAAAGCTATTAAATGGTTTTTTGAAGTTCCATGTCCCTATTTACTGTTTGCCCTTTGCCCTTGGCTTGCCGTAGACCTTGGCTCCTTCGCTCGTTACCCTCTGCATTTTGCGGAACGCCTCCTGGGAGAGGACCAAGTTGGAATGCCTATGATTCCGCAGCGCTTCGAATGCGGCGATCCTTCTGATGAAGGAAATACGAGGCTTAAGTTTGTCGCGGACAGGCTTCGTAACTCTTGAGGATTTCTTCTCCACGGTAGCTGCCGAGGATGGGGTATACAAGGACTAAAAAAGGAGCAATAAGTAACCTGCTGGAAGAGATATCAAAAACACCCACAAGATCCCTGGGAGGTCCCTTTTTTTCGCGATCAAACATATGATTCAAAAAATGGAAATTATCGGCGTAGAAGAGTTTCTTCGCTGGCGTCTGGCCCATATGCTTCGCTGCCTTCTCCTGGATTTTCTCAATTTCCACGTTGTATCGCAGCCTGTATATCATATGCTTCCAGTAGTCTGGAGGGGAATCAACCTTCATTTCCTCAGCGATCGCCTCCCAAATTCGCGCCTTCAGGGGTAGATTGAAATAGTCCTTGTGGAACTGATTCCACAAGCACTCATGGTCGCCGTAAAGGGCTATCAATTTCAGTTTGGTTCCCGCCCGCGCCATGAGCTGAGGTCGGTGCACGAAGGTTATAGTGCTCTTGTCCAATGAGCTGGAGCTCCCAAAGGTATAGGTATACTCCGACAGCGAGTCATTATCGGTGGTACTCTGTGGCAGCCAACGACTCATTTTAGCGTTTTAAATTTTATGTAGAAACTGGTAATTTTTAACTATAGTTATGTTTTTAAACGAGTCACTTGACAATTGAGGGAAAAGCATGCTTCTCTTGGGCAACGATACTCCTCCATTTCTCAAATAAACCAACATACAACAATATCGGTATTATTCTTTATTTTCCTCTAAGTTGTAATATCAACTCTCGTGTCTTAAATCTTATAATTGATACAATTAAGTTACTCACGGGTAACATAAAAAAAAGGAACTAGGATGTGTGTCAGGGGAGTGCTTCTAGAAAATAAACATTATTGTCAGATTTTAGGGTTTCACTTGTTGGCAAATAAAATAAACGACTTCATAACGTATTATTGTGAGTTTTATTCGCACTTTATATCATATTCATCGTCGTGACCAAATTCAGAGCAGTTGGACAAATTCGCAAAAAACAAAATCAATATCGACGGCAACATACATAGCAAGAATTAAAAAACAATTGGGTATAATATATGAATATATAAAACTTTTACAATTGCTCGGTATTTCTAATGGTTACATAATTAATTCACTTTAAAAACAGCACACTCGGTATACTCGAAATAAAATCTAGACAGTTTGAGAAAAAATTGAATAACAATACCATAACTCGATTGCTTGCATTGCGTGACTGTGTTTCCTTTGAGTCTGAGTGTGTTCGCTTATGATCAGGGATCAGGGATCGTTATCAGGCTTCTAGATTCTGGACAGGGGTCTTAAGTAGGTCCAGGACCGTTTACTGGGCCAGCTCCTTCATGCGGTTAAGGGCGCTGCCAGCCTTGAACCAACCGATCTGCAAGTCGTTCAGGGTGTGGTTCAGCTTGATCTTGTCAACCTTGTCGCCGTTCTTCACTTCGCATTCCACGGGCTTGCCGGGCGCCAGAGAATTCAGGTTCAGCAGGGAGATCTTGCTAGTGGGCTGGATCTGTGGAAAATAAATACATTTTCATTATAGTTTAAAATGCAGAAAAGATTTGAAATTGAATCCTACCTTATCGTAGTCAGCGGGGTTGGCGAAGGTGAGAGGCAGGAGACCTTGCTTCTTCAAGTTAGTCTCATGGATACGAGCGAAGGACTTGACAATAATGGCGCGTCCACCAAGATGGCGGGGTTCCAGAGCGGCGTGCTCGCGGGAGGAGCCCTCGCCGTAGTTCTCGTCACCGACGGCCACCCATTTGATGCCATTGGCCTTGTAGTCACGGGCCACATCGGGCACTCCACCCCAGGAGCCAGTGCGCTGGTTCTTAATGTTGTTCATTTCGTTGTTCTCGTAGTTGGTGGCACCAATGAACATGTTGTTCGAGATGTTGTCCAGATGACCACGGTACTTCAGCCAAGGGCCGGCGGCGGAGATGTGATCGGTGGTGCACTTGCCCTTAACCTTGATGAGAACAGTCAGATCAGTCAGATCGCTGCCGTTCCACTTGTCGAAGGGCTCCAGCAGCTGCAGGCGCTGCGACTTGGGGTCCACAGCGACTTTCACGCTTTCGCCGCTCTACAAGAAAATATCCGTTTTTTTAATGAAGTTCTCTTAAAATAATTCTTGCTTATATACTTACTGGGGGAGGAGCGGTGTAGGTATCCTGGCCGGGGTCGAAGCCCTGGGCGGGCAGCTCATCGCCGAAGGGAGCCTTCAGCTTGAACTTCTTGCCATCAGATCCGGTGAGCTCATCAGTAAGCGGGTTGAAGTCCAGGCGACCGGCGATGGACAGAGCAGTGACCAGCTCCGGGCTGGTGACAAAGCAATGGGTGGCTGGGTTGGCGTCGTTCCTGCCAGTGAAGTTACGGTTGTAGGAGGTAACAATGGTGTTCTTGTCGCCCTTCTTCACGTCCTTACGGTCCCACTGACCAATGCAAGGTCCGCAGGCGTTGGCCAGCACGGTGCCGCCGAACTTGTCGAACACATCAGAGATGCCGTCACGCTCAATGGTGGCACGGATCTGCTCTGATCCGGGAGTCACGTTGAAGGGAATCTTCGACTTCAGACCATGGCTCATGGCGTCCTTGGCGATGCTGGCACAGCGACCCATATCCTCGTACGAGGAGTTGGTGCAAGAGCCAATCAGACCAACACGGATGTCCAATGGGTAGCCGTTCTTCTTGGAGTTGTCACCCAGCTTGCTGATGGGGTGTCCCAAATCGGGAGTGAAGGGTCCGTTTACATGGGGTTCCAGAGTGTCCAGGTTGATTTCAATCAGCTCGTCGTACTCGCAGTTCTTGTCGGCAGACAGGATCTTGCCCTGGTACTTCTGGGCCTCAGAGGCAATGCCACCACGGCCGGTGGACTTCAGGTAGTCAGCCATGCGCTGGTTGAAGGGGAACAGGGAGGTGGTGGCTCCGATCTCAGCACCCATGTTGCAGATGGTGGCCATGCCAGTGCAGGAAATGGAGTCCACACCCTTGCCGTGGTACTCAATAATGGCTCCAGTGCCTCCCTTGACGGTCAGGATATCGGCGACCTTCAGGATCACGTCCTTGGGAGAGGTCCAGCCGCTGATCTTGCCGGTGAGGTTGACACCAATCACCTTGGGGCACTTCAGCTCCCAGGGGATGTCGGCCATCACATCGACGGCATCAGCACCACCGACACCGATGCACAGACCACCCAGTCCACCACCGTTGGGGGTGTGGGAATCAGTACCGATCATCAGCAGACCGGGGAAGGCGTAGTTCTCCAGGATGATCTGATGGATGATACCGCTGCCTGGCTTCCAGAAGCCCAGACCGTACTTGGCACAGGTGGAGGCCAAGAAGTCGTACACTTCCCGGTTAAGGTCCTTGGCACGGGCCAAATCCTTGGGTCCGCCGATCTGGGCCTCGATCAAGTGATCGCAGTGCACAGTCGAGGGAACAGCAACCTTCTTCAGTCCCGACGAGATGAACTGCAGCAGGGCCATCTGGGCGGTGGCATCCTGCATGGCCACACGATCGGGGCGCAGGCGCAGGTACGAGGTACCGCGGACGATGTCCTGGTTGGCTGGGTCATCCAGATGGGAGTACAGCACCTTCTCGGAGAGAGTGAGGGGGCGGTTCAGGCGGCCGCGAACGACATCCAGGCGCTTGTTCAGCTTCTCGTAGGGCAGGAAGACGTCCGAGTCGAACTTGGACAGCGCCACCTTCGAGGCAGAGTAGCAGGAGGCATGGAACTGGCGCACCACGGCACCCTCGGTAGCCACATGCTTGCCCAGACGGCACACCTGAAATAAAAATAATTTCATTAATATTAAATAATAATGCATTTCTATTTTTCGTGAGCCTGGAGGTGATAACGTCAACAAATCAAGATTTAGCAATTAGCATGGTGTCAGAACATAATTTAGTAGTCATATGGTCTACAGTGTTGACTCATATGTGTATGTTTCATAAGCCTCTTGTATCAGCAGTCCTTTATTTGGAGTGAAGACTGTTTTGATTGATTCGAGGGGTTGCGAAATAAACACTTGATTATCATGTCAGGGGCCCCCTCAACTCCAATTAGATTGGCGCTACTTTATCAGGAAATAAATAAAAATCTTAATTAGCTGGGATTTCAAAAAAGGGTAGCCGAGGTTTGTTTGGAAACTCTAGAATTTTATTAATAATTAGAAAACTTGAAAAAAACTATTAAAATGTTGTACATAGTCTCCTTATATATAGTAGTTCTATTTTAGTAGCCTGGCAATAACAACCTGCGGCAAAAAGAAAACATTTGTGCAAATATAAACACACTTTCGTTTATTCAAATATAATTCCACATATTTAAGCCCTAAATATTTAGTTCTGTTACTAAAAATTACTACAATGCATCGCAATTATCCAAAACACGTGATAAACAATTCGAGTTCATTTAAATGGCAGTTCAATTACGTCAAATAGGTCATTAACTTGTTGGCAAGCTTACAAGTACAGTGAAGCCACTCGAAACCTCCAGAAGCTGCCATGGAAAAACCCACCGGTGGGGCAATGGACCCCCTCCCTCCGGACTCCGTTTCCGTCTCCGGCGGAGTGCGCGTGATACTCGAGTTGGAAAACAGCCTTTAACCGTAATAAAGCTATATTTAGTAAGTCCCTATCTTAGTGTAAGTAAACCTGTCACAGATAAGACGGACCTCCCACCTAAGATATATGCTAGGGACACTCCTGGTTAAATAACTGCTCGCCAGGCGATTATGTAAATGCAAACTGCCTTGGACCATTGCGAATTTCTGTTAATTGCTGGATGCTCCCGATTTGAGAGGCATCCCAGAGCCCCCCCCCACTTCTGGATGCAGGGGGCAGCTAATGCTTCTGTTGGGAATCACAATCACAATGTACTCGGTTACCTAACAACTTTTGATTTCGTTTTTAGGTTAGAAAAGCGCAGTGCAAAAAGTTCCCGATTTTTCGCCACCCACATCCTGCACAATTTTCAGATGATGTTGTACTATTTTTCGAGTTTTTTTCAGCAGTGTTCCAGTCGTTATCGCAGCTTTGATTTGGCCGCTGGTGTCTCACGTTTACATATACTTTTTGTTGGATTATCACATTCACAGATACGGGGAGAAGGCTCCAGACAAGACCATTACCTGTGCCTGGGCGCTCATCAATCTCGCAGCCATTCTTCGCGTCCTTATTAGGCGATACGGAACTAAAATACGTTTAACACTCGTTGGAATTGGAATTTCACAGGCAACGTTTAAGCCGTCATCAAAATTTTCAGCCCTCTCAGCCGGAAGATTTTAATACAGACTGATTCTATTTGCTCCGGACGACGACCACTGCGACGCTCTGCCAGTGTGCGAGGGTGCCGCGAATATGCGCCATTGCAGCCTATTTAGCTTTTTAAAGGTCGAATATGAAACCAAGGGAAATACGTATTTTTTTTATTAAAATATTTAAAATTTTTTATACGTTTTATCCATTTTTCCAAAATATTTCCTGCTCACATTTTTATAATAACTACCATATAAGACCCTCTAAGATATCCGCTGTTTAGCACTGGCCGCCTGGTTGTTTGCGTAGGCGGGCGTCGATTCGAAACAACTGTTCGAATAATAAATAAGTTTAGCTGGGAAAATGTTTGACCAAGTTCAGTTAGAGCCAGTCTTGACTCCTTCGCCATGTCCGAGCGACGCGCTGTGCACGAAATACCAGTGGAATACCAGCCAGTGCCCAATCAACTGGGGGAACCACCAGCATCCTCCGTATCCTGCTGCAGGCGACCCTGCAGTTGCAATTTTGCTGTCCGCGATGAGCAGAAAGTGTGCTGCTGCGGTCACGGATATATGGTGCCTGTTTTTGTGCTCTTCGTGCTGGTTATGATTGTACTCCTGTTGCCCTGGGAGACCTTTCACCAACACGAGAATGAAAACGGCCCCTCTCCAGTGGAGACTCCGTTTCCATGCCAACTCGAATTGGTGGAGAGCCTGCCGTCTAGTTTAAACTATAGCCACCCCCGGCTGAGAAGCACATTTGAGGCCTGGCAGCTGCTACTGGGCAAGGCAAGGAATTCGCTGGACATTGCCGCCCCCCACTGGACACTTCGGGGGTTGGATGTTAACGATAGCAGTACTCTGCCAGGAGATCACTTATTTCAGCGGCTGCTTGCCAATGGAGATGTCGGAAAACCCAAGTTGCGAATCCGAATAGTGCTAAACCGCAGCCAGCAGAGCATGTGGCATGCGGATGCCCGCATCCTATCCAACTATGGTGCCGCAGAGATTGTTGGCATTAATTTCCTGCATTCCAAGCTATGGCTGGTCGATGGACAGCATTTCTATTTAGGTAGCGCTGATATGGACTGGCGTTCGCTTACCCAGCGTAAGGAACTAGGAGTCTTGGCCACAAATTGCCCGCATTTGGCTCAGGATCTAGTCAAGATCTTCAAGGCATATTGGTATTTGGGAAATAACGAAGTGCCCGACTACTGGCCCTGGATCTATCACACCTACATTAACCAAAAAAGGCCCCTCTTGCTAAATGTAAATAAGAATTTCACGATGCGGGCATTTGTTGCCAGTTCTCCGCCAGCAATTTCGGCTACGGGTAGAACCCTAGAATTGGATGCCATTTTGGGGACGATTGAAAAAGCCTCTGAATTTATTTCATTGTCCTTAATGGACTACAATCCATTGTTAAGAAGTGATAGCAAGATTCAATATTGGCCTGTCGTGGACAATGCCCTCCGTAGAGCTGCTTTAGAAAGAGGTGTGACCATCAAACTCCTCATTTCCTGGTGGAAGTACTCAGATCCTACAGAGGATCACTTTCTACGCTCGCTACAAGCTCTCAATAAAATGAAGGAGGAAGTAGACATACAAATTGTAAGGTTACTCCAGAATATTTTTTCAACTTATTCACTATGTACCCTTACCCCTTTTTCTAGCGCCGATACGTGATACCCACCACAGACGAGCTGGAGAAGATTTCAAGCGGAAGAGTTAGCTGCAATTCCTACATGGTCACGGATGACAGCGTTATTATTGGTACTTCAAGTTGGTCTGGAGATCACTTCAGCCGCGCAGCTGGAATAGGTTTGTTTCTGAAGGACTTGGAATATAGCAACCACAGCCTCCGCACCGATTTGTTGTCCATTTTCCAGCGGGATTGGTTCAGTCCCTTCGCTTTGCCATTAAAGCCAAATCTGAGGATTTGAATTTGGCTGTCAAAAAATGTGAAACTTTGCAACACTGCCCAGCTATCAGCTGTTCATGTCATAACAAAAATCAATCCCAACCTCAAATAATTTCTCTTGCTAAAATAAGGTTTAAATTATAGTTCTCTAATAAAATTTAATAAATAAAATTATGGCTAACAAGCCTACTCGCGACGTTCTTGGGATTATATTCAAAAACTTTTGGAAGTCCCTGAGACCACGTCAGTTCCGCGGAAACTACATTGGCGAGGACTATTTTGGCAATAAATACTATGAGATTCCGGCAAACCCATCGATCGGAAAGCGCAAACCGTCCCGCTGGTTCGAACCTTCAGAGAAGGAAGCTTTTGATCAGGAACTGACCGCTGAGTGGGAGGCGTGGTTGCGAGGACGTCGGGACGAGCCGCCAACGCGAGAGGAGCTGGTAAAGAACCTTCAAATCATGGAGATGAAGAAACGAAACGCCGCTGAACTGGAGGCCACTTACGCCAAAGGAAAGGATAACAAAGCAATACCCAAGCAAGTGGATGGGCCGACCGTTGGAACTTACCCGAAGTACAAGGAGTACGAGTTCATACCAGGCCGAGAGCCACCCGAAAAGTAATTGACGCGCAGTACTTTTATTTTTAAAGAATTTTATGTGTAAATATAGTTAAATGATCCTAATATGTTTACCAATCGTTCAAGTCCAAGTCCTTAACTATATCTACAGCTCCACCTGCTTCGTCGTAATCATCGCCAGCAGGTTCCTCTGCTACGGGTTGTGGTTTCTTTTCTGAATTCTTTTTCTCCTTCTTTGCCTTCTTGGACTTTGGTGGCTCCACTTCCACTTCCTCCTTTTCATCTTCATCGTCTGATGCTGCTGGGAAATTATTCGCTTCTTCATCCTCAGAGTCTGAGGGGAAGAGTTCAACCTCGCCATTTTCATTCCGAATGGGTAGTCCAGATTTGGCGGGAAGCTTTTTCAGTTTTGGTACATCGTAGTCGGCATTAATTTCATCAGTTTGCGCGGCCTGGCGTCGTTTCTTGGTCTCGTGTGTCTTCAGCCAGCTGGTATAGTAGATGTCCAAGGGAGTGCGTTTTAGACGGAGCTGCTGCTCCCAGGCGGACACTGCTGAAGCGTCCTTAAGGTCAAAGTTTACGCTGCTCTTACCACGCTGCTGCTCCACAAAACGACTACTTTCCTGCACCTTGTCTAGAAGCAGTTTAAGCTTGCGGGAGTAGTTTGCATTTCGGCAAGTCTTCAGATAGGCTTTAATGGCCATAACAGTGGGCACAACAAGATCGGTGAAGGCTAGAGACGCGGACTCATGTGCAAGGTATTCAAGTAATAAGCCGCAAACCTGCTCGATTACTTCGTCCCGGAAGCCATTCTCGGACAGCTGCGCCTTGTTGAGCCTCAGCACGCAGGTGAACTGCAGAGGTTTCATGGATACTGCTGTGTGCTTGCGATTAAAAGTATTGCTTTTCAAAACCTCCACAATCAGAGGAAGCACCGGTATATAGGTGTTCGTCTCCTTGGCCAATGAGATGAGGGTCTGCAGACAATGGAAACGCAGAGGAAAGTATTGGGCTGTGGGAATTAACCGAATCACTCCAGTGGCAATAGTGACAAGCGGATATACTAATGGTTGAAGCTGTGGCTTGTTGGCACTCGCTCCCAGAAGATCCGCCCACAGGCGTAGGGAATTGATAAACTGCCAGTTGTAGACTGCTTGAAAACTGTCCTTTTTCTTAAGGATGACAGCATTTCGCAGATGGATGGCTAGTTGTCGGATGTAGAGAAAAGCATGTTGGTAGCTCACATTCAAGTCCAAAGCAAACATCTCCACCAGCGAACGCCGCATGAAGTTTATACCCGGCAGAGTGTTCGGAGACACGAACTTCGAGTTACGCACGTAAGCCAAGTACATGGCTTTGAGAACGTGGTTTAGCATAGTGGCCTAAAAATACATAAACTTTATTAACAAGCTTTGAATCAAATTTAAAGTATTTACCTGCTGCTTTCTTGTAATTTTTAAAATGCAAAGGAAAGCCAATACTCGAACGGTCTCATCCCCAGTGGCCCAAAGCACGATCAGACGCTTCAAAATCGTCTTGCCGAGAGCAGTGAAGGGCGCCACCATGCCGGCCATTTGATGCAAGTGCTTAAGAAGCACACCAAGGATGTTGGCACTCGAGACCTGCTCCACGAGGCGAATTAAATCCGTAAGGTAGTAGCGTAGACAGCCGCGCACTTTAACCCATTTTTTGTATTTGTGGAGGGGCAGGTTGCTATTGGCCTTCACACCTAGTACCTTGATGATGGCTGGCTGCAGGTGAAGCACGCACAGTTGAATTACTCCGTTAAATGCGGATGCTCCGACGACTTTAAAAGCGGCAGCATTAGGCTGGTTTTCGCCTCCATCAGCACCATCGGCTGATATACTGGCCAAGGCGGAATTGAAGGCCTGTATCACCTTGCGTACTATGTCTATGGAAACGTTGGGCTGGGCCAGCTGCACCTCCCATTGGCGCAGCAGGTTGAGCGTGATTTTCTGCGTGCCTCCAGCGGCTGCTTCATCATCTTCTGCTTCATCCTCGAAATCGCTCTCATCGCTGGCCACAGCCAAATCCTCATTGGGCTTGTGATATTTCTCTTCATCCTCCTCGTCATCCTCGCTCTCAGCAGATTTTCCTTTTACCTTCTCCGGCTTCTCCTCCTCATCATCATCGTCGTCATCGCTGTCAAGCAGATTAAAATCCAGAAGTTGTTGGTCGTTCTTTTTAAGGAAATCGTAGAACTCTGGATCTAAGTCCTTGAGTCCCTCCAACTCTTCCTTGTGTGTTTTCTTAGTTCCTTTCTTGGCTGTTTTCCCATTTTTAGGTACGGAAGTGGGTTTCTGTTTTGGTTTCTTGGATATCACCTGTTCTTCAGATGTGTTCCGGACCTTTTTTGATATGGTCTTTTTAAGGGCCTCCTGAGGGACCTTCTTTTTTGAGACACCTGCCTTAGGTTTGCCCAAAACTTTGGATTTTTTCGAGGACAGCTTCATTTTTACGCCAGAGAACTAAAACAAAAATGCACGTGTGCCGCCAGAGGAGCTGCCATATGGTAAGAAGATTTGTGTTTTGGATCGGCAGCGTTGCCGTACCAATATAAACAAAAAATGAAAATTTACAAATCGGGGATTTCTGTTTTTTATTTAATTTTATTTAATTAAGAAATATCTTGGAGCTTAACATTATGGGAACGTAAATGTTAAACAATATCTTAATACATTTTAAACAAAATTTAAATAATTTTGTTAGGTTGGCAGCCCCGATTTTGTTTTTGTGCGACTCAGCAAGTCGCTGGCGAAATTTGTATCTGTCGATTAAAACACGAATTTATCATTGAAATTTTATAATCGTCTTGATTCGGGTTGGGAACCCCCCTGTGCAATGGCTCACAAAAAGCATATGCGGAACGCCATCCCTGCCGGCTTTGAGTCTGACGAGGAGTATTTGGAGAGCATGATGGGTAACTTGAAGATCAAGAAGTTAGAAGACATCACAACAGGTGCCGGAATCAACGGACGAAACTTTGATTCCTCGCTGGACGTGGATGCGCATTTGTTTTTTTCTGAGTTCCGCGAGAAATGGAACAAGTATTGCAAAAACAAGGCGCCGCATTTTGGTCCGGAGTTTCAGAATACGCTCTACGCCCATCCAAATCCCCTTCTGTTGGCCCTAAAGTTATTTGCCAACTGTCCGGACAGCAGCAACATCAAGCCCAAAAGCTTATCGTACTTTGTGCTGGACACAGTGTGCAAACTTCATAAGGATTATCCGCACATCGGCGAGAACTGTGATCCCAACACCAGTATGACGGCCTTTAACTTTGTGAAGACTTCAAATCTGCTGGCCCTAAACAATGCTGTGATTCAAGCATACAGCCTACACACGATTTGTGACCTGCTGCTACCCAAGTTACGCGAACTCCTTGGCGAAGGGCACCTTAAAGAGGTAACCCATTGGACCATTAGTCTGCGGCTGACGAACGAGTTCGATATGCTGGACTTGGCCTTCCCACTGATAGCCGTGGAGAAGCTGCCTCTGGCCGAGGAGTATTTGGACCAAGCCGTCCAGCATCGTAAGCCATTTGTCGAGTTTCTTGACTCGCTTCTGCACAAGGACAAACCAGTCATTCAAATGTGCCAGCATTTGCTAGAGTAAGTGTTGAACTGGTCTTAAGTTCCCATAAACCCTTTAAAAACTGCTTTCTCTTTTTTTAGCCGATATAAGAACATAAAGATCTCCCATCAAGTACTCAGCTACCGGCCAATCGCCAAAATTGTGTCCCGATTGGCGAAGAAGTACGGATTTGACGACTCCGTGACACCCAATTTCAAGTTCACCAAAACTTGCGGCTACCTGCACTTTCTTTACCGAGATTATGAAAAGGATCGAATCAATCAGGCTAGTTTTCGGGAGCTAGTAAGCGTCCACGCCTATAACTATGATTTACGGAAGGATTTTGTATGGTACATGGCATCGAACCATGCGCGCGATGAAGCCATCTATTGGTACAGAGAGTTCAAACTGCATCCGAGCGATTGTCCTCCGGATATCAAAGCCCATATCCCTAATTATGAAAGAGATGTTTCCCGCCGCGTCTCAAATGAACGCTCAAACGGAGCTGGCGGCTGTGAAGTGTACCTGACCATAGACTTGCCGGACGAGTGCCTCAAGATTGTCGATACGGCGGCGAAGTTCAACGAGATGCTGTATGAGCTGCAGCGGCAGCACACCATATATTTGGACTCTGAGTGGATGCAGAGCGTTTGCGGGGAGAGCCAACTTTGCCTGTTGCAGATTGCCACCGATCATTTTGTGTATCTAATTGATTGTCTGGCTCGGGAAAGCATTCAAGCAGAGCAATGGCGCCTATTGGGAGCAAATGTATTTAACAATGTGAATATCCTGAAAGTGGGTTTTTCCATGGCCTGCGATCTAAGTGTGTTGCAGCGATCCCTTCCGCTTCAACTACGTCTGCATACTCCGCATCACTACTTGGACCTGCGTAGCCTCTGGCAGCAGCTCAAAAAACAGCGCAGCGGCGTGGAGTTGCCCTTCGGCAACGTAAACCGGGCCGGTGAGGCACTTTCGGATCTTGCGTTAATGTGTCTCGGTAAGAAACTGAACAAATCCAACCAGTGCTCCAACTGGGCGAACCGACCCTTGCGCCAAGAGCAGATAATCTATGCGGGTGAGTGCGAATGTCGTCCTCTATGCTCCATCCTATATAACTATTATTTATTAAATCTATTCACAGCCATTGATGCCCGGTGCTTGTTTCTTATCTTCAACACACTGCAAGCTCGCATCCCTTTCCTGAACAAGGTCATCGAGAAAAGTATCTCTACCAATAATTTTCTCAGGCGAGGTGCCAACGTAAAATGATTAGGAATCTGTAACTAAACTTATCTTGCACATTTCCCGGGACTCTCACGGAGCGGAGTTGACGTATTCTCCGCTCAACCTAGTTAAGTTCAGAAATACAATCGGGATGTAGTGATTACCACCGCAGCTTAATTGGAAATGGCTGCTACAAATTATTTACCGATCCATGGATAACGTATTTTATTTTTAAAACTTATTTTCTGTAAATAGTATTTTTACTTTCAATATTCCACTTCAGAGTACACAAATGAATTGTATTTTCTGTTGCAATCGTAAAACGAATTTTTTATTTAACGCATAATCAAAACTGAATAAAAGCAATGGATAAAGTTATACAATTTGTGGGAATTGACAATTTTATGAATAATAAATTCGCAAGTTGGTCAACAGTTTAATAACGATGTAAACGTTTGTTTACTCAAATGGGTGGGCATAGGGACTATTCCAATCCCGCTCGAACACATCGCAAAGATCGCTCCTCAGGTTTTTCCTACTTTCCGTTTCATGAAGTTCGCTTATAACAAATCCAATGCCTGCGGTGTCCGTGAAGTAGTCGCCACTCCAATTGGAGGTGCCAATATAGGCAACACGATCTGTTACCATGTACTTGTTGTGATTGACTCGGGCGAAGGGAATGTTTTCCTGGTTTTCTGTCCCATTTACAATAAAACGTCGCTAAAAAAATAGGATATCCTTTAAAAATCGTAATGTGTGGATAACGCGAGACTTACAATTTGTATGTTAATGTTGTCCTTCTCAGAAGCAATATCCAATAAAGACTTGAGGTACCGATCTTCGCTAGGATTAGAATGCTTCCACCATGAGATTAGTAGCTTGACAATGATGCCTCGCTCCACAGCCGCTCGACGTAATGCATCATCTATGACCGGCCAGTACTGGTGTTTTTTCTCGTATATAATTAAAGGATAGTAGTCCATCACAGCGATGTTTATATAGGTTATGGCCGTGTCGATGATGTTCAGAATGGCATCCAGGTCGTTAGTGCGACCTCGGGCCGAAAGGGGTGGTGGGGAACTAGCTAAATACCCCGCCATACTGCTGTTCTTGTTTACAGAAATCAACATGGGGGTTTCCTTGTTATATTTTGTATCATAGCCCCAATTCCAAGAGGGTATACCCTCGTCTTGGTGGGTACCCAAGTACCAGTAAGCTTTAAAGATTTTTTTGATGTCTTCTGTCAATGCCGGACAGTTTTGGGCAAGCACACCCATTTCCTTGACCTGGGTTAAGGCTCTCCAGTCCATATTGGCGCTTCCCAAATAAAAGTGCTGATCGTCCACGATCCATAATTTAGTGTGGAGAACACCGCTACCAAAATATTTTGGAAAGGAGAGGGTCACCACCTTAGCGGCTCCAGTGCTGGCGAGAATTTTTGTATTTGAATCAGCGGACACACTGGATGGATCGCTCTGGGCTATGCTAATCTGGAGCTTTGGCGTTTGGCTGCCTCCATTACGGTTGGCCAAAAGCTTAGAAAATATGTCTTCGCCAGGGTAAGAGCTGTTGTCCGTCTCCCCGGGCGTGTCAGCGGCTGTCAGGGTCCAATAAAAGGAAGCAATATCAAGGGAAGTTTTAGCGTTTCCCAGCAACTGCAGCCAGGCTTCGTAAGTACTCAGGAATCGTGGACTGTTCGCAGAATAGTTGAGTCCGATGGGAATGGTCTCTACCAGTTGGATATCACAGGGCTCGTAACGGCCCAATCCATGTCCCCTACCACCACGATACTGATGAAGTCGGGGACGCGGCTGGAAGAACGAGGATCCAAGGAACAGAAGCAAAAACATGGTCACAATCATCATCTGTGCCGCCTGGTGGTGATTGGCGGTGGCGGCTTGCGGCCGTTGCGGCTCCTCGGGCTCCTTAGCGGTTGAATTGGCATTCTCCGCATCCGATTCCTGGTTTTCCAGGGTCTTGTACTGCACCATTCCGTCAATCCGTATGATCCGCGATTATTGTAAATTTTCTTCGTTATCTTTATCGATATGAAGGTGATAAGCTGGGTAGTTCACACTTGAACAACCACAGAAAGAATAATGACAAAGAACCGGCGATCGGAGCAGCTCTCCTTTCAAAAGCTTTGGAGGGGGAGCCACTCTCTCGAAGCGAGTATATTTCAGTCCAGAGGCGCACGTGGTAAAGGGTTATGGTGCTCGATTGTCAAGTCGAACTTCGTAAATATATATTGACGTGAAACACCTTGTCTACCTTTGGCTACCTTGTACGATTGTAGGATTTGATAATAATTATATTTATTGGAAAAAAGTATTATAATATTGGCAATTCTCCATATAAACGAAAGAACAATACCCAAATATTAAATAAATAAAACAGGTAAGTAAACAATGGAATGTGGTTTTATTTTATTGAACTTCTCACAAAATTCTAAACAAAATTCAAAACATGTGTATGATTAAGCGTTTTTTAGGACTGGCTACGCCTCTTCTGTTTACAGTTGCAGCAAAACAAAAGTCAGCTGTTTTTTATCGAGCATTTGTGTTGCGTTGAAAATGCTGCGAAATTCGTTTTTTGCCAATGGGCAAGTATTGTAAATTAGTCATAATCTCAAATTACAATTTTTGCATTCCAGCAAGCTGAGACAATCGCTGGCCAGTGTTCTGGGAACAAACATCGCTAGAAAGAGCAGCACTGCGACGCCACCAATCGACTCCGGCACCCAAAAAGAGGTGCGCCATCACGAGAATCATGCTTCAGAATGGTGGAACCCAAATGGAACTATGGGAGCTCTATATGCTCTCAACGAGATACGGTGGGTGAGCCAAAAAGTCTGGAGGTTTCAGAGTGTTAACTATCCAATCCCTTACAGAGTTCCCTTCATTCGCGATGGCATGGTAGCGCGCGGGACAGTAAAACCTAATTACGTAAACACCACAAGAGTTCTGAGTGGACAGCGAATTTTAGAGGTAGGCTGCGGTGGCGGCTTGCTAACAGAGCAACTGGCACGTCTCGGAGCCCAGGTTACGGGTATAGATCTCGGCGAGAAACTCATTGAAGCGGCTCGCACCCACCTGAAGTGCTTCAGTCCCGAACTGAGTAGCAATGTGGACTACATAATAGAGCCGGTCGACCAGCATGTCAAGACCAATTGCGAGTGTTATGACGCTGTGATTGTATCCGAGGTGCTGGAGCACGTGGACGACAAAGTGGCCCTGCTGGATGCCAGCGTACGAACTTTGAAGCCGGGTGGCTCAATTTTTATAACGACCTTGAACAAAACCCTTCCCAGTTGGTTTGGCGGCGTTATTTTGGGCGAATATGTTCTCAACTTGGCGCCCAAGGGAACACATCACTGGGACAAGATGATTTCACCCCTGGATGTGCAGCGTATCTTGGACACAAGTAAGCTTCTATATTTTATTCTCAACATTTCTTCAATTTATTCAAATCCAATCTCCAGTGAACTGCCAGACTATACTGGTCAATGGTAGCACCTACGACTTTTGGAGCAACACCTGGCGCTGGATTAACAGCACCCAAATGTGCTATGCCCTCCACGCGGTGAAACAGCCGCTAAGCAATTGTACTTGAATTGTTATATATTTTATTTAACTTTAACTAGTACTAGATCAGAGTAAAAAAGTAAATTAATTGTCGTCCGGACGAGGTTTTCTGAATTGCGCCTTGTGGTGGTTTTTATGGAAATTCCCGGAGTCTCCGTTCTGTTTTCGCTTGAGGTCCTTCTTCGTGCTGAACTTCTTGCCCATGCTATTGGTCAGGGCAGGCGCCTTGTTGGCGTAGTACGTGTTGGCCATGTCCTGGTCCGAAACTTCTTTGGGTTGCTCGGGTTTCTTAAGGTTTTGCTTCTCTGTTCGTTCCTGCTCCATTAGCAGTTCAATTTCGGGATTCATTCCACGAAAACTCAGACGACCATCGATGAGACCGGCGCAGATAGAGTAGCTCTGCTCGACGACATAATTCGAGTTGGAATTCAGCATCTTTTCGTTAATTTCATTGGAGTACAGTGCCCGACTCTGCTCATCGGCAGTCTCTTTGTCCACTTTCGCCTTGGTGCGCTGCATGAACTTCATGTCCAACACTCCGCGGGAAAGTTTTGGCTTCGATTTGGAAGGCATTTTGTTTGTTTTTTGAAAACTTATAGATGAATTGTTTTTTAACAAAAAATCTGCCCTTGGCACGTTGTTTTCCGAAAAACAGAACAAGGGACCAAAACAAACACAAAAAAGTGTTGGAAAATGGCGGAGGTGGGGGATAAAAACGTGGCGCCACGTGAGTTTTTTTAAATAAATATTTAAAAAACGTTTTTAAATAAGAAAATTCCATAGCATCATTAATTTAAAATTTAGATAATTCAGCTTAAATGCATAATCTGCTTTATTTAGTCATCTAGAGATATATAAATTTAAAAAGGTTAAAAATTCTTTTATTTTAAACCTCTTTTGAAATTATTTTAAAATTACATGGAAAATATTCACATAATACATTTTACATCAAAAGCAAGCTTTGTTTTTTAATTTTCCTTTTTGGCCCCTTGCGAAAATAACTGTCCTCAAGATGAGCAAATCAAAGCGTTCTAACAATCATCAACCAATACGTGGAGGCAAATCTTTCAATCCTTTTAGCCAAACACAAAGTACCAATTCAGAAAATATATTTTCCAATAAAGGAAATGCAGTTACACTGGTTCGCTTTTATGCAGGACACGAGTGCCTGTGGAATCGTGAAAACGCAGACTACTTTAACAACAAAAAGAAACATGATCTTTGGGAATGGATTGCTCGTCAATTTGGCGGAAAACTGTCCAGACAGCAAGTGGAATTTGAGGCAAAGCGTCTTCACAAACGAGCTTTGCAGGAACTGAAAAGGTTACATAGCTGTCAGGAAAAAGGATTGCCCTGTACATGTAACTTTGAGCTCCTGAACGAATTCTTGTTCCTCATACCAAATGACCAGGTACGTCTGATGAATAAAATAAATTGTAAAGTAACCATTATTTATATTACTGTCATTTTAGATGAAGGAGAGCTATTTAGGATCTTTTCTACCAAAAGAGCGGGGCTTGGCACCTAACATTACGTCAAAGAGTGATCTCCAAACTAAAAAAAAGACCCAGAACCAGGATGATTTAACGGTATTTTGCAGTGAACTAAGGGAAAGGCTTTCTCAACTTCCGCCGCATGTTCGTTTGCAAACCCAAAAAAAGATCCTTTTGATAATGCATAGGTCAAAGGGAGGAGTTGATCGTGATTTTGTTGTACCGGAAATGTTACTTCCTGGTCCTTCAAAGAAATGAGTTGGAACTGGTCTTTGCATTTATGAAGCTCGTTGACAAGTTTTAAAAGTAGCCTGTCAAAATTAATTATTGAAATCAATGTCCGACTCCAGTTTCATGGGCAGCATAGAGACGAATTATCACAGTCTAATCTCAAATATTCTCAAAATCCGACCCAAAGAAAATCCCTCAAAGACCCAATTTAGCCAATGTGAAGTGGAATTAAAGGCTGAAAGGCTGAAGGCTAAAAGGAGAAGTGATGGACCACTTGATAGACTTTTTTCCGGATTATAAGAGTGCTGAGTGTCAGGAGCAAGTCTGGTTTCATCGAAGAGGTAGGCGAAAGTTCTTAGGAATTAATGGGAAGCTTTAATAGAATCTCCACTTCCCACAATGCAGAATTTTCCGGATTACGGTTTTTTCACGGATGAAAGCAATACAGAATACGAACGAATGGGATCTGCCAGGTGATATGGATCGACTTAAAGCATCTCAGAGATGAATTGTTTTGAAAGCCAAGTGGAAAATCCTTAATGTCCTACCGGGCACCCAACTAAAGCTATTGCGACTGGATCTGGTCAACGAAGGGACAAATGATGAAGCCTCAAATAAAAGAAATCTATAAACACTTAATTACAATAAAATAAACTGGCTAAGGACAATAGATAAACATCGTTTTCATTTTGACTACGACCTTTTTAACCATTGTATGATTCTATTAATCATATACATAGTTTAAAATGAAAGTTTGAATTTTAAAGGCAGTGCTGCAAAGAGTACACATATCGATAAATCGATAACATATCGCACAGAGGCAGCGTCACTTTACCACACTGAAATGAAGTCGGAATAGAGGGAGAATGAAAAAAGTGACATAAATGGCGGAAACCTCAAGCGCCAACATTTGGATTTAATTTGGATTTTTCGCACCAACCATACAGTAGCTTCAAGTGTTGAGGTATTGCAGCTATTCGAACTGATATCAAAACCAAAGCTGAGAGGACCAATCGACTGCCGGCCATGTACAAGCGCAAATCGACGAGTATAGTGAAAAGGGACAGTACCTCCGTTGCAGGCCAGTCCACCACCACGATGAGCGCCAGCGGTGGAAACAATACCGCCGACTTGGATGTGGATATGGATGACGCCCATATGGAAATGTCTCTGGATCCACCCACGCCGCTTAAGTCCCCGTCGCATTCACAATCTCATATCGTGCCTAGCCAGCAACGTTCCGTGGGTTCACTGGTCTCGCTCACCCAAAAGTTCGTGGAACTTATGAAGTCAAACGGTGGCTCTATAGATCTCAAAGCGGTATGACTTTTAAAATGCCTATTTTGTTACGATACTAATAATATTACCGTATTTGTTCAGGCTACCAAAATCCTGGATGTTCAGAAGCGGCGCATATACGATATCACCAATGTGCTGGAGGGCATTGGCCTGATTGATAAAGGCAGACACAGCGCCCTAGTGCGGTGGCGGTAGGTGCTCATTTGCATTATGGGGGTTTATTTTTACAACTCCATTCCCAGGTTACATTTTTAGGAAGTGGATACAAAGAAGCCTTCATATTAAAGGTTTTAGTCGGTATAATACCTGGAAATATATTTTGTTATATAGTTGAATTATCCTTTAATGAGGATGATTATGAAGTTGTACCTAAAATGTAAACCTTTCCCCGTTTTCTAAAACATTTAAAAACTTGTTTTCTGTTTATAGCGGTGGAGGTTTCAACAACGCCAAGGACCAAGAGGATTACGACTTAGCCCGCGGACGCACGAACCACTTAAAACTGTTGGAGGAAGATTTGGACAAACAGCTAGAGTATGCCCAGCGTAACTTAGGCTATGTGATGCAAGATCCTTCAAATAGATCATATGCGTATTTAACACGGGACGATCTGTTGGGAGTCTATGGTGATGATTCCGTCTTCACTATACCCAATTATGATGAGGAGGTTGAGATTCAACGCAACGATGTAAGATATATATTTTTTTTTTAAATTTTTACAAGTACAAAAAATTAACAACGAAAATTCCATTTTGAACCATTTTTCACAGAGTGAGTTGCGGGTCTCCCTGGATAATGGCAGCACGATCGACGTTCGTCTGGTGACGAATCAAGGTAAAAGCACAACCAATCCACACGACGCCGGAGGGTTCTTCGACTACCGCAGACTTGACACGCCCTCACCCTCGACGTCGTCACGCTCCAGCGACGACGGCCAAACTTCGGGACCAGCAGGGTCGGGCAACGTGATAACAGACGAACACACGTATTCTTGCAATCCCGAAATGAAGGACGAGATGAAACTGCTGGAAAATGAACTGACCGCGAAGATTATCTTTCAGAACTATCTGTCGGGTCACTCGCTACGACGGTTCTATCCCGACGATCCAAATTTAGGTGTGTAAACTAATAACTATTTTCCTAATTTATCTTACAACTAATAACTGTCGTTTTTTTTTGTTGTTTAGAAAACCCGCCGTTGGTTCAGTTAAACCCGCCCCAAGATGATTTTAATTTTGTTTTAAAAAGCGATGAAGGTATCTGCGAACTGTTCGACGTACAATGCTCATAACTGCGGGACGGAACTTACAAATAACAAATTGTATTTAGGCTGGCCGCGTGCTTTGTGCAAATATTTATGATTAGTACAATTTTGACCTTTAACATCTTTATACCGTGTAGACGTTTTAATTAGTTTAATTCAATGTAATTTTGGCATTCTTACAGCAAATATAATAAATTCATAAGCTATAAGTGCTCTTGGGTCGAAAGGCACACACTTATATTTTTACCAATACAAAAAAAAATTGTCTTTTATTGAATTATGGTTTGTATTTAAGATAAATTCTTTAAACTATGATTTATGTTTTTTTTTTAAAGGAATCTTTGTGGGCCTGTGAGTATGCGCGCTATTATGAAAGATCATGAAAAATTAAAAAAATACCAAAATTATTAAAAATGTTATAATAAATAAAAATATGATATGAAAAGAAATTATTTGTAAATAAAAATAATAAACAAGTAGTCGATCATAGAAGTTGACAAGCTAGAAGTCCCTTTATTTCATTTTGATTATTTTAGTATTATTTTTTCGATAATACCAGCGACAGCTTTTTTCTCGAGTCTCCTGCCCTGTTTCACTTTCATTTGTTTCGCGCGCTATCGAAGCGCAAAGTTTTTATCGAAGCGCAAAATTTCGTCTTTCGTGTAACGGCACATGGTGTGAATTTGTAAAAAGCCGCAAATAAGCTCCGCGTGTAAATTTTCGTAAAGTCTGTGTTTTCATTGAAAATCATTGTAAAAATGCGTGATCGAGATAAGCGCCGATGCTGGCAGCAAATATTGACCAAGATTGGGATCGACGCTATGGCGGACGACGAGTGGTCCCAAGCCTACGAACAGTATAAAATGAGCTGGACCAGGACCTACTGCATTCGGCACTGCAGAGTAAGTAACAAATTGTACAATTTCTTAAACAAATGCCTAACTAAGTGTTTTTAATTGGCAGAGTGCTCTTATACCACTCCTAAATCATGTGCAGCAAAGACCCACCGGATCTTCATCGAGTTCTGCTCTGTTGCCAACTGCTGCGGATGTGAAGCCCATGCATGAGACGCATGCTTCCTTTGTTGCGGAGTGTGCTTCGCCTAGAACGCCCAAAAATAATCCTCAGACACCTCAAAAAATGCAAGCTATTGAAGCATCCAATGATATCCAAGACGGTACCAATCATCAAGCATCTGAGTCGAAAATATTCAAGCACCAAGTTCCGATTACTCCAAAATCAAATCCCTTTGATCGGCGCTCCAAGATTTCTTCGTTGATCAAGCCAAATGAAAATGACGACGAAGATGAAGACGATCCAGACGAATGTTTGCCCTTAATAGAATGGCAGAAGCGTTATTCCAATGAAAACGGAAACGTAAAAAAGAACGATGAACCCGTAGAAGCTCCAAAAAAACGAAAAAGAGGTCGTCCGTCGCTGGCTGACAAAGCTCAAATGAAGCAGCTTCAGGGTGCAAACCAAAGTCAAGGCTCTATTGGGGAAACACCTAACAAAAAAGTAAAGTGGTACAATAGTCCGTTGAGCAAAGCTTCTCGAAAAGACTTTAAAAAAATGGCGCAACCGTTTCGAAAAGCTATTCTAATTCCGGCTCAGCAGCAGCAGGCTAGACCATCGACCAGGAAGGCATCAACATTGAAGCAGGAACCCAAGAAAATACAAATTCTAGAAGAATCAGCTTTGGAGCTTCAGTACAAGAAGCTCAGTCCGATGCCATCGACTAGTAGCCAGAGTGCGGCCAACCAAAGACCAGGTGATTTCCACAGCAGTTCGCCGCTAGCCAAAAAAGGGACTCAAGAAAATGGCTTAGTAATGGTAGTAAGCAGTCTGGATATTTCATTAGTTAACAACTTCTATTTGTTGCCACAGATAAGCGGGGAGGGCTTGCCGATGCCTGCCCACATGCCGCCGACCGCCATTAATTTGAGCTATCAGCCCAAAAACGAACAGCCTCAGGAGGGGCAGAAGCAGCAGCTGAGGGATGAATACGCCGACCAAAACTTGGACTTGACAAAGAAGGCTTCAGGTGGAGGGGAAAGTTTGTCGACGTCGTTGAACGACATTCACAACGACCACAGCTATATTGCCACCTCTGACCTTAAGATGGACGAAATATTAATGGAAACCAACGTTTCGTCATTGTTGACAGTTCCGGCAGGTATAGATCCATGCCACTCCATTCAAGACTTCCATTTCTTAGACGAAAACTTGTTCAATGATGTGATGTTTGATGTAGATCAAGGTCATCCCGTTCCCCAGGGAGATCTGGGAGATAGCAACACACCTACCGAGCTTGATCATCAGATGGCTGATGTATTAGACATTCTTGAAAGACTGACAACTCCGCCAAGGGTAGAAGCTAATACACAGGGGAACACAAAGGATATTGTGAGCTTGAACCTAGACAAGGAAGAGGAGCTCGACTATGAACTAGACGATGATGTTTTGTCGGTTGCAACTTCTTGGGAGGGGTCGGATGAAGACCTCGTCCAAAACCCCCTACATCTTGGGAATAAAACGATGACAAATGAGAACAACTCTACAAAAGGACCGACCCCACATAAACGTAAGTGTACAAAGCTAGAATCTACAAAAATTAAACCACCCGTATTACCCTCAGCGTCGCAGATGCCTATGCCAAAGCCCTCCGTGCAAGACGAAACAAGCACTGAAACGCCGGAACGGCCGTCTACCTCGCAGATCTCAGCACCACCTCAAAGGGGATTGGTGAAGCAAGATGACCAATCCACGGCAAATGTCAGATCAGAGATTATGACGGATATGAAGAAAGTTGCAGGTCGCATTCCTAAGATCAAACCGGGTCAGCTAGAAGCGCAGCCTTCTGTCATGCAAATGCTATATGATCACCAGGATAAAGAGGAACAAGCTCGAAAGCAAGAGGCGAAGGCGCCAGCAGGCCCTTCGAGGAGGCCCTCTCTGCTGATGAACCGCCAGCGAGAAGAAGCTACGGTTGCCCCAGCTGGCCCTTCGAGGAGGCCATCTCTGCTGATGAACCGGCAGCGAGAAGAAGCTACGGCTGCCCCAGCTGGCCCTTCGAGGATGCCCTCTCAGCTGATGAACCGCCAGCGAGAAGAAGCCACGGCTGCCCCTTCGATGAGGCCTTCTCAGCTGGTGAACCGCCAGCGAGAAGAAGCCTCGGCTGCGCGGCACGGTAAGGTGGAAACCCCAGTTTTTGGTCCCCTCTACCAAATTCCACCCACCGCACCGCATCAAGGTTTAGCTATGCCAATCCAAGAGACTGCACCCATCCTCCAACAGGTTATTGCTCCTAACAATTGGATGACAGACGTTTTCGGAATCAGGTGTATGGCATTTCTAGACGACTATTGTGTAGAATTTGGTTGCAACCATGAGATGAATACCGTGGGCGAAGTGCAAAGGCGCCTCTTGCGAATGGACGAATCGGCCTTGGAACAAATCTATGTTCTGTCCACTCGCAGCATTGTCATCTTCAAAAACTATTTCAATTCGTTCGCCGAGATTTTCCTGCGACGCAATCTCAGGCCCCAAGTTTTGCGAATGATATCGGATTGCCGTCTGTACAAGAATATTGCCGGGCCCTTGATAGCCCATATCTTTGGTATGCTGAAGTCATGTGGAATGGAAAAGGATATGACGCGTGTTCTCATGAGAGATCTTTGGATGCCGAGCAAGGCGGCCAAGTTCCGAGACTTGACCATAACCATTCTCCATGTCCTGTCCAGAACCAACTGGGAGGATTATTTGGGTCATATTATTCGTCTTGGAGCGGAATTTAATTTCATCATACCCATAGAAATAGTCATCCATATTTTAGAATCTTCTAAAACCAAAAATCCAGAAGTAAGAGAAGCCAGTATGAAGCTGATGCTAAACATACCTGCTAAGGAGCTTCAAAATCCGCAACACGTGGAGTTTTTGAAAGCTTTCAATGAGCAAGTCAACGTTGTAGATGGGCGCCCAAGAACAAGTGCAGCTCCAAACACCTTTGGAACTCCCGGTCGTAACCTGTATATGGGTCCCGGTTCGAACAACGGTCCGAGGCCAGGGTATAGCCAGGGTCATGGCCAGATGCCAGGCTACTATATGAATCAAAGAACAAGTGCAGCTCCAAGCCACAGTCTAAATTCCGGTCCTAACCGGTATATGGGTCCACAAGGGAACGGGTATAGGCGGAATTGATTTTAGATGACACGCTACAATATGAGCCCAAGAACAAGTGCAGCCGTCTAATTCCAGGTGAATGGGTCCTGGTTCTAACATGAGTCCAAGTTAGGTACAGGTACCTATAGTCAAGTTCCAGGACTCCAAGAACAAGTGCAGGCTCAAGTCGTAGTTCATCTAAAGTTCCCCCCATAATAACTATAAACTATAATAAGTTCATTATAATTATAAGCTAGAAGTTTAAATTTATGTTTCAACATTAAAACGAATACAATATTTTTTGTTTAATTTTACTCTGTATTACCGTATAAAATAAAATAATAGTTAAGCTTAATTTCATAATTTGCCTATACTATCTTTTTTTGCCCCCCTTGTTCCAGCTCTTTTGGCCAAAACCTTTTTTGCCACCTCCCTTGGGTCCTTTGCCGCCGCCACCGCCTCCGCCCATAGGTTTCATGCGCTTGCGGGCACCGGTAAAGTGCTCCGAATCATCATGGTTGTCCCCGCCCCTCTTGTGTCCCCTACCGCCCTTTGTATCCTCTAGATCCTTCAGCTCCAGCTTTGCCGTGCGCTGGGCCTCTGCCACGCGTTCCTGTAGAGCCATGACTTCGTCCTCCTCGCATTTGTAGAGAGGCAGTTGCTTGCCAAGTAGGTGTTCAATGCGCTGGTAGAGTTCGATGTCGTATTGGCTCACTAGGGTGATGGCTTTGCCAGAGCGACCTGCTCTCGCTGTCCTTCCCACCCGGTGAATATAGTCCTTGCTGTGCGTGGGTATATCGAAATTTAGCACAACGTCCACGTGCGGGATGTCCAGGCCACGGGAAGCCACGTCGGTGGATATAAGAATGGAACGATTCTTGGCCTTGAATTTATTGAGGGCCGCCAGACGCTTGTTCTGCGACATTTGACCATGCAGGGGAATGGCTGCCAGTCCCAGAGCTCGAAGCATCAATGCAGTTTTTACAGTATTGTTGCAGGTGCTGCAGAATATCATGAAGCTGTTGCCAGCCAGTTCGTTGAGGATGTGAACCAAGTACACGTCTTTATATTTCACCGGTATGAACAGGTAATATTGCTGGAGTTGCTCGACTGTCTGATACTTGTTGGATACTTCAACCTTAACCGGATCTTTGAGGGAGGCACGCTGCAGCTTCTTTACCTTCTTGGTCATGGTAGCGCTGAATAGAAAGGTGCGTCGGTCACGTGGCAAAACCTTTAAGATCTTATCGAGCTCCACCTCAAAGTCCATGTTCAGGATTCGATCCGCTTCGTCCATCACCAAGTACTTGATGGCCTTCAAGTTAAAGCCCTTCATGTTTTCCAAATGGTCCACGAGGCGGCCGGGTGTGGCTATGATGATGTGTGGCTTCTTGGCCAGCTGAAGTCCTTGGGCCACCATGTCCATGCCGCCGACAACAACACAGCACTTAATTCCAATGCTACTGCCTAGGATGTATAAAAGAAAGCAACTTTAATTAGTATAAGGAATTTTTATGAATAAAAATATGGTGATTTTGTATGAAACTCAGAGGTAGTGACGAATAAGAAATTATAATTTCATGTTTTCGTTTAAAAACAAAATCAAAAAAGGGTTAACATCATTGTGTGGGCTATTAGTTGGATGAAACTAGCTATAGACTTACCAAGAGCCTCAAACTGCTCGCCGATTTGAAACGCCAGCTCACGTGTTGGTGTTAATACCAGGGCGAAATACCTCTGCGGGTTTTCGAGGAGCGCGTGGAGAATGGGTAGGGCAAAGGCACCGGTCTTGCCAGAACCAGTTTCCGCCAGGCCAATAACATCCTTGCCTTGCAGGGCCACCGGAATAGCTTCTCGCTGGATCTTCGAAGGCGCCTTCCATTTGAGCTCGTCACAAGCCTGACACAACGTGTCGTTCAGACCCTGGAGGAAAGATTAGCTCTATTATGTACTTTTTCAAACGGATCTAGGGCGTTTAACGTACGAGATCTTTCCAGGTCAACTTTTGGTCCTCAACCTGGTCATCGTTTTCAACCTCGGAGTTACTATCGGCATCTCCATTTTGCTCGTCACCATCTTCAGATTCTGAACCATCTTCTGCAGCTTCATCATCGTTTCCGTCATCCTCTTCGCTGCCACTCAATTCCTCCTCTTCGTCGCTGGGTTGCACCAGGTCCTGCTCGTCTTCTGAAGTTTCCGACATTTCGTTACTAATAGTTCATGAAATTCGGAATGTTCCCTGATCCAAACGGATCGCAATACCTCTCACCACGTGGTCTCGGAAAACAGAAAGAGTGGGTGCCTTTAATTTGAGGTGGAACTTTCTTTTTTTTTTATCGATGTTTTAGAAATCGGTGTATCGTTGTATTGCTGTATGGCAACTCCAACACATTTGATTTATTTTGCAATTCTTTTTATTAATATAATGAAAAAGACTTGAGATTAATTTAAAATTATGTTTTAAATCACAAATAATGGTAATGTTATACAACTTAAAACACTTAATTTTTTTTTAAATATTTCTTAATAAATTGTGCATCACTTTCCAACACTGACCGCTAACACGCGCTCGCTGCAAAAAATAAACAAATAAGGAGCCACAAGTGCCGGAAAAATAAAATGGGTGTCCGTGGCCTTACAAGCTACATTGCCCAACGCGCCGAGATCTACCTAAAGCCCTACGAGCTGCACTCAACTGCGCTGGTCATCGATGGTGACAATTTATCATGTAACTTGTACAAGGATGTGTCTGGGACCTACTCGGCTTTTGGAGGGGATTACGATGATTTCTACCGGGCTGTGGTGCAGTTTTTTCAAGTTCTGGCCGAGTGCAATATCCGTCCGTACGTCCTGATGGATGGTGGATATGAGGAGAAAAAGCTTCAGACGGTCAGCACCCGGTTAAGGGGAAAAATTAGCGTTATCAAAAAGATCAACCCTAATGCCTCCATTACATTGTTTCCCTTGCACCTCAAAGAGGTTTTTGTGGATGCTGTGAGGGATTGTGGAGTTCCAGTGATGCGATGTGTCTTTGAAGCCGACGATGAGCTGGCGGCCTTAGCAAGGAAACTTAATTGCCCGGTGCTCTCGTATGATTCGGATTTCTACATCCACAATGTGAAGTACATCCCGCTTATAACTCTGACTGTGAAGGTACATATGTTCCAATTCATGGAGTCCTTACATGATTAACACCCTTGTTTAACAATTAGGTTCTTACCAAGCAAATTAAGGATAAGAGCAACCAAAAAAAGTCTCGTGATCTGCGGCGCAATGAGGCCAAACACGTGGAAAAGCGTACCAAGGCAAACAAGATTTTGAATGGCATACAAACCGCATCCAAAACGACACCTTCGAAACCAAATGTAAAGACCTACAAATATCTGGATTGTTGCATCTACCGAGTGGAACATCTCTGTGGTCGAGGCACTCTTAGCCCCGAAAAGTTGCCCCTGTTTGCTGCCCTTCTGGGTAACGATTACATTGCTCGAAGTGCTTTCCGGAACTTCTTTGCTTCCGGCATGGGTAAAGCGGGCAGGAGTCGCAAATTGAAACAACAACAAAAACGCATACAGGTAACTCTCAAATGGCTCAAGGAGGAGACCTCCGAGACGGCTTTGGCCAAAGTACTTTCTAGGCTGAAAAAGGTTAGTGACTTGACTTTTTTCCTACCAATCTCTAGTGATAATTAATCTGTTGTAGACTCAACGAGAATCTCTTGCCTCTCAAGTCAATGCCGCCATTTGTGGATACTCGAATGAGTTGTGTCATGCTTATGATTTCTTTGAAGAGCAGTATGAGAATGCTTTTCCATATGTCGAACCCGTAAGCGAAGATGAGCTCAGCGTCGAGGATGAAATTAATGAAGGAGAATATATATCCGGAGATGATGATGATGAGGTGGCAGAAGAGGGACAGGAGGAAGATCCAGAGCCAGACGAACAGGTGCCAGAAGATCCTGAAGAAGACGAGGATGATGAAGAGGAAGCAGAAGAAGAAGTAGAAGTGGAAGATAAGACGTTACTTTTCCCAGCATGGTTTTTAAAGAAGCTTTACCCCGCGCACTTGTCACGGTTCTTTGTGGATCTTGTTCACCTAAGAAAGTACATCAACAACCCACAAATGGAACACTTTCCTTATGCTGACTCCAACGAACTGGCTCTGCCCATCCTCAATTACGTTTTTTCCCTACTCCACCACGTTGAGGGAGAGAAAACAGAGCCCGGATTAGACGAAGAGGGTTCACCTTTACCCATCGAGTTTACCTACCTCACAAGAGCTCTTCGGGTGACCAATGTGCGGCATTACAAAATGCCCATTGAAAAAGAACCTCCTTATCCATTCAATCCATCTTCACCCGATCCCAGGCATTTGAGGCACGTCTTCAAATCGTTTGTGCCGCATGCCGATACGGATAAGCTTTTTGAGAAGCTGGATAAGCTCCCTGAGGATCTGAGACTATATTTTCTATCTATTATCTACTGGATACATCGATCTGAGCACTGTGATCAATTGCATCTTCACTCCTTGCTGCTAAGTCTGGTGGTCCTTCGCACCATTGATGTTACCATACCAGCTGAAAGAGAGGTGAAAGAATTCAAGAAAAGATTTGGAAAAATCCTGAAACAAGAACGAGCCGTGAGAGATAAAGAATTGGCCGAAGGAGTCAAGCGTGGAATTAAACCATCCCTTTTGGAACTTTCAATACCCGATAGAATGCCTCACGTTCCGAAGTCTGACTGCTATTTAACCCAGGAACGCCTGCTGCCACACTTTCACATGCAGGAGATTTTTAAGAAGAAATTCGATCTCTATTCTTCAACGGTTATCCATAGCTTTGCTGAGTTTCAGGCGGTTGTGTATCAGCTTAGTGGGTTGAACGCTCTTCTGGACTTTCCCCTGTTGAATCCTAGGATGAATCAACTGTTTTGCGGTGCTTTCCTTTACAATATGTACGATCTGCTCAAAAATCGAACGGACGTTCGCTATCATGTGGAGCATTTCCTGCTGCCCGATTCTAAGCTAATGTTTGACTTCTATTGTTACCTATACGACTGGTGCGAGGAGTTTATTCCCGATTGGAAGGTCATGGAAGTGGACCAGTCTGCCCTTAAAGCCCAACAAAAAAAGCGGGTTAAGAAAGAGCGTCAAGCATCTAGAAAAGCGGAATCGAAGGCGGAGTCGGATCCCAATGCTGAATTGGTTAAGACTGCTGATCCGGATGAGGATTTCTTTGATTTGAACAACAAATTCTGTGGGCTTAAAGTTGCCTAAGTTTATACCTAAGTGCAATAACGTTTTATTAAGAAGAAAATTGAACTTTTAAATTTTAATTTATTAAGTAGTTTAAAAAGTTTAAATGTGTTAAAAAAATGAATATTTTAAAAACATAAAGTTAGTTTTATTGAATATATTAAATTACAAATATTTGTACAAAAAATGCAAAAAAATATTTGATTAAACATAATTAAATTTAATAAAAATTTTAATTTTTTTTTATTTTAAATAACGGTTCTCTGTTAACATTTGTGTTTACATAAACAAAAATACCAGTTTTCGTGGTTTTAAAATCGGTGATGCCATACTTTTCATGGTCCTAAGGATCATAAAATTTAAGTAATTTTTAGAGTCATAAACGTATAATAAAATTTTGCATAATTATATAATCAAAAAATCCCTCCTAATAAATGTTTTAAGTGGTTTCTGTCTATTAGTTTTAAAACCCCCCAAAACTGTCAATATAATCTTCAATGGTCTGGCAGCACTGTCCGTAGCGTTGTTCGACGTCATTCTCTGTTATCGTTGTAATCAACAAATAAAAGAAAATAAAACAAACTATCAGCACAGCAGACTGATCCAACGTTTAGTTTGTAATCGGCACCAGACACTGCCAACTACCAACAACAAATGTATAAGCTGTGACCTCGGGGCGGAGCAGGAGCAGGCACTGCCAGCCAGATAGAAACAAAGGCCAAAACAAAGGCCAAAACAAAGGCACCCGCACTAGCGGAAAACCAGAACGTCATTGGCAGCCAATTAACGGAAGGCGGAGGCGTTTTTGGTCTCCCATTCCCCACTCCCCCTCACTTCCGTAGATGCTGGTTGGGCTTAGCGATCAGCTTTCGCGGATCATGGAGAGCGTATTCGAGGCTTATCTAGGTCCTGACAGTGTCCTCGCCAGTGCAGTGGGTCAGGCGGTTGGCGGAGGCGAGTCGGAGGATATACCCAGACGGAATACGGATGTCTGGGTACTGGGCAAGCGATACAATGCCATACAGGGTAAGGGAACAAGCCAAAACCAGTTGGTGTACATTTATAATCAATGTCAAACGATTACCATATCTCAAACAATATGAGTCATGTGGTTGCTCGTTAAACACTATACCCACCAGCTCTAACAATGCTGTCCTTCATTGAGTTTAATACTTTTTCTTTTTCTAGGACTCGAGCTCATCCGCCGCGACATTCAGTCCCGTCTATGGTGCACCTACCGGTGTGGATTCTCGCCACTTGGAGAAGTGCAGCTCACCACCGACAAAGGCTGGGGCTGTATGCTTCGTTGTGGGCAAATGGTCCTCGCCCAGGCCTTGATTGACCTTCACCTGGGACGTGACTGGTTTTGGACGCCAGAGTGTCGGGATGCTACCTACCTCAAGATTGTGAATCGCTTCGGGGACGTTAAGAACAGTTGCTATTCCATACACCAAATAGCCTTAATGGGAGAGTCGGAAAACAAAGCCGTAGGCGAATGGCTTGGACCAAATACAGTAGCCCAGATCCTTAAGTAAGAACCAAAATACATAAATACCATGCTAAGGTGCATGAAATGATTTATTTCTGTTTGCAGGAAACTTGTGCGCTTTGATGACTGGTGTTCCCTGGCGGTACATGTTGCAATGGATAGCACAGTAGTCCTCGATGATATATGTAAGCATAACATCGGAAACATAGCAGAATCCATTTTAAAATTACATGAACCATTTTTCAGATTCCCTTTGTCGCGATGGCGATGCATGGAAGCCACTGCTGCTAGTCATACCCCTGCGTTTGGGAATCACCGATATCAACCGGATGTATGTGCCAGCATTAAAGCGATGCCTTGAACTTGACAGTAGTTGCGGAATGATTGGCGGTCGGCCCAATCAGGCTCTGTACTTCCTAGGTTATGTGGACGACGAAGTTCTTTACCTGGATCCACACACGACACAACGAACCGGCGCGGTGGGTCAGAAAACCGGTGTTGGTGAACAGGAATACGACGAAACCTATCATCAAAAGCACGCTGCCCGTCTCAACTTTTCTGCAATGGATCCCTCCCTGGCAGTTTGTTTTTTGTGCAAGACCAGTGATAGTTTTGAGTCCCTGCTGACAAAGTTCCGTCAGGAAGTTCTCAGCTTGTGCTCCCCTGCGCTTTTTGAAATCAGCCAGACACGGACTGTCGATTGGGATACAGCGGAAGACATTGAGTGGCCGACTATGCCGGATATTGACTGGCCGGCGGGTACGTCGGACTCCGATTCGTTTGCCTTCGTGGGTAAGTGAGTTTAAAGGAATATGTAGATGTGTAAAAGAATAATTCAAAGATATATGAGTTTTGTGACTAAAATCGTTGTGTTTTAATAGATTTAAGGCGCACATGAGGTCAATACGTATTTCCACTCTGTTTTCACTCAAACCCCGTTTCTTATCAATTCACTTCACTCAACAGAAGAGAGCGGCGACGCCGGCAGCAGCAAAAATCCCAGTGAGAGAACCGCCGTTTGAGAGGGTCACCGGCAGCAGAATAGGGCCGAGTGCTCCTCTCGCAACGCCTGCGCCGCACCATAACAACAGATGAGGCCGGACCAGCCAAATGTGGAGCATCCGTGGTCCGAGGGGTGTGAGAGGTGCGCTAAGAGGAGGAGAAGGAAGGGAGTCGCCTCTGCGGATGCTGCGAATGCAATAAACTAAGGCTAAAGTGCATAATTAGACGAGTGGTTGAGATTTAGTTTGTAGAATGTTTACGATTTGTACGAATGCAATTGCGATTCATAATGCTGCTTTATTGTACGCGATTGACTCCACGGGAGACAATTGGGCAAAAAACACACACAAGACGAGACACCATACAGACCATATAGACACACAAGCTTTTTGATGATCAATTAAACATTTTTATGCAACGTTATACATTTAAAACTCGAATTCGAACTCGAACTCGATTGATCGCTTTGTTGCCAAGTGTGTATATATGTACGTAATACGTATTCATAATGTTTCATATTCGTTTTCGTATATTCGTCTGTATATGTTCAAAAATGGACCAACAACTAAATACATAATACTTGGACTATATGTATATATCTCTATATATATGTTTGGTATATATATTAACTTTGCTATCCGTATCTGGACTCAACAGTTGGACAAACTCAATCCACGCAAAATAAGGAACTTCTCGAGTGAGTAACCAAGGAAAATGTTTTGGAAACTACGTTAACAGCAAACTCGCGCCTATGCAGTTGGCAAATTGACACTAATTGGGTTTATCCTGCGGTGTCCTGGCTTGATCCCTTTGGAAAGGCAAACTCGGCTAAACAATTTCCATATGTCCTTTTGTTTGGATCATCTGCTTAATAATTTTGTATGCATTTTGGAAAACTTCTTCAAGCTTCTATATTATTTTTCTATTATAATCTCGTTTGGTGTTCTTAAAGGAACATTAATCTAACTTTATAAAGCCCAGTTCAAAAATAAATATAATTTTGAGAGCTCGAATTTTTGAGGAGCCTCTAGAATCCAAAGGTTGCCTTTCCTTCCCAAGGGATACCCAAGGACCCGCTAGAACCAGGTGAGTAATATAAACATTCAACAACTATCCGCGGACTTGGAACCGGATCCTGAAAGACTAATTCACTTAAAGTATGCAACACGAGCGCTCGACTCGCTTCTCCGCCTTGGGCTCCATGTGCAGGGCCATCTCCACGTGCTTGCGTGCCAGCCAGGATTGCTTCTGCAGTCGGTTGACCACAATCCGGTAGGCGCCAATGATGTCGGAGCGGGGTCCACTCTGCCTCGAGTTGATGAGCATTTCGGATGTGAGGCCGAACTCTGCCAGAATTTGTCGCGCCTCGAATTCCAGGGCGCCCAGCTGACTGAGATCCTCCGTGTTTGTGGGCAACATAATGCAGCTGCCCGTCTCCGCATCATAGTTCTTGAAAAGTGGACAGTCGTCGGCCACCTCCACGTTCCACGGATTAATCTTGGCCGTGCCGCCGTTGGGCAACTGTTTCTCCGGCTCCGTTTCCATGGGTGTGACCTTCTTCTTGAGACTCCCGCATAGTAAATAGCGTCTGTTGGGTCGCTTGGCCTGCTCCGCTGACTGCTGGGCTGTGTCCTTCAACTGACCGGATCCCTGGAGCATGAGCTCGTGACTGAGCTCAATTGGTTGGAGGAAATTCTGGACAAACATCTCGTCCTGCTGGCGTGTGTTCATACTTATGGCTGGCTTCTTCACCACCTCGGCGTACCGATCCCTCAGCGAGGCGGTCTTCCTCAGGCGATGCGACTTGCTCCGCACCCAGAAGATGGAGCGCTTGGCGGGCTTGCTGTGCTGGTTGATCTCCCACTGCATCAGGTCGGCGCTCAGCTTGGGGCAGGTCACGAACTGGCTGTTCAGCATGTCGTCGATGGTGGGCCTCTGGGCGGGTATGTGAATCAAGATGCGTTCTAAAAAGGCGATAAAAAAGGGCATTATATAATTAAAACCAAAACTTAACCAAAAACTTACGTATAAGTCTTATGCAGGGCAAACTTAGCTGGCCGGGCAGCAGGTAATCGCCCTTGAGAATGGCTGCTTTGAGGCCGGGAATGGTGGGGGCTCGGAACGGCATGTTTCCAACCACCATGAAATACAGCAAAATGCCCAGTGCCCATACATCCACCGGCGCTCCAATGTAATGGTCGTCGGAGAAGAGTTCCGGCGCGGCGTACGGAGGCGAGCCGCAAAAAGTGTCGAGCTTCTGATTGGCACCTGTCAGGCAGGACGAAATTGATTAGCTTACAGTGAGGGGAGTGGGGTGGCAACGGAAGGACTTTTCAACCCACCATTGATAAGTTGTGTACTGAAACCGAAATCGGCTAGCTTCAGGCGATCTTCTGAGAGGAGTAGAACATTTTCGGCCTTGATGTCCCGATGAACATAGCCTAGACTGTGCTGTGGGGTAGAAAAAATATAAACTTGCCTTAAGTCCTTATAACGTATATTTTTCCGCAATATTTACCATATGTTTAACAGCCAGAAGTAGCTGTTTAAACAAAGGAGCCGCATGAATCTCCCTCAGTGGTCCACCTTGGGTAATGTGGTTGTACAGCTCTCCGCCGCGTATCCACTCGGTGACCAGATAAACCCTCCCCAATGTCTCAACCACCTCAAAAAGCCTGACCATAAATTATAGAATTTAAGTGCCGCATTAAATTCAAAGGATATCTGGACTTACGTCAGTATATTGGGATGATGAACACACTCGAGTGTGGCTATTTCACTGGACAGCATGCGAAGCGCCTTGGCATCCAGACCGGCACGGTCCAGGTCCACCACCTTAATGGCCACTTTGTCTGAAATTTAGAACGAATTCTATATAATCGGAGGAAATCTATATAATCTGACTTACCACGCGTGAGTTGGTGGACGGCGAGCTTGACTTTCGAGAAGTTGCCGCGTCCGATGTCGCCACAAAATCTGTAGAGGCCGATGCGTCGGCCGATGGTTACCTAAAATAAAGATTGAAACCTTAATTAGTATTCTTAAACTATAATTTGTAGTCTAATCTTAACCATCAACCAATTACGCTCTTTTCATATATTTATACCCTATTTAAATTATCATGAAAGTCTGCAACGCAGTGAAGGAGACATTTCCAATTCATAATCATGGTCACCTCCTGAGTTTATATAAGCATGACCATAAGCAGGATTTTGATGCAGAATAGTGGGAAATCGATCTAGACATCGTTTAAGGTACTCCGCTTGAGAATCGGATGAGAATTGGGGAAGATATAGCCATCACTGTGGGCCCTATAAAGGAAAACCTCATTTTCAAGGGATCCCATCTAGAAAAATTAACAAAAAATCTAAAAAATATTTTGTCTCACGATTTTGATGCAGAATGGTGTCAAATCTATCCAGAAATCGTTTAAGGTACTCTGCTTGAGAATCGGATGAGAATTGGGGAAGATATAGCCATCACTGTGGGCCCTATAGGGGAAAACCCCATTTTCAAGGGATCCCATCCAGAAAAATGAACAAAATATCTAAAAAATATTTTGTGTCAGGATTTTGATGCAGAATGGTGGAGAATCGATCCAGAAATCGTTTAAGGTAGTCCGCTTGAGAATCGGATGAGAATTGGGGAAGCTATAGCCGTCAATGTAGGTCCCTACATCACTGTAGGGGACTATATCCTATAGCTGCCATATAACTGAACTATCGGAAATTACACTACTTTCGGGTTTATGAAAATAGAAAGTTTCTACATATTCTATTTTGTGCCATATGATCCGACGTACCAAATTTGATAAGGATCGGTATTTTTGAAGATAGAAGCTTCGGCTTCGCCCGAAGTTAGCTTTCTCTTTTTGTTTTTGTTTATTTTTATTAAACTCACGCTAATAATTCCCCCAGGGACTCGCCCCTGAGGTTAATTCCGGCCACCACTCCGTCTAGTTGCCCGTAATTTATGCCCTCGTCTGCCCGCCTCCCCCATGGGTGGTCTTGCAATTAGCCAAGGTCAAGTGCCGTGAATTTTTGTTAATGTAATTTGAACTGTGCTGCTGTTTCCCTTTCAGCTGCACTTGACGTGGTTGCTTGTTGCTCCTTCACCTGTTCACCTGTTTTTCGTTTTGTTCTTAATCCACCTTTTCAGCTATCGAGCGAGCGTTAATTAAGGAATGAACGAAATGAAAGCGAGGTAGGTGCAACGCGGCGTATACGTAATGCGGATGCCTCGCATTCGGTCACACGCGCATTTTGCAACGTAAGTCCCAAACAAGCGGTGAATGAGCGCCACAAAAACAAACACAAAAGCAATCCCACCCTGTCACCACCCCCACCGCACTCCTCCCCCTCGACCGCACTATTTAACGGCAGTGGTGCACAAGAAAATTAGCCTTGAACCCCGACATAATTGCAGCGCTGCAGCAGAGGGTTTGTGTATTAGCTAACACACACGCACACCCCGGCACACCCACGCGGTCACACCTCCATCCATCCATACATACATAATCCCAAACAACGGCAACAAGCGACAATGTCCCAGCCCAGGCGTTGGCTTTCCGCTCTATCGTTGGCTTTCAGTGTGACGTCAGAGCCTTGGTGGCAAACACTCTTAGTTTGTTGCCGCCTGCCAAACAGGTTGCACTGAAACCCATACGAGATGCAATTCATCATCGGCAAGGACACGCAAATCTGGCACAATGAGTTCATGACACTGCCGGAGATAAATTCAAACATAACAATTTGCAACCTTCGCAGATATGACACCAAGTGGGTGGAGCTCCAGGAAATTTGCATAGTTATAAGGATGTTCCTTGCGCAAGCAGGAAATTCGTTTCAGATTCCTTTAGGAGAGAGTTTCCATTAAGGGGATTGTCTCGTTTACTTTCCAATTTTGTTTGTATGAGTCATTTCGCTTAAAAACCGTGGGGATTTTTAAGATTTTTAGGCGGGACACGAGAAAAATTGAATGGCAACTTATTTGAGGTATTCCGTTTAGGAATCTGATGAATATTAACAAATGTACATGTATGGCCATATACTTATAACCTGGATTTCTTTAGAAAAATAGGAAAAATATCGATGGACAATTTTGATGCAGATTAAGGTATTCCGTTTAAGAATCGGATGAATATTGAAAAGATACAGGTGTGGTATGGAGCCATTTATGGAAAATCGGGATTTGGCAAGGGGTCTTATAAAAGAAAATTCGAAAAATATGGATTGAAAAAATGAAGATTCATGGAGAATCGAAATGCAAATCGTTTCAGACATTCCGAGCAAGAATCGGGCGAATATTTACAAAGATACAGGTATGGGTTGTGACCATACATACATACCTATACTGAAAACGAGGATGTTACAAGGATATATTTACAAAAATATAAATCGAAATAAAAATCGTTTAAGGGGTTATATACAGTTGTACCGCGCAAAAATATGGAATTTGATCGATTTTTTTTTTTGACACCATAGAAAATATGATCTACTAAAATGTTTTACTGACGTTGTTTAGTACATGTTTCTGGGTACTTAATTAAATTTTTTCATAAAACATGATTTCATGATTTGGACGGTGGACATGATTTCTCGAAAACGGTTCATCCGAAATCCAAAATTCAAAAAAGTTTAGTTAGTATATTGTATTGTCTAGTCCGTGAACGAGGGATTTTTAAAAATTTTGATTAAAAAAAAAATGGCGATTTTTTTAACAAAAAATGTACTTTTTCAAGGTATAAGATTTTCGTTTTTTGTGCTTTAAAAAAGGAGTTTTCAAATCCCTCGTTCACGGACTAGCTAATATCATAATAAATAAGTGGTCAAAATTTGGTGTTGATCGGATTAGTAGTTTTTTAGTAATCATGTCCACCTCAAAGGTAATTTCCCAAAAAAAAAATTCTGAGATAATCGCGTTTAAAGTTTCAAGTTTGTTCAAGTTTTATATGCAAATAGTGCGCTATAAATAGCTACAGCTTCGGTTCTAATGCTCCGATCGTTATGAATTTTGTATTAGAGTATTGAGAGAGAATATAGAATATAGAATAGAATATAGAATAGAATAGAATATAGAATATACCAATAGAATATACCTAAAGAATATGCAATAAAAAAAAATCGATTTTTTCATATATCACAACTGTATATAACCCCTTAAGTCATTCTTCTTTAGAATCGGTTGTGTGTAAGCCTAGTTAAGGTCTAGCCCCTGTTAAGAATTACTCATACGCACTGTTGTCCCACTGTGCGCTAAGTGAAAAGTGGTTCTACAAGCGTATTTAATTCCCAATTGTGTTCTTTTTTTGTATAAACAGCTAAAAATAGCCAAAACCACTGGCACAACTCAAAGAACAGTTAAATTTGTTGAAAGGGAAACTTCGATAGTTCCCCCTGCCACCTCAATCAAACCTCACCCTGCTACGATTGCTTCCCAGAAGCATTTCAATTTGCACTCACCTCGTGGCCGCAGCGCGGATCGCATTGCAGCGCTTTGGTTAGCCGCTGGTAGGGCGGGGTGGGCGGGGGCGGTTGGCAAATTGTCAGCGACGTGGTGGGCGGCTTTGGGGGCGCCGACGTCGCTTTCACAGTGGCTGAGCTGCGCCGCGTGTTCGAATCCACGGCTGCCGTTTTGTTGCTTTTCACGTCCGGGCTGCCGGAGTGCCGGGCAGTCGAGAATTGAATGGAATCGAGGAGTTGGGCTGGGTTGGCAACTTGTTGGTCCTTTCGTCTTGGCTCCTGGCCCCTGACTGTTGACTGCTGACGCTTGACTTCTGGCCTGGTTCCTTCTGGCTTCTGGCTCCCCAACTCGTGTGTAATTACAGAACGGCAAGTCTTAGTTCCAGGACAGAGACCGGGCAGTCTTACATTATTAAATGCCTTGTCAGAGCACTCGCTTCGCAAATTGCCACGCCTGCAAGTACAAAAGACGGAGGAAAGTTGGTAACTACAAAGGAAGAGTTAAGCCCGGTAAGCTTCTTATTCAATTAAATAGTGTTACACTACAATTCGATATGTAAGAGGATTTTTTTCCTTCGAATGTCTGCGGCCAATTTAGGTTACAAGTTTGAAGAGTTTGTAGATACTTTAATGTTCCCAAACTTAACATTTCAGTACATACTTCATAAAAAATCTCATAAATTGCTGGCCAGTAAGTCAGGGCCGTAAACAATAATAATATAAAAAAAATTACTCGCCAGGGGTAATAATTATGATAAATACTTTTCTTTTGGCAATTTTGTTCGCATGAATATAATAAATGATCCCTAATGAGTTTTGGGTCAAGCAACTGGCGTGTCGGGCAATTCATTTTCAATTTTCGCCAAAAAAACTAAACCAAAGGCACGTAAATATAGATTTTGGACTCATATTATTACCAACTCGGATAATAAACCATAAATTATGATAATTAAATGTAACGAAACGGTGCTGGAAAAGTGTTTTCTGGTAGAATATAATTAACGAGGGCTATGAAAATGGCAAAAAAACTTTTGGCCGTAATGTAATCAATACTAGCCAAGTATCTGACCCTGTTTCATCCAATTACAGCACTGGCTGTAACTCAACTAGTGGCAGGTCCTGGACGCGAACCAGAACAGATTTCCAATAAGCTAGCAAGCAATTCTTCAATAATTCAATAAGGAAAAGGGCTCGCTCGGGGCGCATCCTTTTGGAGCGGCAAAAGTTAACTCGAAGTAATTACGTAAATGGATTTTCCTTCTTTTCCTTTCTTTTTTTTGCTTCTTGCCTGCGTTGCTCAAATTTCCTGCACGTCGTCTCAAATAAAACACAGAAATGGCAAACACGACGGGAGGAGGATCCAGGGATCGGGGCAATGTTTATGTAGCAATCGCCCAGGCTGAGGGCCCGGCTCATGCCGCCCCCAAAAAGCGTGACAGGAAGTCGGCCAGGAAGGAAGCAAACGGCAGAAGGCAGCGACTAAGCTCGAACTCAGCCGGGCAGGCGACAAGCCGTTCACTGAGATATGTTTCCAAGAGCCCGCATATAAAATGTATACATTTCAAAGTGTTCTGCCATGCCATGCCATGCATACACACGTATACGTACATACATAAATATATATATTTCAACTATAAACACTTGAAATTATTATAAAAGCCGCAGGACCTGCCCAACTTTCGGGGTAAGCCGGCGACAGGCGACGCCATCTCTCTGATTGACTGACGGCCACAACTCGCCTCCGAGTGGTTTTAACATGCTGAGGATGTGGATTGCGGTTGAGCGTGTAGAAACAGCTGCAGGCGATTAACTAGTTTTTCTTTTCTTTTAAACCATCGTTTAAGTACTATCCTTAACTATAGCTATCATCTCTAATTCTAAATTAGTATGGATTAATTTAAAATAATTCTTATGTTTTTAATGAAAAATAAATATAAGAAAAGGCGCTCTTATTATTTCTACCATGGCTGTATGGGTAGCACAATTAAATTCACATTTACATTCGCACAGAGTACACATGACGTATACGTTATATTTCGTGCCAGCTGTCACAGCTGCCGCAGGAGCCGCAATTTCATTTCGACGCTCGCAAGTATGCAACGAAATTTTTACACTCTCCCACTTATCAAACAGAAACAGACTCTGTGGTGGGTGTGGTGTGTAGGAGGAGTAGAGTTGGGCTTGGAGTTGGGGTTACCTTGGCCTCCCCTTCACGCATACATTTGCATGCTAATGACAACCCTGGCCCATACCCCAACCCCCACCCCAATTCCCTGTATCTCTCTGTGTGGCATTACAGTTTTAATTACAAAACTAAACATGAATGCATTTGATATCAAACGAAAGCAGAAGCGACTCAGTTCTTAAAACTTAGTTGCCATTTGAGTGATGGCCGTAGATAGAGACGGCAAAAAGTGGAAAATAAAGAGCCCAGACACGCTGAAACTTCTGCTCGGCTGAAAAACAGAAAGGAATCACATAACTGGGTCAAAATCGTTGGCAGAAAACTGGCTTTTTCACAAAAATTAAAGAGCTTGTTTATGCAGACTGGAAACCAATAGGTTCTATGGTATATTTTTTCGGAAATCAGAAACCTGTAACCAAATAACCATTTATTGGCAAATTATTTCTCAAGGAAATTGATTCTTGGAAATCCCAATTTCGAGAGATGTGCCTCCAATTAAATCAACAAGGACCCTGGATACGAATTTTAATTTTCCGATATGTTCATATTTAAACATTCCATTATACGCATTATAGAGACTAATTTGAATAAACATACCACCACATTGATTTCCATTAAGCCATCACGGCAATTACCATTATCTGCTTACACACTTGTGTTAATTAATTGCACAAATATTTGCATTAATATATTCAGAGAAGACAAGCCACAGTACATCCATTGAGGGAATCTGTTTAAATTTAATAACAAATAGCCAGTATTATTTATCGCTTCAAAGAAAAGACACTCTCGAAGCTCATAAATTTCTGTAATATTTTCAAGAGATTCCAATTGACCCCTTTGGGCCATATTTCTCATCCCATAAATCAGGCAGACAAACGGTTTAGAGTTTCACAATTTAAGGCTTGGCTAGTCCTTGGCAAGTCGGACGCCTCCCCCACATTCTTAAAGGATAAAGGAGGATAGCCTCTTCTGGCATCTTCTTGCAGCCTTTGAATGTTATTCTCCCTCTATTTTTGGGGTCAAGCTCAAATGCAGGCATTAATTATAAGGACTTGGCACTCACTTGTTTGGCTTCTCAAGTTCAAATGCCTGGGATGGGATGAAAGTTGGAATTTTCTAAGAATTTCTCGTTATAGGGGATTGTAATATCGCCTATAATACATGTAATAATATGTCTTGATCTTGAATGCCCCTTTTGATGAAAATATTTCTCAGACTATTGCTTTAATGCAATTCAAAATTAGACATCGCACATCGTGCGTGGATGTTGTGATTAAAAATAACAAAACAGCGCATAGTGCAATTTTCCTATATGTAGTGGGGGGGTGGCCACAAAAAACGAGGAGGCTGTTGGCCAGCTGTGGCCGCCAGAGGCCAATGAATATAAATAGAAAATGCTCCAAAATGAGACGGAAAAGTAGTGCAAGGACATTTGTTGTGGTCACCAGTGCAACATCATCATAAGCACCTACCCTGCCACACCAAGAAATCGATGGAAATCTGCATGAGGAAACTACGTTCTACATTGTAAGAGTCCCATAAGCAAATGGAATTATGGAAAAGCCAATTGCAATAAAAAGGAATAATTAGGAAGAAAAGAATGCTGGCAAAGGGGGACTTTATCGCAATTTCCACGTGTAATTAATTAGTTTCTTCGTAAAACATAAAGTCGGGGAGTCATTACGGATTCCTTTGCTGTTTTTCCTTCTCCATTCTCCATTCGCATTTACAATTTGAAATTCATAAAGAACTTTCACAGGGAACTCCTGCAGCAACAACCAAAATTCAGTTATGTCCTTCAACTTGAACGATGTCGTTATAGACCCCCCTTCCATTTCCTTTATTTGAGCCACTTACAAGTCCAACAACAAATAACGAGGACAATGAGGACAAGAGTCCCCAGTGCACCGAGAAAATAGTGACTATTAGTTGAGTAACTCGAGTTCCTATTAAATCAAAATGAAGCTGGAAAATTAAAGACTAAGTATACTAATTTAGGAGGAACTTTTTGAAGAAAAATTCTAGGAACTTCTTTCATTCTAGGAATTACTGCAAGACTTGAGTTCGAAAAGTTTTCAAAGTTGACAAAGAAGCCAGAGACTGTAATGTTTACTTATTGTAATGATTTCTTGGGAATCACAGTCTCCTGCCATTAAATGAGGCATTAATTTTGATGCTTCTTACACTTCGGGAAATGTCAAATTTAATTCAGCAATTTAAGGGGAACTTTGGTGCTTAATGATCGTGAAATTTTCACTCGGAGGAAGTCATCCATCAGTCGGAGACCAAAGTGACCGTCATTATAGGTAATTCCCCGATGCCAGAGCCAGGGTATACGAATAATGCAAATACTTGGACCTCGAAGAATGGTCGGCGGGTAATGGGAATGGAATGCGGGGGTGAAATGGCCAGAACCAGAACATACCTCTTGGCCACTTTTATACAAACATTTCGATAAGGCAGGAAAATTTCTGCTTCAACCTCTACTATTGTTTTGTTTTGTTCTCCGTTCTCTACGTTTTTTTTTTTTATGTTTTTCTTCACGGACAGCTGTAAGCCAAGCCCAAGTCAAGTCAACTCAAGTCAAGAATAAACGTCGACAACAGCGCAAAATTTCCCAGCACAAAAACAAAGAGCAAGAAACGGAAATTTGCATACAAAAACCCAAAAAGTCGCGCGGAAGTTGTACGCGAAATTTCGCATGGGCGCACTTGGACGCAGGGGGCGTGGCCGCACCACCAGACCCCTAACTGGCCAAAACCGAACAAAAAATATATCGCAATATAGCATAGGTACGAGAAAAGAGCCCTTAAGGTGTAATGAGTGTGGAATGTCGTAAATTTTAAATTGCTTTTATTTTCGTTTTTTTTTTTTTTTTTGGGGGGTTCTGTCTTCGTGGTGCCTCGTGTGTGCAATTTGTGCCCAGGTTGTTTCACCTGAGTTCCAGTTCTTTAGAGATGGAAGGGAGCCGAGAACACCTTGTGGGAATTTCCGCTGAAAAGTTAAATTATGAGCCACGCACCGCTAAGCGCCATCAAGTGCCGTCCATTCCAGTCTCTATTTTATTTAATCCCCCAGACAAAAAGCGAAATACTCTGAATTTTATTGTTGTTTTGGGTCGCTGCGACGCTTCTGTTAACTGAATGTCAAATCTATTGAGGCGATTAAAAGGCGCACACCCCTATACCCATAGAGCCATCATTCCTACACCCACACCCCCCGTACACTATAAAAACAATATAATCGTTGCCGGGGAGCGCCAGCTT